AGGATGTTTGGTTGGACTATTCAAATGCAATGTAAGGATATTTTTTTACAAGAATAAATTGATAAGTATAGCTTTCATTGTAACTGTTTTTTATCCTGAATCCCTGGAGCTGTGGCGGTCTCCTCGCTGCTCTCTGGTTGTAAAGTCTTCAGAGTGTGAAGCCCGATAACACACACAGACAGAAATGAAAAGGATGCTCTGACATTTTGGGTTTCGTCTGTTATTCTTCTTTGGCAGGAATCTGTCAAAAAGTGGATTAGGCTTTCACTATTGATATTACAGTCAGACAGAAAGGCCCTTTTCAATCCGTGAGCTTTTTGACAGGTGTGTGATGGAGACGGAGAACAGACTTAAATGTGAAATGTCAAGGTGGTCCTTGGAGTTTCTGGTTGAGATGTGGAGATTTGTTGTCCGGACAGAACAAGCCTGACTCAGCACGGTTGAAGTTTGATATTTATGACCAGATTTGCTGTAAAATTCAGATTAAAGCTCAGAGGAGTTCCTGGAGTTTATCGAGTCAAGCTGTCTTTGCCATTTCAACCATATGCATGCTTGCACAGAGAGCTGGATGAACAACACGGGTTTGATATGGTGCAAAAGACGGCTATACATATACATGCAACACAAATGTCACCAGTTTTAAGGAGGGCCAATTTTATCCCGTCTGAGACTAATCGGTAATCGTCCAAAACTCGCCAATTTTCTGTGATATTTTCAGAAATAAAATGCGGAGAGTAAGATTCTGCTTCACTTCGAAAATGTTCCCCAACTTATCCTGTAGATGGCGCTACAGCGACCTGATGCCAATCTTCATCCACTAACTACCTCACAGCATAGCAGAGTGATGGATCTGAAGCAGGCAGCTCAGGGACGCACGGAGGAGGGTGGTCTGCCTTAACGGTAAATAAACCGGTTTGTAAAAAACACAATAAGTCAACAAGTTTCAGTTCAACCCACTTCACCATGTTCCCCGCTGTGCTGGTCTCAGTCACGCCCAGTTAACGCTGAAGCACCATGTAATATGAAGCTAAAGTTAGAGTTAGCCACCTGCTATTAGCCTTGCTACACTGTTAGCCGTGCCAGTAACGGTAGAATAAACAACAGTACACATTAGGGATCGAGCGACTTCTCTTACTGAGGCAGCTGCATGTCTCCAGATGAGACCGGACCGGAAATGAGGAACGGGAGTGAAGACGCGGAGGCACCGAGGGTTGAAAACGCTTTTCTGGTCCGAGTTTGATCAGTCGGTCTTCTTGTCGGCGTGAAGAGCAGTAACCTACAGTGTATCTACAGTATACTATATATTTTTTTAACTTCATAAAAATTTTTAAAAATTGGACGATTAATCGGTAACTGGATTCCCTGACATGTCCTCTTTTTTTGGGGGGTCTGTCCAGGCTGTCCGGCTCTGTCTGGGGAAGTTTATAAAATCCTTCAAATGTTCGCGGTTTTGTACGTAAGTTTTGATTTTGTGTCACATGGACTTACTGAGAACTCTCAAAATTAACTTTGTGCGACTCCGTGACTCCATCCCTGGGTAGTCGTGTCCTCTTTTTGGGGAGTCAGAATATGATCGCCCTATGTTAGACACTCATCTGCTTTGGGTATAGAGAGGAGCAGCTGTAACTGAGAATCAGACCAACATCATAAGATTCAGGAAGTGTGCGATTGATTACTTTTAATCATGCGTCACGCATAAAGAGTGCCCAACCCCAAAGATACAGTGGTTTGCAGTGGTTTAATTATTCATCAGAGTCATTTTGAAGTTGTATGGTCCTTTTACAGCTCAGTCTGAAACTCAGTATGCTGGCTCTTCTTTTACAACAAAAACAGTTCCTTTAATTAAACACAACTCAACTTTTTCAAAACAAGCCTTGTTGAGGACATTTCACAGAGAAGCACATAAATCATAATGCAATTATTTCCTCGGTTATGAATCTATCTCTAAACTTCTTCACTCTTTTTCTGCTGGATACACATACAAAATCTTGAAAAGGAGTCAGGAACGTCTCACTGAAACAACATATTTAACTGTAACTGCCTCAGTCTGGACCTGAGTGAGGGCTGATGGGATTTCTGAGGCTCCTCCGACTCTTGTCGAGAGGATGAAGCAGAGTACGCAAACAAAAGAAGAGCTTTGCTGCCATCTGGTGGACGAGTCTGTCAGGGGGAAGGCAAGGCAAGTTTATTTGTATAGCACCATTCACACACAAGGCAATTCAAAGAGCTTTACAGCAGCAAGGAAATACATTAAAAAAATTAAAAAGGAGGGATTGAAATGATTTAAAATCAATAAGACATAAAATGTAATTTAAAATCATTAAAACAGTTGAAATTGACGGAACAGCAGAGCAGCAGTTTAAGGAGTTGACGCTATAGGAAAGCAGCAGTGAACAGTAAAGTTTTCAGCCCTGATTTAAATGAGTGGACAGTTTGTGCACATCTAAGGTGTTCAGGGAGTTTGTTCCACAGGTGAGGGCCAGAGAAGCTGAATGCAGCTTCACCCTGCTTCGGTTCTGACCCTGGGGACAATGAGTAGACCTGTCCCTGATGACATGAGGGGTCTGGAAGCTTCGTACCCAACTAGCAGCTCTGACATGTATTTAGGTCTAAACCATTCAGTGATTTGTAGACCAGTAACAGGATTTTAAACTCTGTCCTTTCACTCACAGGGAAACAGTGCAGGGACTTTTGGACAGGTGTGATATGGTCCATTTTCCTGCTGTTGGTCAGGACTCTAATCTAACCTAGTAAGAATAAATGCATGAAGAACTTTTTCTAAAATAAACTAGAATTGTAGAACGAGAAAAAATGTCAAAAATGACTGATAAAAAGTCACATGAGATAATTCCGGGTTTAAATGATAATTAGTTTTAAGTAAAAGAGAGATTTTCACTGTATTCGGATAAAAAAGTTAAAATAATGAAATACCGACTTTTAGTGATGAAATAAGGGAAAATTAGGAGAAAACAAGTGAAACTATGACTAAAACGAGGATAAAAAGTTAAAACCATGAAACTTTTCTAATTATAATGAAATCAAAAACTAAAATATGAGACAAAAAACTTTATCCAATAATTATGACTATTACTGTAACTTACCCTGCAATAAAACCTAGTTTTAAATCCACACTTGGATTCTACAGTAATTTTATTTTCTCACTCATGGAAATTCACATCCACTGAAGTGTTTTTTCTGTCTACTGTTGCTAAAGCTGTTAAGATTTTATTTTGTTATATTACATCTGGACCCCACGGCACAAAGAAAAATACAATATCAGTGTATTTATGGCTCAAACATGAGCAAAGTCAAACAAAAATCTACATTTAGAAATAAATGCAGATTCACTGCGGGAGGGTCAACTTTCAAGAGCTGTTCATGAGAAGAGGAAGTAAGGCTACAGAGTTCGATTCATGGCATCCAAACCATGACCTTAATTTAAATGTGGACGCATATAAATGAAACCACATTCAAAAATACAAAAAAAAAGAGGAAGACTGAACCACAATCAGTCCATTTTCATGAGTCTATGAGAAACCATGGTTGTAGACTCAGTAAAGTCACCTGGTGGTATTTGGATGAAAGTTTCGAACCCCATCGGAGGCCTTTAATCGGCCCAATTAATCAATTAACTCCAGTCATCAGCCTGTCTGTCAGGCATGCGAAGGTGTCATCTACATATGGGACCATAAAGAAAAGTAAAGGTAACCTTTTTGTCCGAGACTACGCCCCCTGTTGGACGTTAAAAGGTAACTGAATTGCCAACTGTGAAAACGGCTCAGGCCTTTCTGTCAGTGGATGAAAACACCCCGGCTCTGTCTCTGGATATTTACATGAAGGTTTCAGCTCACAGAGAATATCCTGTGAAAGTTCTCAAAAACCTGAGATGGTTTGATGATATTCAAATAGTGTCTTACGTGACAAACCTGCAGGGGCGGCTGATCCTCCTCACATGGAAAAAAAAAAAAAAAGGGAAGATAAGGATGGTTTTATGCCCAGGTGAGAGGCAGAAAGACTCATTTAGCTTCTGGATGCAAAACCACAGACATTTATCTCAGGTAAGCAAAAGTAGAGCAGCAGATGACCTGTAAGATACTGTATTCTGGAATTCTAGTTTTTTAAAATTTATTACGCTATTGCCTCTATCTGGAAATCTAACACGCATAAGTTAGAAGACATGTAAGGTGCGTTTGAAAAAGTTGCAACTTTGCAAAATGAGTTTGTTGGATCAGTGGGGGAAATTTCTGATCAAGGCTAGAAGTGCTGACATTTCCTAATGTGTTCACCCCTGTGCTAATTTTCATCAAATTAATTTAAAATTTAAGATGCACTTATGAAGTAAATTTGTTTTTTGGCTGAGGTTGATCAAGAGGGAGGGGATGTAACTATAACTACTATTAATAATGATAATAATAATAATAATAATAATAATAATAATCCTGTTCATTGTTTGTGGTTATCTGAAGTATATCAGTGCATGTGTTCTTTGTATATTATCCTGCGACTCCTGAGGTTTTGGTGCAGCAAATTTAAAAAAAAAGGATAATAAGAAAATCAATCATTTAACAAGACATGTGAGAATAATCTCTCAAATGTGCAAAGAAGTTTGGGACAGACATGCTTGAATTTCTTTTACAATTTGGTTGAATATAATATCTGTTTTTAGATCACAAACATTTTTATAATGTGCTGAATTACATGTTGTCACTTATAAATCATAAAAAAAATTGCCTTATTAACCCAAAGGTCTCTAAATTTAAGGAGCAGCCACGTCATCATTTGGTGCATCATGGAGAGGACCGCAGTTCTGATGGTCTTTACAGGTCGGTATGAAAAGCAAATTTGAAATGTGTCCTAAACAGGATTTAAGAGTCAAACTAAGTAAAGAAATGGAAGAGTCTCAGGGGCCAACAGCCAATCATAACTCAGGATTCAGGGTATGAATCAGAGATGTAGTTACTGCATTCAGTTCTGAATACATCCAAATAACCGTCTCTGTTATGACCACAGGACTTTGTCTCCTGTCTGCCTGTTCTCCTCGTAAATACATCCTTGTTGAGAAACTTAAGACCTGGACTGAGGCTCAGAGCTACTGCAGAGACAGGTACACCGACCTGGCCACAGTTCGCAACAAGCAGGACCTGACAGAGCTCAATGAACTCATAAGCAGCTACAATCTGGTCTGGATCGGACTGAACTATGATGAGAATGCAAAATATGAGTGGTCTCAGGAAAATGAGGAGAATGACGATCCGAAAGACACAGAATACACCAACATGATCATTGACAGCCTTGGTGACACAAACCCGTACAGGGAAACATGCGTGTCAGCGTCAAAAAAAAGACGGGAATGGTTTGCTTGGCACTGTGCGTCCGTCTACCCGTTTATTTGCTACAACGGTAAGAATAACAACACTAAAGCTCTTGTCAGTACTGTCAGCTAGATGCTAATATCAAGCTTCTGTTCTCATGACTGCAGAGGAAACATGCTGATTTGTTTATCTGGATTCCTCCTCTGCAGCTCGGTCACTGCACAGAGATCATGTTTGATCACGCCCTCATTAATACTCCACTGATAAAAACTATGACAACATTTCTTTTAGGAAGTCCAGGCGCTTTATCCCGCTTTGTTTTAGTGAACGAGACGAAGGCCTGGGACAAGGCTCAGAGTTACTGCAGAGAGCACTACACTGACCTGGCTACAGTGAGGAACGGCACTGAGGAGGAAATTTACATGACATTAGATTCAAGGCAGACGTGGGTTGGCCTCTACAGAACCCCTTGGAAGTGGTCAGATGGAAGCAAATATATGTTTAGGCACTGGAAAAAGACCCTCACACCTAAGGAAAACCAGTGTGTGGCTGTAGTCTTTGGTTCATGGGACCCCCACACTTGCACTAAAGAGTACTACTTTGCATGTCACTATGGTGAGACAAATCCTGATCTACAAGCTATTATGAGCATCCACAAAAGTCATAAATAATCCTTTGATTATCCTCTGATGTTTCCTCTTTCTACATTACACCAACACTCTGTTTTAAAAGAACCTCCCAAGACCAGGAAGCAGGTGGTGAAGGTGGCGTTGAAGAAAACAGACTCTTCTGTGGACATGGAGGCGTTGAAGAGAGGCATCTTGCAGAAGGTAACGATGGTTCAGGCTGTTCTCATTCCCTTCTCTTTATTTTAACATGAAACATAAAGCACTGCAGATTACCATAAGTTGAGTGTTAACTAACCTGCACTCTTTCCCTCTCTGTGTCATCAGCTTCAGCAGAAACTGAAGGATCAGGGCCTGGATGAAGGCATCAAACTGAGCTGGGTGGAGAAGCCTGACGGAAAGGTTTTCCACAAAGCGAAGAAAGTGAAGAACGAGGAGAAGAGTCATGACAGAAAAGGAGAGCTGTGATTTCTGAGCTGCGTGGATTGTTTAAAGCCCTCTTTAGGAGTAATCCTCACACTTTACCTTAATATAGAAATAAACAAAAATATGTAGCAACATTCACTATCCTATATTGATGATATATCCATTTTACTGATATTCTATTACTCTGAATATGCACATTGTGTTTAATAACTTTATTGATTACTACTATAGTGATTGTTTTTTCCTGATTTTCTGCCATTTTATTATAAATCACTTTAATTTGAGTCACTACTGTTTGATTCCGTGTTGTGGTGTTTTACATTCTACTATAAAAATGTTCATTGTTGTCAGAAGCTCTTAACCCACAACACCTCTCTCAACCTGATATGATTTATGTGATCGTATTTAGTTCAGACAAGGTAAGGTAAGAGCCATATATAGAGATTAAAATTCATATTACTTTTCTATTAATTTGAGTGTATCAAGATTAATCAGTTTGTCCAGGTATCATTATTAAACACTTAAAAATAGCCTAACGTGTGTGTGTTTGTGTCATTGTACGACTTATATGCTCCAAATGGTGAATTAGGAAAAAAGAAACACAATATTTGGGACATTTATATCACACAGTGACAAATAGAGGTGGAGAGAGACATGCCTCACAGGGTCAGCAGAGGGAAACTATAGATATGTGATCTTATAAGATGCTCAAAATATTGATTAAACTATCCTAACCTGTTACTTAATTATTCAGATACTTTTTGTAGTTTTAAGAAAGTGGCTGACAAACTTTTGTGTGATCAGATATAAATTCTTAAATCAATCTTTAAGCGTTTGCATTATGAGGAATAAAAAATTCAAGATGAAGACAGGAGTTTTGAAGAGAAAAACTTGGCCCATTGAATTTTAGTGTAAGGACCGTTAACAAGATATGTTTTTTTTTTTATTTAGGTTTTAAGAATTTTATCTTACTTCTCTTATTAAGTGTTTTTTTCCCGACAAGAATAAAGTCGTGTTAAAGTGATTTTTTCTGAAGAAAAATTACGTTCAACTACGACTTTATCACCAATATATTCTTAAAATACTGACTTCAAAACGAATTAATTTTGTAGTGGTATGAATCTAAAAAAATTAACTACAATTTGGTTTTATCACGACTGTATTCCCGTAATAAAATAACTTAATACATGTAATACCCTGTCCTACAGTTTTAAAGCATTTTTCTGGATCATGAAATGAAGAGAGTTAAAGGTCCGTGTCTCTTTGGGTAACTGGGTATAACATTTGGAAAAAGATATCGAAAACACAAAAATGACTGGTTATTTGATTTTTGTTCAGTTTTGTTCAAAGTCACATAATGGTTTGATTTTCAATTTCCATTTCTAAAAAGAAAATAGAATATCGCAGCCTCTGCCGGATGCATGAAAATAGCCCTTTTTTTGTTGGATTTGTTTATGTATTCTGGATGAGTTGATAAGTGACTTTTTTCAACACTCCCTCTACTTTCACATGTAACTGTTTACTGAATAAATGTAAATATTTGGACCACCACACAGGCCTACTATAATAGTGAGGTGACTGCTGAGAGAATACAGTCTGAACACAAGGGCAGAGCCGGCCCAAGCCTCATTGGGGCCCTAAGCAAAATGTGAATTTGGGGCCCTCTATTTCTGCCAATAATATTGATTGTTGATCATTTACACACCTTCACCAATCCTCCTCTTCCTCCTTTCTCTTCTTCCTCTTTCGTTTCTCTGCTCCTGAAGGATATGTCCTTTTTTGCGACACTGTTTTGCCCCACAACTACCTGCGCTTTGGATGCTCAGTGCACATTACACAGCAGAGGGTAACCAACAGTAGCGGAGCTTGGACATATTGCCAGTAAGAATCATAGGCCTTCATCAGCAGCAGCACAAATTTTTTTTCCCTTTATTTTATTGTTATAATCATTTATATTTGATCATACAGAAAACTACAGAAGAAGACAGACACTCACCGAAATGAAGCAGGTTTCATAAGGACAAGAAAGACCCGATGATTACAGTAAGTCAGTGACCTACACCTGCAGAGGCCTCAACACCTCATGGCATATAGACTCATGTGATAAACTAAAGCCCTATGCTATTGCTATTAACAGCTGCATTAATGGATTTAGCCTCTGTACAGACATTTCCAGCCAAACGTTCGATCCAATTACCAAAAGAGACACAAGTCCACGTTAACTCCCAACAACATTTTATTATTTAAGTTTATTTTTTACCAATAATTTGAAGGTGAAAATATCGACATAAACGCTTTTAAATTTGCGCGCCCTGGCCCGGATGTACTTCCGCTCATCTTTATATCCCACAATTCCTTTCGCCGTCTTCCTCTTTCCCTACAGCAGCAATGTCTAAGAGAGGTACGAACCCTGTCTCATCAAATCCACTTTCATCTACTGGTTTTTACACCCCAACAGAGCTTTTAATGTTGCTGGTTTGTGACAGAAGGATAAATGCTACTCCAGTGTGTGATTAGTTTTTTATTTCACGCAGCGATGGCTGGTTTTAAAGGAGATTGTAGTTCGGCTGGCTAAGTTGGCTAATGGAAGCCATGTTTGGCTGACAGCACCGGGGAGGCACGAAGTGAAGCTAGAGAACCGAAATGTGAATTCGCAGAGCCGTGTAGATGACGGATATGAATATTATATACTGTAAATGCCACGAAGCTGAAGAAACTTTGTATTTCCGCGGTTTATATTCTAGTTAGCAGCGTTTGTGTTAGCCGATGCTAACGGCACAGCTAGGCAGAACCGGTGTTGAGGTCTCTCCACATGGACACAGCTGCTTAAACAAAGTGTGTCAGAGGTTAAAGTCAAATTCTGTGCAGATAAATGGCGTTTTTCACCATTTTCACAGTATTGTGCGCCTTCTGTGGTGTCTAATATGCCAGTAGGAGGCCCTGTTCAGGTATTACAGACTCACCTGATTTCTCATCTGCTGTAGAAACTGAGGAGGTTTTCAGCTTCGAGGAGTGTCCTCGGCCTGATCTTTAAAAATCTAGTTTATTGTCACGCTTGTTATGGAGATAATGTGTTATATTTGACATTGAAGCCCAGGCGTGTGAATAATGTGAGCTATTATAGTTATCTGAGTGATATAAAGCTTTGTTGAAGACGTGCTACACTCTTGCACCAAACCAGGACGTGGTTTAGAAGAATAGGTGTTAAAAGTAGTGTGTGTTTAACCTCCTTGTAATGGGTAGATGAAGCCTTGTGAAGACCCTGGGCTTGATTTCAAAAGTTGTTCAATCAGAAGTGAACATCTTTGGTCGTTGAATGAGTTGCCTACTTTGATGTTTGAGAAATCATGAGGTTTTAATATGAGACTTTCTTCATGGTCAAGCTGATGGAAGAGTTTTTGAAGTGCTCATGGCGTTTTTGAAGTGCTCAAGTTTTGGACATTTCATCTGTGACAGGTAGACAAACATGCGTGTTTTCGTGCAGAGTGACAGTCTGAAACGCACCGGTTAGAAGACGGAGAGAGAGTGGTAGTTATGCTGCGCAGAAGCTTCTTTTTATACACTTTTTTTGTTGTTAAATTCTGTATAACCGTTGCTTCTTAGGGTCAGGCTGTCCCATATCACTTAGTATCCTCATTTCTGCATACTGTATCGTCAACGAAGACGTATAACACCAGTGTAAGATAGCAGAGAGTGAAAGCTTCACCACAGATGTTGTTAATTGATGTTCTTAAACATGATTTTGTGCGTCTTTCTGAAGACAAATGAATATTTTCCGTATCACTATCTGATCGTTGTGTCTCTCCTTCCAGGACGTGGAGGTTCATCTGGAGCCAAGTTCCGCATCTCGCTGGGTCTCCCAGTGGGAGCGGTCATCAACTGCGCTGATAACACAGGTACGGCCCAGCTTACCTTCTGTCCCATCATGCATTCTGATTGAGGTTTGAGTGATGAGTTTGTATTTAAGTCTCTGAATGGGCTGGCCCCGGAATATCTCTGACCTTGTTGGACTGTACCAGCCCTCCAGAGCCCTGAGGTCAGCTGATCAGGTGGTTTTAGACGTTCCTCGATCCTTTTTAAAATCTTAGGGAGATCGAGCGTTTTCTGTCGTGGCTCCCACTTGTTGGAACGCTTTACCCCTGACAGTGGGCACTGCTAACAGCCTTACACTTGTAAAACACTTCTGAAGACGCACCTGTTCACTTTAGCTTTTGGGGAGTATGGCTACTTTTATTGGGTATTTTATTGATTTGCTTTGTTTACCTATATTGTTTTTTATGTTTTTTTGTATGTTTTATACTTAAAGTTTTTTGTTTTTCTTGTCTCTGGCTATTTCACTGTAAAGCACTTTGGTAGGCCACTGGCTGTTTTTAAATGTGCTTTATAAATAAACTGACATTAACATTAAGTTATGTAGGGCTTTCTGATAGAAGAAGGTTCACGGTGGGGCTGATGTTTCCATCATGCAGAGTTCACTCTTCAGGTGTTTTAGTTTTGAAAGCACAGGGAGGAGAGTCGTGGTCAGAGCTTGTAAAGAGTAAATAAGGCGATGTTCACACTGCAGGTCAATTCAGATTTTTTTGACCATACGCAACACATATCTGATTTTTTCATGTAAGTGTAAAGAGTGCAATTCTGATTGTTTTCAAATCTGACCCAGGCCTCTTTTTGTATGTGGATAAAAATCGGATATGTATCAGGTCGCGTTCATCCGACCTATACGTCATCAGTGTGCAATAAACGTTGCCATTGTTCGACGACACAAACAGGCGCGGAAAGCAGTTTGTGCTCATGTGGGTCACTTCACAGACACATTCATTGTTGTAATGTGAACGACCGCACAAAAAGATAGAATTTAATGAAAAATCTAAATTGTGCATCATAACCTGCGGTGTGAACGTAGCTGAAGTTATCAGGGAGTTTGTTTTAAACTCTACAGATGAAGCTGGTCATTGGTGGATGATGAGGTTAATGAAAGACACAGAAAAAGATTTCAATAACCTGTGACTGAAGTTTTGGCACCTCAGTGAGGTTGGTCTCCATGCTCCCACCCCCCTTCCAAAAGCACTTGCTTTGTCTGCTCAGTGGCTCGGTGAGTTGTCGTAGAAGGGAATATCGATTCATCACTGTGGGTGAGACGGCAGCGCCACACTGTGGCTGACTGATCTCAATCAGGGATGAGACATCAGAACCGATCTTCGTCTTTTAATCTTGTCTGTGTTTTTTTAGTTCTCCTAATTTTTTCCTCCATCCATTAGGTGCCAAGAACCTGTACATCATCTCTGTCAAGGGCATCAAGGGTCGCCTGAACCGTCTGCCTGCTGCAGGAGTGGGTGACATGGTCATGGCCACAGTGAAGAAAGGCAAACCAGAGCTCAGGAAGAAGGGTGAGTCCGGGCTTAACTCATGTAAACCACAGTCGACAGTGGAAGTCCAGAGATCTTTAAAATAACCAGAACTAAACATCCTGCTGAAATGATTTCTCAGGATGTTACAGGTAAAATTTTTATGACTAAACTCAGACTAAGGACGCAGCAGCTGTCCACAGGGATTAATGTTTCTTTAGATGCTGTGTGCAGAAAACAAGTTATCATCCCCACCACATCCGTCCTCTTACAAATCTGAAATCAATGTTGGATTTTATCGAGGTCAAAATAAAAGACTGACTTTATTCAGAGATTTATGAGCATCTCTTAATCAAGGAGCTAAGATGAGGAAAGCTTTAACTCTACAGGATGTTGGACTTTATTGTCCTAAAGATGCAAAGATGAGGAAAATACAAATTTAATGTAAAACCTGCACAAAAGGTAACAGACGATCAGCAGAATTACAGGAAAATAAAATCATGTGTGCACAGCGTTTCTCTGCAGTGATTCTGATTATTCTGACCTCATGATTAAAGTCGTCTGAATAAAAACAGAGAAGTAGCCATAGCAGGGAGGCCCACCTGTTAAAGAGATTAGTTTTCTCTTAAAGGAACGTCTGTGTGGATGAGAAGTGTTAAAATAAGAGGAAGGCTCTGGAAAAACCGAAGAGTAAAATCTCTGAATCTGTTTCTGAAGATGTAAATTATATTTATTACAATTCCAGGTTTGATAAAAAAAAAATCAAACCACCTGTGATATTAAGTCTTTGTTTTTGACTTCATTCGTGGACTTTTAAGGAGTGTTATCTTTTCTTAACTCTGGAGCAGAAACACTGAAATATCTGGTCTCTTGTTTCGTCCAAAGAGCAGGAAATAACTCGCCATTATTACCTGGTAAAAGCACTGACTTTGGTGTGTGTGTCCTCGTCTCTGTCCTCAGTGCATCCTGCGGTGGTGATACGGCAGCGGAAGTCGTATCGGCGAAAAGACGGCGTGTTTCTCTACTTTGAAGACAACGCAGGGGTCATAGTAAACAACAAAGGAGAAATGAAAGGTGGGTTTGTTCAGGTGCTACGGCTGCTCTGACTCTAACGTCAGTCTGTCCACTGCCCAGATATTTGAGAGCGTTTTATTTTGAAGGAAGGGTTAAACTCTCTGGACCGTTATCTGGTTGACATCTTGAGTCCAGCAGGATTGATTCTTAACTAGTTGTAAGAGTTTCAAACTAAAAACCTGATTGGTGTTGATCCTGCTGGTTCACTCATCTATAGTTGACCTGATCCAGGTCACGGTTTCCCCCCTTCCAAAAGCACTTGCTTTGTCTGCTCAGTGGCTCGGTGAGTTGTCGTAGAAGGGAATATCGATTCATCACTGTGGGTGAGACGGCAGCGCCACACTGTGGCTGACTGATCTCAATCAGGGATGAGACAGACTTAACCTGCTCGTTAGGACGATGATCTGCTCGGACAGGAACCACTTCAGCACTTTTTTGTACTTTTCTGTTCTGCAGCTCGAAGTTTTACCTTTTTTAATTCACATGTTTAGACGAGGAACTTCAGTTTTTTTGAACTCTAATTTAATCTCCTTGTTTTGTTTCTTCAGGCTCAGCCATCACAGGCCCCGTGGCCAAAGAGTGCGCTGATCTCTGGCCGAGGATCGCCTCCAACGCTGGCAGCATAGCCTGAGCTGGACCCTGCACCTCTGTTCAATGTTTTCAATAAAAAATGTTGGTAATCAAGCTGGAGAAGTCTCTCGAGTTTTAATATTAATGATGCAAAGAATCATTGTTGAAATATTTGCTTGGCTTATTACAGCACTTAACCCCAAATTTCCACGGCATCCGGAACCGCTTCACTACCAAACGCGACAATTTTCACCGTCCGCCGATTCCTACCAGGTGTGTTTGTGATGCGAATTTGTGGCGGATTTCAGAAAGTGGGAATCCCGAGAACTCACAAGAACCCGCGGATTCATGTGCAATCGCTTGATAATGAGTTGTCTCTATAAAGACAGACGCATAGACATATAAGCAGTAGATTGTGTCCTTCCGGAGGAGGAAATCTACTTCTAGAATTACCTCAGCGATTGCATCAACGGGGTGAAATGAAGTCTGAAAACGTTTCACTTGTTTGTCCCCGCCCATATTTGCATGTTATAAAATATGATCTGCCTGAAACGAGGAGTGTTCTGTTTTGAAAAGAAGCCGGATGTTTTATTTTGTGTCGGAGCTTAACTTCCTTTCCAGCACGGGTTAATCTGTGCTGAATTTATGTGACATGCTGCGGCGTCCAAAAAAAAATGGAAGCCCGCTGAACCGCAGGAGAGTGGAAAGAAGCCGGTGGAATTTGATTTAGTGAAGGGCATGGCAGTTCATTTAGATTTACTGAGTCACTACAATCGGTTCACTAAAAAGATTCTTTCACCGAATCACTTAACGCTTGGCGGGAGAGGCCCGCGACCCCGACCTCCTGAACTGATTCACAGCTGAACATTTCAGGATTCAGTTCAATTCAGTTTCTTGGACTGGAAGATGAGTGTTTGTCTGTGTTGCTTTGACAAAGGTCATGATGTTTTAAGCGTACTGTCCTATTGTATGCCATTTATCAGGTCTGCTCAGTGAGTGATTCGTTCACTGAATGTTTAGAAGAATTCACACTGCAGTGATAGGATGCTGCGGGTTTAATGCTCTGTTTGTTACATGCTGTGTTCTACTGTATGCAAGTTGTTGTGGTGAAAAAAAAAAGGTAGTTTTGTCTGACTAAAATGATTCCAGAGAGTGAAGTTCAACGCGTGATTCGTTCACCCAGTGATTCAGGCGTTGGTGCGTATGGTTCTTCGTTCACCAGCTGCTGACCTGACAATGCTCTTGCTCACTTCAACTCAACTGAAGTGAGAAACGAACGAATCACTTGGGGAAGTGATTTGGTTCAGTATGTTCACTTAAAAGATTCGGTTCTTTTTAACGAATCGTTCACGAACGGCACAACAGTAATTTGATACATTACGGCCTTTTCCCAGCCGTTCAGGATGAGGTGGAAATTGGGGGTTAGATGCACTTCCTCGGACTGACCACTAGAGGGAGTGTAAGAATACGAGAGAAAAGTCCTGAGGCTCTGTAGAAGCTTTATTTCCCGATCTGCAGCTTACAGGTTTTCACATCAACATCAGTACACAAAAACCTGACGAGATTCACAACACGGCACGAGTTTGACCCAGAAGAGGCTCCCTCACACGGGGAGACTTCACAACAATCAGCATGAGAAGAAAACACTGAGGAAAGTGATGAACCTGAGTAACACTGAAGAAAAACAGTGGTTAAAAGTGTTTCCGTGTGATTCAGTCTGAAGCAGGAGAAGACGGTGAAGACAGCACTTGTTTAGAAAAGGAAAAAAGAATAAGGTGCTACACAAAAACCCTGATCTGTGTGCCTGAAAAATGACAGACGTGCAGTATATGGGGCAGGTTACCGACGTGTGAGCATTACATAAATACACCATCTGTTTGACCAGGATGCCTTTGAATCATCGCCTTTTCCGCTTACACTGTTATTCCTTCGCTCTGTGTGTGTATTTGTGTGTGTGTGTGTGTATGAGTGTGTGGTCTACTTGGACGTCTCTTGCCTCCGCTTACAGACGGAAACCAGCAGGTCCACGCGGAGAGACCAGGCGGCCACCTGCACCCAGCACTCGCTCCCCCCTGAGTCATCTACTGTAAATAACAGATACTTAACCTCACACGCTGACTTCATCCATACATCCCAACCCCAGGGGATGATGGGAGGTTTTCTGGGCGTGTCAGCTCTGTGGGTTTGTAGGTAGATAGTGGACTTATACATATATAGTAAGAGGTAAACTGAGACGTAAAAAACAACATTTGTCAAGTGGGGAACGAACACAGACTGGCTGTAAACAACACTTTGATAAACGTTTGGCGCCCCCTGTGGACAAAGCAGTCTCTTCGTACTTTGTGCATCATATGACTGAACAGCGTCGCCTATCAAACGTTTCATTGTTCCAACTTTATCATTTACTGTAAATATTTAAAGCTCCTGTGAGGAACTTTTAAGTTGTGTCAATTTTGGCTCCCCGTGTGGACAAAGTAGTCATTGCTTATAGTGGTGTCTTCTCACAGAATATATCCTAACAGTGACACCCACCCCCTAAAAATTACAGTATAAAAATTGTCAGGCGTGTTTGCGGCGGTCATGTTCAAATGTCGAGATCATAAACAGACATCAAAATGAGTTTCTGTCTTTTCTGAGGATGTTCAAAAGCTCCTCACAGGAGCTTTAATGTAAAAACAGGGCTGTTTCTTCAGCTGCTTGGCTGACACCGACTCTCTAACACCAGCCTCAGGCAGAAAACCTGTAATCTGATGGTCCAAAATGTTCTTTTTCATGGATATTAAAAACTCCTCACAGGAGCTTTAAAGTTAGCTAAAATCTGTTTTCCTCTGGAGCTCTGAACTCTCCATTTTCCTGTGATTAAATCTCAAGAAATCAGATGTATTTACACCCTGATCTAGATTCGTAAAAAGCCTGAATTCTCTCTGCGTAATGCCTGTTTTTTGTTTTTATTTTGCAGTTTCTTGGTGAAACTGCGGGTCCTGAGGAGGATCTCACAAATTTGCCCTAAGACTTGGATTCGTCTGACACTTTTCTCGGTAGGTGTTTTGCATCTTTGCATTCGTCTTGTATGAATTTGCTTTGCTGCTAATAAACTGGCTTCACTCTCGGACCCTGAAACCCCCTCGCTGTCTTCCTGTAAACTCAAATGTGCAGGTTGAGTGATGCTAAATGTGAGCCGAGTTCAGCTCTCCTAAAACTGATAAATAAGGAAGGAGTTAATTAGCACATCTATTACACCACTTCATGGGATCACATCCAGTCTGGGGTTGAAAGCTCTGCCCCCTCTCCCCCTGGCCCCCTCCTCTGCGGGGGGGTCGGCGCTGACAGTGGGAGTGGGGCTGGGCAGTGGGCGCTGCTCGCAGGTGGCCTGAGGGTGTGTGTGCCACGTCCCGTCTCTGTAGGTGCAGTAACAAACAGTCCGCTCGTCCATGTTCACCCTCTCTCCCGCAGAGATCACCCTGTTCCCTGCAAAACAGTTTGGACCTGGAGAGACAGGACGGAGGAGAGTCAGCGCATACACCTCTCCAAAGTGAAGTACAAATAACTGCAGTTCCACTTAAGTCCACTAGAGAGTGTCAACCCCTAAATGCCCAGAAGTCGTGTCCTGTTTGAGAAGAGAACAAAACATTGTGAGCTAAGATAACGCCAGTTAACCATTTTGCACAACCCAAAATAAAAAAATTAACCGTATTTATTTTAAAATAATCTTCTTCCAGATATAAATCCTCGCAGTGAAACATGTGGACTTGTTAGAGGACAGATTAAGGCATCAGTCATTGTTCTGTTTTGAGCTATTTTTAAGCTAAAGCTTTAATTAATTTAGTTGGTAGTTTGGGGCAACATGTCTCAGTCATTTTACGGTTAGTTATCGCATGTTTCAAAGGGATTAAAATGAACATAGAGAGTCTGTTTATCAGCAGTCGTCAAATAGAAATCTTGATATTATTTTTACAGAGAAAAAGAGTGATTTAAAGGAGAGGAGAGAGCAAGAAAACATGGTCCTGATGTGATGCTGAGGGCAGTCAGACAGGTGACCCTCGCTCATAAATCAATCTGAAGTACAATAAAGGACTTTAATCTCAACTACCATACCTCGGCTCAGTACTGTAAAACATTCACCCCAGCTGAAACACAGAGTCAGACAGATCTCCAAACTCCAGAGCATGTTTCATTATATTTTATATTCACATTTGTTCAACAACTTTTTCTAGAACTCAATGATAAACATTTTCTGTGTCTGACTTTGATGTTCATTTCATGTAAAAAAAAATGAGAATAGTAGCAAATTTGTCCTTGTTTTATTAGCTGTAAAGTCCACTGACAACAAACCCGATTGTGGGCCAACATGTCGCACGTTCACACTCTCCATTTGATTGATTATAACTCTGCACTGACACAACATATAAACATGACATGAATACGAGATAAATACCTTAGATTTTGGTTTTTCATGTGGTTCACATTTTGTTTACATATGATGTACTGATTCCAAGTAAAATATAAGAGTTTAAAAAGTGTGACAACAAGACCCGGTCTCCCCTACTCCCCTGAAACTAAAACGATAAAGTTACTAAAGTTGGTTTAACTAGAGAAGCAAGCAGTCAGCAACATTCATCTCTGAAGGGGGTGTCTAACTCTGTGTTACAATGTTTTTGACCCTAAATTAATTTTACGCAGGAATATCCCTTTAACCCTGGGGTGGACGTCACTGCATTGGTTTGTTAATTGTTGTGCATGTTCATAATAAAACAAACAACCTGGTTAATGTGAGTTTGGAGAGTGTCAGGTAGTTTCTAATCGTCATATAAAAGCAGATCTGTGGATGTTCTGAATCCGTGCAGGAGCAGAAATGTAAACAGCCTGCTTTTAATATCATCTGCATCCGTCATTCACAGATGGGGGTTCCTTTCATTTGGCAGCTACCTGAGAAACAATTACCGCCGCCAGCCAGCAGGAGGACGGGAAGTACATCTCATGTGCTGCCAAATGGGACAGCTGAGCAGAGGGGGGAAAAAAAATAAACAATGACGCAACAAACTAAACCATCTGTGTCGCTGTCTGTCCGGCAGAGGAGGAATGAATACAAGAACTACAACTAGAGAGCGACTGAAGAGCGGTTCAAGAGGAAAATCTTCAAGTTCAAGAGGTAAACACACGCTTGAGTCCTCTGATCGTTTTAAGGTACAACATGAGCTATTAATACCCCTGTTTGACACGCACCCAGATCCCACCCGTGTCAGTGTGGGTCTGAACGCCTGTGGCGGTGGAAACATGTATGACATAACAGTGGGTGTGTGTGGTGACGTAACTGCTGCTGCTTCTGTGTGGATATGTTCACGGTTGGTATAAAACACGGCCTACAAACATGAGTGTGTTAAAATAATCCCACATGTGGTTATGATGCTGCCAAGAGCTCCAGAAAGGGCCGGATGATTCACACGGATTAGGGCGGATTATGAGCAGGAGGGATTTGATTAATAGAGTCAAAATGAGCCAACGCAGAAACCAAAACTTCAAAATCTCCAATAAAAGGGATCTTTTATAAAAATGTATTCATACAGCCTCAAATCACAGCGAAAGATGTCCCTTAAAGTTTACTCTTGTTGTATTTTTTAACCTCCAATGTCAGGCAGAAACCCTGGACAGAACCAGACACTGAGGTACCGTCAGTCTGAGTTTAAGGAGCATCTAAAGGAGAGAGGTCTGAGAGGGTCTCACCGTTCTTACAGATGGGACAGCAGTGGTTGGCCTCGTAGGTGGGGTTGACGCAGTGAGGGGCGGGGCAGTCTGAGATGCTGCAGTACACCTCTCTGTTCGCCCCGCAGCGACATCGCTCACACCTGGACAGCTGCGAACACACAAACACAAACCGGATTCGTCTGAGTGAGTTAGGAAACAACGACAGATGATTGGTGGGCTCGGTCTGACGGCTACTTCACACACAAAGTGAGTCTGAACATCATGTTACACTAATCAATGTCCCACACACACACAGAGCTGACCTAGTTCTGGTGTTAGTGGACTGTTTTATGTAACTCCTACTTCTTTAATTTGACCATCAGTGACACCGTTCAGTCCCCGCTGAGCCCATATCTGACACCGTGATGCAACAGTAATGTAGACCACACTGAGCTGTTATTAATCTGACTCTGAGGACAGGAGAGTAACCTCACCTGTGCAGCTGGTTTGAGCTGGTAAGAAGAAAACTAAACAGCTCTTTCAAAGTGTTATTGTTCTCCTCAGGTTTTCTGACACTTCTGCTTCTTTTGTGATTTTTGTTTCTATGTTTTTTGAGGTACGTCTGTCTTATACTTATGAACCTACCCAGCAGTAACAATGAAAGTTAATCTGTTTTTTCTGCACACAGACTTTTCTGACTCCCTGCTCAGATCTGGCACACAGCTCCTGTGTTTATCCATCAATAATAACCACTCTTAAGACATCAACACGTTATTATGACCTTTGAGAAACTTCAGGAACATTGAGCCCTAAGCAGCAGCAGTAATCCTGCACTTCACCTGTCCAGGTGTAAACTCCTGCAGCTTTAAACTCCTGATCAGGTGCTGTGCGTAAACCTGTCCTAACGCGCGCTCTCTGAGTTTTGAAGAGGAGGAGGAGGAGAAGTTTGGAGCTCACCCTGAACTCCTCCAGGAGTCGGTACGTCTTTCCAGCGTAGACGCAGACCCGGGCCATGGCCTCGCACACCGGGCAGCACGCCTTGTACCTGATCCTCGTGCACCGGGGGTGGATGCGGGGACATTTGGGCCGGACGCACACCGGACCGTCCACGGTGCACGTGCACGGACAGGACGAGGGGCTCGGGTAATAAATCTCCCCGATGCCGTAAACGAAGCCGTGGTCGTCGATGCACCATTTCCCCCGGTAGTCCCCGAACTCGTAGTCCAGGTCGGTTTTGGAGGAGGTGGAGTACTCCGCCGCCACTTGTGCGCGGGGCAGCAGCAGCAGGACGAGCGCGAGGGCGAGGCAGCTGAGCGCGCGGTGCCGGTGGCTCATGGTGACCGACAGGAACCATCTATGTGTGTGTATGTGTGTGTGCTGCGCTCCGGTGAGCTGCGCCTCCCTCCTTCACACTCAGCCGGTGACGCCGGAACACGCGCGTCAGTTCGGAGCAGGAACAGGTGACACCCACCTGAACCGAGCCGAGCCCAAGTGAGACTTGACAGAGATTTAAAATCATTTTTTTAACTTCCAGTTAAAGCAAAATCCGGGCTCACATATAAAGCTCTTTTATTTGCTTTGTATTAGGAAATTAATATGTAAGCCTAAACAGGGGCGTGTTTTGGCTGTTTGAGGGGCAGGGGCAGTAAAGGGCACCTCCTATGTAGAAAGAACACAAGTTCAGTTGTATCTAGTGGCCTTATCATATTTAATCTACAGGAGGAGCAGCTTAAACCAACACTAAGCAACTTTTCAGAGTTATGTAATATTTTACAAACTTTTGTGATGGTACATCGACTTACGACAATACATATAGGGTCCCAGCTATAGTACTAGCCACCAAACATCTTTTGAACTTTGACTCATTTCTTTAACAAAGAGACCAAACACAACTCACCTACTCTCTTCCAGAAACCGCTTGTTTGTAGCAAGCCCTCAGGCCAGTCCATTACGGACTACAGCGGGGTGTCGCAGCTCAAGGAAGAACATTTATGATCATTTCTTTATCATTTCCTTGAAGTAATAATCATCATATTAATCATTTTCCTCTGCAGACACTGTAGTTCTTCTGTCTTAGCGTCTCGGTCTGATTGTATTTCCATGAAGAAATTATCATAAATGTTCTTCCTTGAGCTGCGGCACCCCGCTGTAGTCCTTAATGGACTGGCCCGAGGTCTCGCTACAACAAGCGGCTGCTGGAAGAGAGTAGGTGAGTTGTGTTCAGTCTCTTTGTAAAAGAAATTAGTCAAAGTTAAAAAGATGTTTGGTGTCTAGTACTATGTCTGTGACCCTATATGTCCTGTTGATGAAGTTAGGTGCTGTTCTGAGCATTATTTGGCTATAGAGTGGCGTTTTGGTTGAGGTTTGTTTATGGCTCCTCACACCGCTGTGTATTGCTATGTGGTCATTACTAAAGTTGGTATAACTAGAGAAGCAAGCGGTCAGCAACATTCATCTCTGGAGGGGGTGTCTTACTCAGTGTTATGGTGTGTTTGACCCTAACTTAATTTTACACCGGAATATCCCTTTAATGTTTAACGTTGAGCCCTCCAGTCCAGTAGGTGGCAGCAGTTCACCTCTAAGCATTAACCGTCATTGAGCTCCAACAGTGAGGGGAAGAAGAGTGTGAAAAGGCGGAACAAGAGGCCACGACAGGGAACAAAGGACGACCGAGTGAGTCTTCATACATTTTAACGCAACAAAATAACTTCCAGCACCGTTATTTACATTATTTATAACCGTTGTGTAAATGATTTCGGAGCTAAACGTGTTTATCTGTCGATATTTGTGTTTGGTTACGGTCTCTTATCTCCATGTGTTTGACGTTAATAAGAGCTCGTTGCTCATGTTAGCTTGTTTGTTGCTAACGCGAGTTTAATTCAAACCGTCGGTAGATTCTCAACAACTCCAGGAGTGAGAAACTGTCAGTTTTGGTCTGTATTTATGTGTTTCTAAACGAAAAGAACCAAATGAAGTTAACACTTCCTCTTTATAACACCATAGTTCGGATATTTTGAGGATAAAATCGTCAGTTTCTTCGCGTTAAGGCTAACAGGAAGGCCAGACCGGGGTGTTAGCTCTCTGAGCCTCGGTGTTGTTTTACTCCTTTAGTGATCGGTTTTAATCTTTTACATGTTTACCCTTTCTTTCACTAAACAAATGAAGTCTTTTTACATGTTTCTAAGCTGATTGTTGTGTGACTCATAATGACTTTTATCTTCTTATCTTGTGCAGGTTAACAGCATGGAGACAGTCTGCTCTCGTTAGTCAAACAAAGCGACGATGTCAAGTAAGAAAACATGAACGATTTTTGTTGATTAAGTTCCTTTGTGTTAGACTATAGAACACTGGGGTTGATTTAAAGGAGAAAACAAACAGGTTTCAGTTGATTTCATTATTAGCTCTTAACCTTGATGTGGACCAGAGTAAAGCCGAAAACACACAGGATCAGTATTGAGCGCGTCTCTGCTCCGTAGAGCAGCGCTGTCTATCGGATACAGGATCAGCGTATTTGGAGCGTAGCAGCAGCGTAGTGCAGCCCGGTCAGCTGGGCTCAGTATTTAGAGGGAACAAAGTGTTCACAACAGATTGTTTTTCCTTTTTATGGTCTATTTACTACTAATTTGGATATAATTCAGTGCATGGGAAAAAAGTAACATGATTCCTACAGTTTGGGATTTTGCAGGTTTACTGGTGTTTACTCAAGTAAACTATGTTCCTTTATGCTGTGCTAGTGACGGGCTGCACTATAGGTTAGTGCCAGCAAATCCTATGGAGCTGTGGACAAACTTTACAAATTAATGACACAGAATATAAATGTTTGTGCTCGTCCTCTTTTTTTTCTGTGCAGCTCCGTTTTTAAAATTTTTTGGGGGGTTCATGTTTTCTATGATTGACACTTGATACAGCCTATGGACTTACAAAGATTGCATAGCGCACCAGCGGGATAGGCAGTTTGAGCCGAGCGTCATCACAACGGCTCTCGGCGTCTCTCCCTCCAAATGCGCACAACGCTACTGCGCAATGTTGGTTTCAGGAAAAAAACAGAAAGATTCAGTGGAGGGGTGCTTTCTGTATCCAGTTCTAACCAATTTGAAGACACAATTTGTTTTAAATATTTAGATATTAAAAAGTTAATATCTGCATGAATGTAAATTTGAAGATAATGGTGTTTTATACCTGAGTGTGATACCTGCTTCCTTTAGCTGTTCCCTCAAATCTACATAGTTTATAAGTAAATGCTTTATTTGATCATTCTGCGTCCCTCACATGAAATATCTTAGACACAAATGCACTTTAATGAGTTATATCTTTTATTAATGAGGCTCCACCATTATCTCACTTTGTTTATTTAAATTTTAAAACTATCTGTAAAAAGCTGATTATGCAGATGAAGAAACCAGACTGGAGCAGTGATACCGACCCGAAATGATAATGTTTCCTGTTTTCTTTCACAGAACGACCATCCTACGCCCCGCCCCCTCCCCCCGCCCCGACAACAGTAAGTGTCTGACTCTCAGGTCTTGGTCACAGAGTCCAGATTTTAGCGGACTCCTCCTTTTTCTTCTCCTTCTTCTCTCCTTCTGTCTTGCTCCTTCTGACTCTGTATTTAGCTTTTAACTCTTCCCTTCTGTTTGAACACAAAGTTTACTGCAGATCGGGTCAGCTTTCCATCATCGCTCTCTCACTCCTGCTTTTTTACCTGTCATACCACCACATATTTGCTACTGGGGAACACATTTCTTTGGTATCTGCTTTAAAGGATATTGTTTAGAAGTAAGCAAATGTGTGTGAAGTGACAGAGCAGACACACTTGTTTGGTGTTTTCTTACTCTTAACATTCAGCAGCAGGGCACAGCATCGTGTGAACAGCGCTGATGAAATGCAAACTCTGCTTATTAAGGACTTGAGATGTTGTGCACTCACTCTGAATGGCAGCCTGGCCGCCTGGCGTTGCCTTATTTTCTTTGCCTTGCATGGTGACTTCATGAAAAACAAACAAGCGAACCAGTATACATATATTTTCACGTTTCTCCCCTTGTCACTTATTTATGTTGATCCCTCTTCCTCCTCTTGTTTGTGAGCCATTTCTCATTCGTGTTTTGTCTCATTTGTCTTCCATCAGCAAATGCCTTCCACCCCAGGGTTTGTGGGCTACAACCCTTACAGCCATCTGGCCTACAACAACCTCCGGCTGGGAGGGAGCTCCGGAGGCTCCAGCAGGGTAATGAACTGATGGAGGGATTTGGATAAATAAGAGGAGGACGTAACAGGGGGTGGTCGGGTGCAGGATCACAGGGAGGGGACAGAAATGAGAAGAAGCTGGTTAAGAAGCTGCTCAGGTTCAAAAATTCATTAAAGGGTTATTTCACTATTTTTCATCTTGGCCCTAATCTTTCACTTTTACAGATCTGTATTTGTTTTTTCTTTTGCAGGCAGGTTCATGATAATTTTCTGTCTCATTACAGACAAAATCTCTGCAAATATAAAGTTTTCTTTATCATTTCATGATCCTCTCTGAAACCCGCAGACTTCATTAACAGAATCAGCATTTTCCATGCCTCAGTACGACCTAGACAAACGCCATTTCGATTCAAAATCTGACATTCAAACAAAAACACCCGTCCATGTACAAGCACCTTAAACGCACCTTCATGTTAATCTATTTATTTTATTTAACACTGTTAAAAAATATATTGTCACCCTATTAAGAAATGGCCTGAGTCATTTTTTGACAAAAATGAGTTCTTTGCCTAAATCAACTCTTGACATGATTTTAGGGAGCTCACAGAGTTTATTTGAAGCCTCCATCTAAATACAATTATAAAAAATGAACACAATATTACACAAAAATTTGAAGTTGACGCGCAAAAAGTATTAAAAAGAATGATTAAATAATTTTGAACTGACAGTAACATTAAAAACATCAACAACAAAAATTAGTGGTTTTGTACTTCTGAACTCCTTCAGCATGTGTTTAGAAAAACCGATCAGCTGGAGTTTTTGTTACCGTAAATACTGTAGAAAACAGCCATAGATTCCACTCTGCACTTTTAATAGAGATAATAGAGACAAAAAACGAAGCACCTAAAATCGAACACCTGGAAACAAAGAAAAGAGACCTGCCTTTATAAATGACTTTAACTATGGGTGACCCCAACTTGATTTTCCGATATTTAATCCTAATCTTATACCTGGATTTGTTTAGACATTCGAGCTCCACATTTCAAAAGCTCTAAATGACGTAAAACGCGTCTCTGTTATCAGGCACAGAGTGGTTTTACTCTGGAGTTTAAAATCTCCCTCTCTGCAAACACGTGAACCATGTGGTCGTAAATATGAAATTACTTGAGTGTACGACTCCTGACTGAGGTGAGATGATGAGCTGAATATCTGAGAGCTGAGACTGTAAATTTTACAGCCAGTGAGAAACTGTAGAGCTGATCTAAAACAACATCTCTGTCTCTAATAATCCTGTTTTTAGTATCCACTGACTGAGTATTTCGGCCTTTCTGCTGTTATTGTTAATAGAAAGGGGTTTTATAGTTCAGTCTAGTTAACTTTAATGACAGATAGGAGACTCTGCCTGTTCCGGGTCGGTCTAATGATGATATTTTTCCTCATTTTCTAAGTTGGAATGTTTTTCTCTCATTTGACGGCCTCTAAAAAGTCATTTACATCTCCGCATGCATGTAAATGAACTCACATGCATTAAAAAAAAAGGTTCATGCTGCTCTTAAAAAAACACTCAGAAGCTTGTTGGGGTCATGCTGGTTTACATTTACATGTCTTAAAGTCTGTTTCATAAGCTTTTGGATGTTGAGACCGTAATCAGCTGATGTTGGATGATCTCTCTCCTCTCTCTTGACCCCCGTCCCCACCTGTGTCTCTGCTTTCTTTTCATTTCTGTCTCTTTATTCACACGTTCCTCCCCCTTTCTTCTTCTCTCTCTTCCTCCCACAGAACTCCTCAGGCATCACCGTCCCAAAGCCTCCCAAACCTCCAGACAAGCCCCTGATGCCTTACATGCGGTACAGCCGGAAGGTAAGCAGGAAGGTAAGACACCCATCCACGGTGTCTGCTTTTACTGCTTGTCCTCCCATCCCCCGAACAGTTGCAGGGGTGTTAGGGTGGGAAACAGCCGAGCCATGACGCCTTCACCACCACCTCAGCCGCCTAGTGGAGCCTCTCTACTCTGTTGGCTCTCAGTACCCTCCTGTGTTTGTCAACCTATAAAAAAAACTACAACCTCTAGTTGTGTTTCTAACAGCATGATCTACTCCTGTCCTCGTTTCCTCCTCCTCTCTGCCTGTCGCTTTACGATAAAATCCTCTCTGTAGACTCCACAAAACTGGTGATTCTTTCGTAGAGATTTGATATTTTATTCCACCCTGACTTCTGCAACACTTCGGGCTTCATGCCAGTTAAGTTTAGTCCTCAGAGTTGGTGTTAAAGTACAGATAGATCCTCCACTTTGCACTTTTCCTCCTTTATTTCCCTCACTGTCTGGTAGCAACTGAACTGAACTTTTGAACTGCACCTGTGAGTGACCAGATGTCATCTGTGTGTGCGTGTGTGGGCCGATATTCCCGCTTCTGCATGTGCGTGTTTTGTTTGTGCGCACATGAAAGGTATGGGACCAGGTAAAGGCGTCCAACCCGGACCTGAAGCTGTGGGAGATCGGGAAGATTATCGGGGGGATGTGGAGAGACCTGACCGACGAGGAGAAACAGGACTACCTGAACGAGTACGAGGCTGAGAAGGTGAGGGGGTTCAGGAATCCGTCGGGACTTCCTTTAGTGCTTTTGGAGCTCACAAGTTGTTAACCGAGTTTTCCTTCCTTCACAGATCGAGTACAATGACTCTCTGAAGGCCTACCATAACTCTCCTGCGTACCTGGCCTATGTCAACGCCAAGAACCGGGCGGAGGCTGCGATGGAGGAGGAGAGCAGACAGAGGCAGAGTCGTATGGACAAAGGCGAGCCGTACATGAGCATCCAGCCCGCCGAGGACCCCGACGGTCAGTTTTGTTTATTCGACTCTTGCGTGATCCCTCTCTCAGTCCGCTCACTGTCCCCTCTCTCTCCTCCTCCTCCGTCCAGACTACGACGACGGCTTTTCCGTGAAGCACACAGCAGCCGCTCGCTTCCAGAGGAACCACCGGCTCATCAGCGACATCCTCAGCGAGATCGTGGTGCCTGACGTCCGCTCAGTGGTCACCACCGCTCGCATGCAGGTCCTGAAGAGGCAGGTCCAGTCCCTCATGGTGCATCAGGTACGACCCACCTGTGAACCTGTTCATTTAAAAAACACTAATGGACACTCTGACTCACCTGATCATTGTGCATGTTTCAGAGGAAGCTGGAGGCGGAGCTTCTGCAGATTGAGGATCGTCACCAAGACAAGAAGAGGCGCTTCCTGGAGACGACGGACACGTTCAACACCGAGCTCAAGCGCGTACGTGTTCACTGTGAAATGTAGTTTTTCACGCTTAATCACTTTGTACTGAAGCTGCTGTTTTCCTGCTTCTCCAGCTGTGCAGTCAGAAGGTGGAGGTGGACATGGAGAAGCTGGCGGCAGAAATGGCCGCCGCGGAGGAAGCAGCCCGACGCCGCGCCGAGGAGAGAGAGCGCGAGGCGGCCGAGCAGGCGGAGAGAGCGGCTCAGCAGGCGCAGCAGCAGCAACAGCAGCAGGAGGCAGCTGGAAACAAAGCTACAGAGCAGAGCAGCGCTAATGCTAATGCTAACAGCTCTGCCAACCCCCCCTCAGGGACCAAGGAGGAGGACAAGCCGACGCCCATGGAGACAGGTACTGGTTCTGGTTCTGGTTCGAGTTCATGTCTCAGTTTTTAAAAATAACAACAGGGTTCGAATAAACGGAGACTTTAAACTAATCTCTCACCTCCCCTCCTCAGACGAGGCTCCCCCGGCAGAGTCCTCCTCAGACCCCCAGCCTGCTCCTCCTCCATCCGACCCCCCCTCCTCGGCCTCAGATAAAGCCAGCCCTCCTCCTGAGCCGCCCAGGGAGACCAGCACTCCTGTCAGCAGCGCCCCCAGTGAGGACAGCAGCAGCAGCAGCAGCAGCAGCATGCCTCCTCCCCCCTCAGAGAGCCTCCCCCCTGCAGCCGCAGCCCCAGCACCGCCTGAACCTCCCGCAGCTCCGGAAGCCACCGCCGCCGCGCCTCCTCCGCCTCCCCCTGCCTCAGAGGAACCGCCTCCTCCACCGCCACCGCTGCTGCCCCCCGGCCAGAGCGGGCCGCAGTACGACATGTAGTCCGATAGAAACACAGTGGTAGCCGTAGAAGCCCCCTCCCTCAGTGTCCTGTTATCCTGAGGAGACGAGCTGAAAAAAAAAAAAAGATTAGCAGAGTTTTCAGGAGCAAACATTTCATCTGAGTACGTTTCCTTTAAATTTACCCAGCATGCCTGGTTCCTAAAATAAAAACTTCACCAAAGAGGGCGACACCTGACCCGACCGACTCTGTGCTGCAGACGTCCTAACGTCCACTCCTCTCCTCAGCCACGTCACATGAGCTATACAGGTATCTCACTCAGTCTCTGCTCCCTGCAGCTCCACTTTCACGTCTACATCCACTGTTAGTCTGAGAACGAGAGGACCACGACTTTATCACACTTCATGGTAAACTTATAGAAACTGATGAACGACAAACTCACACTGACGTAAGTAAGTTATTTGCCAGAAGGCGTCATTTACACTGCAGCAGCTAAAGCCGTCTTTGTTTACCAAGAGCGTGAGCGTCGCCGTAGCTTTGGCAGAAAGAGTTTGTGAGATTTCAGAAATAATCGAACCAAACGACGTTGACAGAAACACGTTTTACGATTTGTTTCTCGTCTTATAGACCAGACAAAGATTGAACTTCACAAATCTGCATGTTTTCAGATCCGATCATTCAGATCTCATTTCGCCGTACGGGGTCGATTCTCGACGATTCAGACGTGACTCGCCAGATTCAAGTCGAGAGGTGCTCCTCAGCCGAAAACCAAACAGCGTCAAACTTCCATCAGGCTGAAGTAGCTGGAAGCAGCAGGAAAGTTCCTCCTAACTTCCATCCACGTCCAGATCAGCACAAACGTCTTTAAACCCCCGCTGTGTCGACGTTCAATCGTTCAATCAGCCCCTCACTTTTTCTGATATACAACCACAGCTGCAAACCTTCGAGGCGTTCGTACTTGACGCCTCTTTTTTAGACTGTTTAAACTCTCCGCCTTCTCCTGTTAATAAAGGGCAACTTCGCATGAAAAGACCTCAACCTCGAACCCCTCCTCCTGTTTCAAACCTCCAGACTTTTGTAGTTTTCAGAGTTGGTGTGATCTGCAGAACCACTGCTGTTCCTTCTCCTTTTTGTTTTCTAGAGATCTAGTGGAAACTTTTTAGAGGAAATATAACCTTCTTATTAAACCTGTACCTTTGAACCTGACGCTGTTTCAGTTCATCCAAGGTGTGACTCTAGCATGGAGAGGGGCACATTTTATCATGTGTTCTGCATGCAATAAGATATACTCAACTGAATCCTGAAAGTGTTTGAAGAGTAGGACTAAGGATAAAACGAAGTATCAGCATGTCTTAAAGGTGCTTGAATAATCTGAGGAAGAATCCAAGCCGTGGTCCCTCCTGTATTTATCACGTTTTCAGTCGGTAGGTAAACTGTCAGAGCTTCTATCAGGCTGCTTTTTAAAGGTGTAAGTGCACACGCTCCCTCCTCCAGATGTAACCTCAGTCACTCAAGCATTTAAAGGACTGTTTTCTTACTTGAAGTGGACTGTTTTTAGTAATATGCCTCTGTTTTTGCATCTTTCTTTTGTACTGTCTTAACTTACTGACCCTAATAAAAAAGATTCTTCAGTCTTTTTCAACTCGTTCATTTTTATTTTCTCTCTTTTTTTAATGTTTCAATTTGGCAGGATGTGCACTAAATGTGGCACCATGAGTTATCCACAAGGGGGCGTCGTTTCCCTCCTGTAAAACCACCTTCACTGACAGACACTAGGTTAAATTCAGCACAATGCTTCTAAATCACAGGTGTCAAACTCGAGGCCCACGGGATCATATCATGTTTGTATTATTATTGGCCCACCAGTGAAGTCTGCAGATTTCCTCCAGTATAATAATGTAAACTTTAGTACCATTATTTAAAATATTCCTAATAAGCCACGAAAATCTGGGAAATTAAAGAGTGAGGAAGATTTGATAAATAGTCAAGAATGTGTGGAAAAATATTTGGTGTTTTATTTCATGTTTTCAATTTTGCATTTCAAGATTACGAGTCAAACATGATTGGATTTTTTATTTCATGCTTTGATTTTGTCCAACTTAGTATTTAGACTTTTTATTTTTATTCTTTAGATTCCAGCTTTAGTCATATTTTGACCTTTTATACCTGATTTCAACTTTCTCCTCATATATTTGCTCTTTAAAAGCATTATTTTTACGTTTTTAATATCATGTTCTGATCTTATGAACCAATAAATATAAAAAATATATATCTCAGTTTGCCTTTAAATTTATCTTTTTTGAATTTACAAATGATTTATTAGCTGTTTTTGTTTTGCATGTTTTTTGAAAAGGAGGTTGACAGTTTTGGAGAAATGTTGACCCTGTGTGGCCCTCAGGTTAGACTTGAGTTTGACTCCCCTGTTCTAAATAAAAGCAGTGTGTGTAGGACGTAAAATAAAACTCAAAGGTTGGTAAAGTATTACATGTGACTATGTTGCTTATAGGGTGGGGAGGCTGTCTTCAATGCTAGTAAAAAATATAAAAAAACGCATGAAAAACTTCTCAGGCATGTCGCTCAGGTAATTTTAAAAAAAATTAAATTAAGATTTTATTGTGATTGAATCATTACCTGCAAAAACTCTAAATCTAACTGTGAATTGTCATTGCCACTAAGTCTATCTTATCTATCTATCTGACGGTCCGAGATTATATTTTTGCAGCGATGTCTAAAATGGGTTTTTGATTTAACTGGTTTGATCTACTTCAGAGCAGAGATCATGCTTTATTACTTTCAGGGTTTTTTTAGGAGCCACTGAGAGATTAAAGAACAGAGTCATTCTCTTGTTTTCCTGCTCCGGGCTTTTCTAACTTCATTTGTCTATGTAAAGATTCGTTCCGCAGGATTTGCAAAACCTTTATTTGCAAACAACCTCCTACACGACAAAGATGATGACAACAAAGCTTGTCTTTACTTCTGCTTATTTATAAAAGAAGCAGTTTAACAAACTTTCAGTGTTAAGTGGTACATGCCATATTTATGATGGATAGTTCCTCCTAAAAAAGTCTCTGGAGCATCTGTCATGAAGAGGCATCACTTTTAACTTCTATGATTTTCACACCCGACTAAAACTCCTCTCAGGGGGTCTCTGGTTGGTCATGTTTGGCCCCTAACACCTAAGCTTCTCTTGGACAACTTCATTTGTCGATGCAACCACTTCATAAATGTGATCATGTGACTTTTCCCCTGACGGAAAGTGGAGTCAGATCTGCGCAGACATGATTGCATTTCATTTGACTGTCAAATCCAAACACTGGTAAGAAATGACAACAATTTAACAAGGAGTTTTAAACATGAAAATAAAAATTCAAATAGTTCTGGTTTGCTATTGAAATTCAGCGATGAACCATGCATTGAAAAGTTATTGGTACCAATAATCAAATTACAACCAAATCCAATTTTCGGTGCCCCGTGTGAGGCATCCAGTCTCAGCCAGGGCACCATTATTACCATACATGATATTTAACAAACGCCATGCAGACTCAAAAACAAAACTCGACTAAAATTAGGCACCTTACCATCTATTTAATGAAAATATCTGTCTGTCAACCATCCCGCATTATTATAAACATTTGGCAGCTAAAACTGTCAAGTTTCAATCTCATCTGTCTTTATGGTCCTGTGTTTGCATGGCAGGCATCTCTGTATGGGCCTAGCTTGGAAACTGATTGGGTGCCTAAAATAGAACCTTAAATACTGAATTAACTAATTGGAAAGTGACGCACCGGACTGCAAGACAGAACTTAGCATGTAAGTGTGGCGCAGTTAGAGTCCTCTGAATTTTGAAGAAGTAGATACGAGCATTTTAAAATTCAAATAAGCGCGATTAATCACATCCTCAACTGTGATAATCCATGATAAAAAAGAAGTTCACCTGTTGACAGCACTAGTTTGGAGCAATCCTGCATTCAGCTTGTGTAAGAACACAGTTGAAATGATCTTTTACAGGCCTAAAGTTTCGTTAGGTTGATCATTTTTAGTTCTATGGAGACAGAGATGGATTTAAAAACTGGTCATGCTTTGCTTTCCTTTCTTCTTAAGGAAACATTTAATGTACAGTACAGGCCAAAAGTTTGGACACACCTTCTCATTCAATGCATTTTCTTTGTTTTCATTACTATTTAAATTGTAGATTCTCAAAACTATGAATGAACACGTGGAATCATGTGCTTAAGAAAAAAGTGTGAAATAACTGAAAACATGTTTTATATTTTAGATTTCTCAAAGTAGCCACCCTTTGCTTTTTTGATAGCACTGCAAACTTTAGCTGTTCTCTCAATGAGCTTCATGAGGTAGTCACCTGAAATGGTTTTTACTTCACAGGAGTGCCTGAAGTAACCCTGACAAGGTACTTCTGTCATCAAGAGCAAAGGGTGGCTATTTTAAAGAAACTAGAATATAAAACATGTTTTCGGTTATTTCACACTTTTTTTATAAGTACAAAATTCCACATGTGTTCATTCATAGTTTTAATGCCTTCAGTAATAATCTACAATGTAAATAGTCATATAAAAAAATAAAGAAAAGACATTGAATGAGAAGGTGTGTCCAAACTTTTGGCCTGTACTGTACGTTAAGATTTCTTCTGATTTACAAAATCCTTTCTTTGCAAATAATTGTGTCCAATAACCAGATAATAAACAGGAAGATGAGCTGTGGCTGAATCTGGTCATGACAGTGAATTATAAAGTCCGATGTCAGACTCCACCGCAGTCGATTCTCCTTTATTTCATATTGTAAATTTGCTCATTTGAATTCTCTCCTGACTGACAGCTGAGTCAAACCTTCAGGGACGATGCAAATAATAAGACTGATCACGTCTCTGCGCATATTGCCAAGTGGGGATTAAAGAAAGAGGGTTTGTGGTACAATAAACGCCGCACTGTGAAAGTTTATCATCGTATCTGCAGACTGAGGTCGATCACCACAGGTGAGACAGTTTTTCTCTAAAACAAGATTTAAAACATGTTTTTAGTGGAAAGTTTGTTATTGACTTAAACGTGTAGGATAAGGACAGAGAACAGTATGTTGTGTAAAAATGTTGATTAAAATGAAGCAGTCCTTTCATAAAAACCTGATCATGTAATACAGTTTTAAAAAAAAGACTAATTTTAGAGTTTGCTTTGCTATATTTAGTGCTTTTTACAGCTGATTTAGCACTTTTTTTCTGGTCCTGTTAGTTTTTATAAAAACCCAAATGACAAACAGAAGCGTTATGTCCAAATCACAGCTAAGAGACAGCTTAGAAGGGTTCAACTGGTCTTCAGGTTTTTCTCAAATGTCAATGAACAAATTAGACTTTTAACAGGAAACTCTTAATCTGGAGAAAATTACAAACAGAAAAAACTGTGCAGTCAGACTTTTCTTGTGATTCCTTTAACGTTTATTTCTCCAAACATTATATCTCTGTCCTGAACACTTTTTCAATCGTATCTTGCAGAAACTACATTGATCATTATTCAGGGTGAGACCAGATTCTTTGTCAAGTCCTGAATTTTAAATCGGTGAAAAGAAACAAAACCATGACCATGGATGGGAGGACTTTTGCTTTCCATCTTCTGTCAGGTGGGTAACCCCGAATTTCCACTGAATCTGGAAAAGCAGCGATTTTCGCCGTTTGCCAATTCAAACCGGATCCGTCCGTGAGGTGAATTTTATGTGCAATTTGCGCAATGATAAGTTGTTTCTTTAAGGACAGCCACATAACCATATAAGCAGTAGATTGTGTCCTTCCAGAGGAGGAAATCTACTTCTAGACTTTTAAAAAGAAGGCAGATGTTTTATTTTGTGTCTGTGCCCGACTTCCTTTCCAGCACGGGTTAATCTGTGCTGAATTTATCCGCCATGCTCCGGCGTCTGAAAAAAAATAGAACTCTTGCGATCAGCTGTGGAGTCCAACGATCCGCAGTGAAACGGAAAGAAGCCGGTGGAAATTGACACGTTAACTTGAATGGTTACGATCAGCAGATACGGCCTTTTTCGTAGACATTTCAGATGCGTTGGTAATTGGGAGTAAAAAAACAACAACCTGGTTTTGTTGTTGAGTTAAAGTTTAAATCGAGCTGCAAGTTTCCTTAACTTTTAGTTTGTGTTGATTTTGGCGCCCCCTGTGGTCACACTGGTGCCTCTTTTTTATTGACTGATTTTGCCTCTGTGTGAGTTAAGAAACAGCGCCAGTTTCAGACACAACAACAAAAAAAAAAGAAATTTTTCTTTGTTGATTTTTGCTCGTAGAAAGTAAAATGATTCCAGTCCGTGTCACAGGAGCTTTAACCGAGATCTTCTTTCTTTCATCAGCGCTGTGTCTCCTCCCCGTCTGTTTCCCTCGCCGTTACATCCTCCTTGAAGAGAGACGGACCTGGGCCGGTGCTCAGAGCTACTGCAGAGAGAAGTACACTGACCTGGCCTCAGTCCACAACCAGGAGGAGTCTGATCAGCTGGTGGCTGCTGCACAGAAAACGTACCAGGATGATGTGTGGATCGGACTCTACGACTCACCTGACAGCTGGAGATGGTCGTTTGAAGACGAGGGATACTACAGTGGAGGCGAGTCCGGCTTCAGGAGGTGGGCTTCTGGTCAGCCTAACAACTTCGGCGGCGATCAGACCTGCGTACTGATGGCGCCTGGTAAAGGATGGAATGAACGTGCTTGCAGTACCAAAGCCCAGTTTGTCTGCTACGATGGTAAGAAACATGAAATGAACATAAACGGGTCATTTCTGCCCTTTTGTTGAAGGTGTAGGTCACGATTGTGTTGCATTTGAAGCATTATTCCTCTGTGTTCCTGACCCACATGGCTTCTTCTGTCCTTCTGAAACCTAACCTCAGGAAAATCTGACGCCAAGGCCTCCTCCAGATTCATCTATGTGGATGAGGAGAAGACCTGGAAGGAGGCTCAGGACTACTGCAGGGAGCACCACACCGACCTGGCCTCTGTGAGGAACAGAGCTGAGAACGATAAGATCGAGAACATGGCTCGGGATAGAAACACCTGGATCGGCCTCTACAGAGACTCGTGGCGTTGGTCTGATGGGAGCCCCTATACATTCAGGAACTGGAGCACTGCTGCATTAAAGAGGAGCTTCAAATCTTCCTATGCGGTTTTACATCAAGGCCAATGGCAAGACTCCAGCTGTGACAGTGAACTTTTCTTTGTGTGTTACGTTGGTGAGCGTCAAACACAAACTTCACACACAAATGTTTATATACAGTATCTCACAGTAAAAGTACGGCACGTGTGTTCAGTCTTGATGCTTCTTTCTCCTGCAGACCCAGTAATGAAGCGAAGGGTGTTGAAGGTGAAACTGTCTCAAACGGACTCCTCTTGGAACATGGAGGAAGCAGCAGACGCCATCTTGCAGCAGGTAACAGTAGCGAGCGTTTTGCACGAAGATTATCCAAAGTTGGAAACTAAAAGAGTTTGAGATTAAAAACTTCAGATTCTTACAGCTAACTGAAAAAGTCTGCAGGAGTCACCACAGTGCATCATGGGAAACTAGTCGGTTGTAGCTCACTTCATCAGGGTAGAGGGGTCAGATTCACAAGGTTAAAACAGGAGCGTTATGTTACCATGGTTACATAGTTATTGCTTGTGTTTCTGAACCGTTTGTGTTTTCCAGATCGGACAGACGCTGAAGGAGCACGGCGTGGATAAAGGCGTGAGGCTGATGTGGAGGAAGCAGCCCGATAGAAAGATCTTCAACAAAGACGAAGAGGAAAAAAAGAGTGAGATGACCTCCACCTGAGATCGTTTAAGTCAATTTATTTCGATTTAACTCAGATGTAAATCAGCTCTACAGCGGGCAGTCTGTCCTTCGTATGCTCCCTGTAAAATCTTCTAAACTAAACCATTAAAGCTCCTGTGAGGACCTTTCAGTTTGTGTCAATTTTGGCGCCCCCTGTGGACAAACAAGCCTTTTCCTGTTTTTTCTCTACTTGCTCAATTGTCTTCTTTTGACTGTCAAACGTTTCACCTATTATGACCATCAAAATCACGGATGTTGTCACTCATGTTGTTGTTTTCTTCAGTTTTCTATAAAGATGCATTAAAATGAATTTTGGTCTATTTCATAACCTTTAAAAAACTCCTTATTGGAGCTTTAATCCAACAGGGTAACAAGAAAACAATTATTTGAGGTGAGGACACTAACTTCTTTTGCTTTTGTCACACACAATAACACAAATTGACACACACAACTGCAAGCACGCACATACACACAAGGTCAGTCATATGTTTTAGACAAAGCGAACAGTCCAGGGTGAGATCAAGCATTCAAGACTTTCTACAATCAGTTTCTAGTCAGTTGATAAAAAAGTACACATACACAACGCTCAGATGAGTGCCCTTCTAAAGCCTCTCCTGTAGTGCCCCCTGCTGGCAGATGAATAGTTTCATAACAGCAGCATGTTTAGGTGTGTTGTATCTCAGACCAGGGCAGCTGCAAAGATGACCATCACATAAAACAGAGGAAGACGAGCAAAGTGAGCATCTGTGTGGTTAGAGAGTAGAGACGAACGCTGTAAAAAAAATGTCGCATCAATTCAAGGATTTACCTGAAACTGCAGAGCTGAAGGCCAGGAGGCCACGCAGACATGTAAAGTCGACTGAAAAACCTCCTGGACCTGTCTGCTGTGATTTATTTTCCCTCTACAGGCAATAGAAGTAATGGGCTGCCACTCACTCAGTACAACACACACACACACGCACACACACACACACCTCTGTACATTTGCACAAATTAAACCTGACACTGGATCGTTCATTCCAGCAATGTCACCTCCCTCTCTCCTCGTCTTCTTGATGTGTTTCGGCAGCCGAGTGCAAATCTCAGACGAGTCGCCGACGTGTTTTTATGAAAACCGTTCGCTTCTATATCGCCGCGTTTTGTCATTTGGCAGGCCAGTCAGGATTAATAAGACACTGTACGTCCAGTATTTATATGTTTGTTTGTTTTTTCTTCCATATAAAGAAAATATAAAAACACCTGTGTGAGTGAGTGAGGAAGAAACCAACTTAAAGGTACATTTAGAAACACAGGGCTGAGGAAAAACCTCCATCTGTCCATCTTTAACCGTTTATTAGGACTGCAGTTAAGGGACAAGATCAAGTTTTGTTGCAACAGTGATGGTAAGAGTTTGTGTACGGATGGTAAAAAGCAGTTATACATTAAGATAAATACACTAGACATTAAAAATGTCGCTAAAACACTAACAATGGTTACAGAAACTAACTGTCCATTTCCATACCTGTATATTGTTTTTATTTATTTTAACTGTGTTTTAACTGTGTTCTTAATGCCTGTACAGTGTTCTTGGGTGTCCAGAAAGGCGCTTTTAAATAAAATGTATTATTATTATTATTAGAAAGACAAATTTACACTTAAAGATGATTATTTTTCACAATAAAAATGCAGTTAGAAACTAAAAATCTTCACGTTTAATTCTAAAAACTCAGCCATACATGAAAGAAAGGGATGCTTTGAACTAAAATGCAGTTTAACTTGGTTTTGCACACAAGGTAGGATTTAATCCAATCTGTCTCAGACATTTTCAACAATCACAACCTGATTTTGAGATTTGATACCGTCCAATTAAATTACTTTTTTTTGCAGCTGAATCCAGAAGACACCAAAATGATGCAGGGTTAAATAAAGACGTGGAAAATATCTGCATGATTCAAAGAAAGATTCTGTTTTGGGAGTCTGTGTGAAGTGAACAGATTCGACCCCAAAAAATGCCTCTAAAACATGCCTGTAACGTCCTCACATTTATACATGAGACATTTTTATTCCTTATTTTTACACGCTGGTGCATCTTGTTTAACTAGATCGTACTTTTCTGTGAAGACATTGATGCACCAAACATGAATCTGAAGCAGACAACGCTACTACAAACAGATCTGCCTGTCTGATCAGTAAACCTGGATTCTGGGTGCGATTAAAACCTGATTTATCTCTTTTAAATACACATGGACAGAGGAGAAAATCTAGTTTAAATCATTTTAAAATTACATCTCCATTCTTGAAGGTTACAGCAGTGTTCTCACCTCACATGTACCTCTCGTTGTGTTTGTTTTGTCTTGCAGGGAATCCTAATGTGAGCGCCGTGTTTCAGGCCACAGCAGTCTGGCAATAATCATTCGAGCATTAAATTGCTTTCAGACGGCCTACTGAGTAATCAGGCTGCTCGCCAGCGAAGCCCCTCGATGAACAAGTTCATGAGGGAAGGCTTTCCCAAACCAGACCGGAGCCCTCTGACATTATCGGAGAGGGAGGCTGTGAATGTCACGATGTCAGCGAGCAACATTTGCAGTTTATCAACACAACATCCATTTACAGGAAACGAGAAGAGCAACAATTTACCAGTTTAGAACCAGAGAGAGGGAAAGATATCTCAGTATCACCAATAAATGCTGGGATATTTTTCCTGGCGTTTGTATTTTTTCATGAAGCAGATGGTTAATCATGAGGGAATTAGCATGAACTTAAAAATTGCTAAATAATTAAGGTTTTAATCGATGACAGAGATGAGGACTCGTGTTAGCATTCGAGTTATAGATTAAGACAGAAAATCTTCATGAACTTCAGGTCCTTACGTTAGGTTACCTTCAGATCTGCACATTGAAGTTACAGCCTGAATTATTTTAATCCAGTCTGCATGTTGGAAATGATTATTTTCAGCCTTCTGTGAGGTTCCTCTTTATATAATGTCCTGCATATCTAGAATAAGGACATCTGCAGAAGAGGAGGTGACCTCTGTGTGCGCTTATGAAATTATTAACAGATGGTCCCCCCACATTCAGAAGGTCGTATCTCATCGTTATTGTTGGTCTAAATATAAAGTTTACTTTAGTTGTAATAAGCTGAATAAACAGACAACACTCCTATATCATCATCTTTTACAGAAATCATGTTAAAAACAGTGTAGCTCAACTTTAAGTGGTAAAAAATAAACAAAATTAGACCTTTATGAGATTAATCTTTAATCTAAAGTTACTCCAACTCTGTTTGAAACAACATTTCAGCAGGAAGACAAGCATGTTGTTGCTGCTTAGTTTACAATAATTCAGCTTTTTCTGGTTTGAAATGAGGTAGACAAGAAGAGAGACTCATGCAGAGCTGGTTTTGGCCTGCAGGGGGCAGACTGGGTGCTGTCTATGGTGCTGAACAGGAACGCTTTGACACTGAGGGACCAAGACTTCTTTAAGGACATCCTCAAGTACAGATTTCCCCCACTTGGTCATTCAAACGTGACTGTCGACCCTCCAGGCTCACTCTCACTCTGCTTGATACTCACATGTCGACATCTCAGTGCTTTATTACAGTCCACAAAGTAAACTTATGTCTGACTAAAACATGATTATTTCCACACTTTTCTTCCCAATCATACCTACAAAACATGAATGCAAGCTTCTTTCTGCATTTAAAACTAGAGCATGAACTCAGGGGGTTGACTACATCTGGATTTCTGAGTCTCTGAGTTGAAACATTCATCCAGAAACATGTCAGCTCCATTTTTAAAAGTGACAGAAGTTAGATCAGATCAATCAATCAACTAGGATATTTTATTTGTTGGGTTAAAGTTGTTTCAGTATTCAAAATAAAAGTTTGTGAGGCCACGGGATCATCCAACAAACACATGTCTGAAGTCTGGAAAAGGGGGAGTGTATCATGAAGTATTAATACTGGCACTGAAACACTATTTTTTTGGTTATAAAAAACACAACAAATAAATAAACAATGAAGCGCCACAATGCTAAATGCTTTGAAATTGTTTTTGACCTCTAAAACAGTTTGAGTTTATTTTGTTAATGTAATTCAGCCTGAATTAAACCTTCCTATGGACCGTCAGAGTTTTAAGTTAAAATGATCCCAATTCGTCTGAATCTTTCAAAAACACAAATTTAAGAATATATCTTGGGAAAAAACTCAATTTATTCCCCCCTAATCCATTGTTTTTGTCTTTTTAATTAACCTAAATATGAGTTTTGATCACTTAAGTTTTGAACAGGTAGCAAACGGATAGCGATAAAAACTACTTCCGGTGTTGCCTTGATTGCTGTCCGACTTCCAGAGTGAAAGTGGCGCTAAAGTCGAGAGTAACGTCCAGTTCTTCTCTTTTAAAGTAGTGCCTGTGTACAGAGATTTACACAGAGTTAAAACATCGTCAGAGTATAACTGATAGTTGACTTATTTACACTCCGGATGGTATTTTACTTCAGTTTTCTCCACACGGACGGTTTCCGACAAGATCCCGCCAAAACGCCAATGAACGGATACCACCAAGAAACATGACTCTACAAAATCGTATGACTCCTTAGTTATCGGCACTGGTGACACAATAAAGTCTGAATTTGGAGACGATAAACACCAACATGCCCAGCTCGCAGTGTGGGGCTCTTATTTTGAAATCCATTTCCGGCGTGTTTCCTCAGTGTGTGGAACTTTACAGTCTTCGCTGTTCGTGTGAGCAGCAGAGGGAGGCAGAGAGAGGGAGACACACAGAGCGGCTCTCAGCAGCTGTCAGCGTCCCTTCAACGCGGAGCTTCCAGCGGCTGAATGCAGGTGAGTGACGCGGGGACAGAGTGTGTGTGAGCCGGGGAGAATCCCCGCGGAGAACTGCTGGTTCGGCTGCAGAACCTCCGAGGTTCCTGCATCGATTATTACAGTACGAACCTTTTCACTGCGATCAAGTGTGGAGCTGAGGTGTTGCTGTGTGTGCAGGTGACTGCTGACTGACTGACTGACTGACTGTTTTCTCTGTGGTGAATTGTTTTAGTTGAAGTTGGTTTGAGTGGAATTTAAGGTTTTATTGAAGTAAAGCTGAATGTTTTTGCAGCTTGTTGTGATTTTCGTCCCCTGCCTCAATTTTCTTAAAATGCAAAACATTAAAGACCCCAGTTTTATGGAGATGAATTTACTGTTTTGGCACAAATGCAGAAGATTTGACAGAATATGTCCATGCAAAGCGTTTAATGCAGTTTTTGAACCCATTTCTTATCATGTTTGGTGGAATTCAAGGTTTTATTGCAGCACGTTGAAGTAAAGCTGAATGTTTTTGCAGCTTGTTGTGTTTTTCATCCCCTGCCTCAATTTTCCTAAGCTGGATAAAATGCAAAACATTAAAGATCCCAGTTTTATCGAGACGAATTTACTGTTTTGCAGAAGATTTGACAGAATATGTCCATGCAAAAGATTGTTTTTGCAGTTTTTAAACCCATTTCTTTTTTAGACTTCTGGTCTCCCCTTTTTTTGAGCTTTGAAGATGCAAAGAAAAGCTGCAAATTTGATCCAAACTGAAATGTAAAAAGCAGATTTAAAGAAGTTGTGGAGTCCGTCTTGTAAAAGGATGGTGCTTTAGTCTAAAAACAATGAAAAGCAAACAGAATTGAAGGTGTGTTTGTCTGTTTTTATGGAGATACATTTACTGTTTTGGCACATATGCAGAAGATTTGACAGAATATGTCCATGCAAAACTTGTTTTTGCAGTTTTTAAACCCGTTTCTTTTTTAGACTTCTGGTATCCCTGTTTTTAAGCTGCAGATTTGATCCAAACTGAAATGAAAAAGAAGCTGTGTAGTCCGTCTTGTAAAAAGGATGGTGCTGTGGTTTAAAAACAATGAAAAGCAAACATAAGTGAAGGTGTGTTTGTCTGTTTTTATGGAGGAGGAATGAGACGTGCCCTCAAGACTGGCTGCTGTTTTCTTATTTGCATGATGTACACTGAGCCCAGGTGTGTCCAGCTCCACTGATTAACCTGCCAATAGGTGTGCAGCCTGCAGACAGAGAGCAGAGCTACAGCAGAGGGTCTGTCACAAATGTTTAAAGTATTGCAGAAGACGCTCGGCACAATCTCCCTGAGCCGAATGCTTCGCCTTTGAATCGCTCCTTTTGCCCGAAACGCAGAAATTTTTCATTTACTGTATTTGAAGAGACAGAAAAGCAGAAAGTCTGCGAGTTAGAGGCCCTGGAAACAGACCAAAATATTCACTGATTATCACCGGAGTATGTGTGTTGATTTATTTTGGATCAATCAGACGATATTTGCAGCTCTGCTCTTGCAGAAGTCAAAATTTTCACCAAAAGCTCGTCTCCTTTCCTAACAAAGGCAAGAGATTTGGTCGCTGAAATGATTTATTTTGCGAAAGTCTGACTGTGATTGGTTCTGAGTTTGATCCATATGTTTGACAAGGTTACATAACTCTTATTAATTAACCAGCTGTGTGTCTGAGACGTCAGAGCGTGTGTGATCTCTCTGCCGCGACTCCAAACTTCAAAGTCAGCTGCAGTTTACTCGAGGTCAAACGGCTGAGGAGACTCTCGAAGGACAAACTCCTCACTTTTGTTCACGCTAACGTGTTGACATCGAACCCAGACAGCGCTGTCGATGATTTGGACCTTTGCAGAGAGACAAAATTGGTGATTGAGACCATAAACGTTGGGTTTTTTAGCTTTGATCCTCATTTGATGTGGGGTCAAAGTTAGGAGTGCTCTGAAGCAACCACCACCCTCACTGGGAGTTTAATTCTTGTGAACCAGCTGATCTAATATTAAGAAAACATAATTGAGGACAAATTGTTGATTCTGGATTTCCTAAAACACGGTCATATTTGTCTCGTCTCGGACTGACCGGCGCTCCGTTTCTGTTGACCTGTTGGTCAGGGTGATGAAATAACTTCGTCATGATGCAGATGTCTGAAAGGTTTTGTCAGGTCCGTCTGAAACATGAGACAGAAAAACAACTCTGAAAGGTTTGTGCTTTGAATGGAGTCGAGACAAACCATTTCTGATGCAATCCGAGGATGTCTGGGTACTGAGTTTGGATCCGCTGTTCCCTGATCCTGGATGGTGTCTTGACACACATCCTGTACAGTAGAAGTTGAAGATTTGATGTTCTCACAGGATTTCACCCACTCCTTCAGGACTAAAGCAAAAATGAATGTTTATATTTGGATCAAATGAAGCCAAACTCAGATCAGGTCTGTCCTGTGCAGAGAAATCCGTCCTGCTCTGTCTGTCTGTCTGTCTGCAGCGATCCTTCATGTGGTGAATATGCAAAACGAGGCAGAGAAACAGCTGCTGTTTGCCTCTCAACAAGCTGGCTGTCGTGTAGGCAGGGACCGTGTATTGATCGCCTCATGAAACTGTGTTTCAGTGGAAAGAACTATCACACGCTGACAGACTGTGCGGCTGTAATGAGCAGCTCACACAGAGTCCTGCAGAGAGGATTTACAAGCTCCTGAAACTGTTTACAAGGTTTGAGTTAATATTGGAAGAGCTCAGGCAAAACATGTCCACCTGCTGACACTCAGACGCAGTGTGTGTCTGCGTGTGTGTGTGTGTGTGTGTGTGTGTGTGTGTGTGTGTGTGTGTGTGTGTGTGTGTGGTACCTCTGTCTATGTATCTCAAATGGTGAACATTTCTCTTAATCAGATCCAAAAAGCGTCGTGTTTTTATCGATTTTTTTCCTTTTTTAGCATCATTATAGATAAAACAGAGAGGTCTCGTTCAGCTGACTCTCTGTGTTCAGTTTTCTGATTCCTCTTTAAACAATCTAATGAACAAATGAAAAATAGGAATATTGTACAGTATTTAGCAGTCCATGCTAACCCCGCCTGTTAGTGGGGTGACGGCGACCTTTGAGCTCATGTGACGCATGAGAAGTCTGATCCTCCAATTGTAAATTTTTCGCAGTAAAACGAATTCTACGTCACTAAACAGCCACGTCTTTTGTTTTGTGTAGCTAGCCTTCTAGCCCATTTTGTGCAAACTTGCAGATGCTGCCTCTGCTTTTTACGCAAGTAAAAAAAAAGGCTCTTATGCAGCGATAACTAAACTCTTTTTTTATACTCAGGTGATAACACACTAAGTCTGATAATCTTAAAAATGCTCTGTCCAGTTTCTACCAACTATGTTCCATCAAAGCAGCCAAAAACCACGCACTGTACCTTTAATTTTGGATGTATAACAGCTGTTTTTATTTGGAGATGCAGGAAAATTAAAGCGGTGACTTCTCTGAGATCAATATAGTTTTAAGTTATATCTACTTTACCTTTCCAATGTGCAGCATTTCATTGTCTTATGGAGGGACTTGGATTGTGTTTGAACAGTGAAAAAATCATAAATATCCTGTTTTTATTTCTAACGCCATAATGCCATATTAGATTTCCTCCTTTATATAATAATACTAAAAAAACATCTTCTTGAACCTGACAGATGCAGGAGTCACATGCAGTGTTAAAAAATTATGCCATTTGTGACGCAGAGTTTGTGGACAAAGTTGTGAGAAGAGTATCATACCGTTTTGTTTGTTTGTTTGTTTACACTAAACGTCATTAAATAGATAATTGCACAAAAATGGAGGGAGCATGTCCGATATTATGCAGCGTTTACTTCAGTGTGACGTAAATTTGACGCTCTTCGCTGTATTTAACGCTCTGCGGCCTCCTGGTCATTAAATAACGTAGTAGCAACTGTGGCAACGTCCAATCACTCTCAGCGCTGAGTTTGCATCTATTTTAAGGAAAACAAATCACATCTACAGATATTTCAGATGTACTTTTCTCAGATGGGAGTTCGAAGAGCCCCCACTGTGCAGAAACTCAGAGTCACACCTCTACATTCATGTCTACACGCTGCAGTTGTGTTTGATTCTGTGTGTTTTAGTTCTGTTGTTGCTTTTCTGCTTCATTAGTGATTAAAATCATCGTCTTCTTCAACAAAACGCTCCATCTGAACTAAACTGTAACTATCTCAGCTTCATTTTTGGAGGAAATTAAAGGTGCAGTTCCTAAAAAAATCTGTCTCAGGATTAAAAACACTCAGATTTAGTTCTTGTTTGTTAGAATAAACGTAAATATTTCACAGTTTTCATCCTGTGGTTTCGTTTGTACTCGACTCTCTCGATGCCCTCACGCTGGAGTCAGAGGTGTTCCCTCGACATGAAGCCTTTCACACATGCCATTATGTTTGGAAGAGGAAATAAATGTCCGACACTCCCCCTCCACAAGGTGAATGATATCTTTCATCTCTTATTATTAATATTTGTGCGGCAGAGTCAACACCCCTCCTGCTCCTCCTCCTCCTCCTCCTCCTCCTCCGTGTCTCAGGAAGCCGCAGATATTCCTCATCGTTGTTTTCCTTTTTTTTTTTCCAGCCCTCCTTTATTTGTCTGCCAGCGAGTGATTAAAATGTGCCTGCTGTGCCTCAGAGGAAACACACGGCAGAAAACATCAGCAGCTGAGCCCACAACATGAGGACCTTTGTTACATGCTGATGAGCTCGACACGGACACACAACCCCGAGAACTCTGGGAAAACATGTCGCGCTGAGACCCCCCCAGCCGAAACCAACAAATGAGCCGTCAGGAATTAGTTTATTTTACGATGACAAACACCGACTTTAACCCGAATTCAACTCAATTTATCAGAGAAATGGAAATTCTGCTTTTTCTAGTCGGAAAGTTTTTGAATTTCTGAAGCCGATTTCTTACAGGAGGGGGACGAAACTGCTGTTCCAGTTTACAGAGGGGGGGTTTAAGACTTTACATGAGAGTGATTAAGTTTTAATCAATTCTAAAATGATTTCTGTCCATCTCTGACAGTTTCACACACTTCTGCAGATCAGCTGACACCCTCAGATCGAACAGGCTCAGTTTTTAGTTTAAGAAATTCAAAGTTTTCTGAATTTAGCAGAAGTTCGCTGCAAACATTTACTCTGTAAAACATGCAGAAATGCAGATTTACGGAGGAGTTACAGGTCTAAGTTGATATGCATCATTTTATATGGACTATGCAGAGCTTTTTGAACATCGTGGTCTCTGAGTTAATGATGGAAATTTAGTATTTTGCACATGCGCACAGTTCTGAAATCTTCTATCGGTCGTTGAGTCGCCCGACGCTGTCGTCTGGGCCCGAATTTAAACACTCATGGTTCTCGTTCTCTGTGGCTCTGTGGTAGAATCAAGCTGGACTCAGTGGAGGATGTGGTGGAGAGATCTACACTGAGGAATGTGGAGACTATTCTCAAGAACATGGATCACCCACTTCACAACACCTTGATGGACCAAAGGGCCAATGGTGGTGAACTGCTCCTCTCTCTTCGCTGCAGGACAGAAAGATTCAGAAGATCTTTTGTACCAACAGACATCAGACTTTATAATTCTTCTGTAAATAATAGATAACTTTTAGAGACATATTACGTGAGACAACAGACTATTGAATTTCTCTTCGGGGATCAATAAAGTTCTTCTTATTCTTATTCTTGTTCCTAAAATACTCAAACTGTAAAAGAATACCAAAAGGAAATAATAAAAATAATCATCAAATATTTTAATCTTTGCTTTAAAACCCCCAAACTGATTAAAATATGTAAAATATTTACAGAAACGGTCAAAGGTGGAGAATGAAGCAGGTGAAAAATCCACCAAACTGAGTCAAGCTTTGTTTTTAAGATGTTTTTTTAGACTTTGTTTCACACACGTGCAGAGGGACCATGTCTGCATCCATCCTCGTGCGCTCGACTGATTATTTTTTCAGAGTTTCAAAGAGAGAGAGTCAAACAGATCTGTTTTTGTAACATCTGTCAAACCCTGAAAGAAGGCGTCGTCTCCGACTGTCCTGATCAGCCCGGCGCTCTCCCACAGGGCCAGACGCTCCACCCCGGGGTTTGGGAGGAAGAAATTGTGCATTTCTGGAGGTTGCTCATTGTGCAGGGTCATTAAGGTCCCTGACTGTAATCAATAGCAATGTCAGTAGGTGGGATACAGACGAGAATGCTAACCAGAGTGTGTGTGAGACAGTGTGTGTGTGTGTGTGTGTATCAGTGTCTCTGGCAGAGGTGGAGCAGCCTTTCATGCGATGATGGATTTGCTCTCAGATGTGGGCTTTTGAATCCAGACACGGTTTGCAGTGATAAACAGGCATTAGACTAATCTTCATGGGCTTCACGGTGCAGGAAAAGCAGCATCGAACATTCCCGTCACTCGGTGATGAATGGAGTGTGCCGCCGTCATCAAAGTCTATCTGCATGGCTGACAGTGATTTTTGTCAGTTTGGGGTCATTTTCTCGCTGCATGTAAATGAGACGCTTGTTATTTTAGTTTTCTGCAGGTTGAGGCCGGGTGATTGGAGCGATTGTTTGGAGGCTCCGAATGCAGCAGAGCATCACTGCGGGCCATTAGAGCTGCAGAGGAGGGTTTGAGAAGTGTGTCTGCTGACATTAGAAAGCGGCGTCAGTGCAGAGTAATGTGGGGAATTATTGCAGGTAAGGGCTGCAAACTGAAACTGCAGAGAAGTCAGAGTGAGACGCTCATGAGCTTAAAACTAGGAGCCAATCAAGACGAGTTCACCCTCAGCAGTAGAAGTTTCTGTAGAAGAACTTTTAACTCGATTTTAAAAAGTTTCTCGCTTCTCCTGATAGATCTGTGTCACCTACAACAGCAAATGAGCCAATCAGAGGGAAGAGGAGATATTTCTAAACAGTGTAACTCCTACTTTCGACATTCGTTGGTCGGGTCGCCCAATGACAAAACGATTTACGAGCGCGTATCGACAGCACCGCGTATCACGCAGCAAACAGGTCGCCATTCCAGTCAATAAAGCAAAGCTGCAGGACGCATCGCAGCTCTGTCGCAGCATCGTATCGAGAGCAGCTCTGCTAAAGATACGTGGCGAAGCTATTTTTGCTGCTCTACGTTTCCAATGCACGTCAATCTACAGAGAGAAGATCTAGTAGACAGGAAGTCATGCATGTCATCCGGTATTTGCATGCATGTCAATGAGCTCAATACGGATCCTGTATGTTTTCGGCTTTAGACATGAGAGGAAACAACTCCGAAACAAACTCCACGTCAGACCAAAGACCTCGTAAGTGTCCTCACGACAGGACGCGCAAGAGCTCATGGGAAATGCAGTCATCATTCCGGCCAAACACTACAGCTTTTGTCCATAGTGGCCGCCAAATGCAACGGAAAATGAAAACTCCTTTCAGCTGCTTTAAGAGATCATGATAAATTCAGATTCATTTTAATTTCTGAAAAGTTTTGTGCAGCTTTTTTCCTTTAAACTTCAAACTCTTTCAAAGTCCATCGATCTGCGACAGGATGCTTCACAAACGTTTTTACAAAGACCTGCAAAAAGACGAGAGATGACTGAGCCCCGTCTTCTAGGATCACTCTGATCTTCATCTACACGTGTGCAGAAGAACTTCCTTTAACAGGCAGAAACCTCGAGCAGAACCCGACTCACGTTAGACAGTCATCTGCTGAGACTGAGCTGGATGAATTGTCTTGAACCTCTTTTAGCTGACGTATCATATCTGCAGGTTCATCCCAGAGCACAGCCCCGCCGCTCGGGTCAGAACTTTGTTTTTCCTGATATTTATGGAGGTCAGCGAGCTGTGCAGCGAGGTCGGGTGTGACGTCTGACAAGTGTCTGTGAGGGAATCGTACTTCTTGTTGCGGGGATTAAAAACATCAACAGCAGAGAGAGAGAGAGAGAGAAAGAGAGAGAGAGAGAGTGTGGTCGTGCCGACACTCTCCTCCTCATAATGAGCTCAGATCCTCCTACAATGGACAGAGAGCTCTCTGCAGGAGGACTGAGCCTGAGGGCTTTAATGCCAACCTTCAACCTAAACCTCCATCAGCATGCGGCTAAATCACCTCCTTATTTTCATAAATCTCTCTCCTTCTGCTGCTCCGTCACCTCCCGAGTCACACGGAGAGGCCGCCATTCACTCTCATTTCCTCACTCTCTGAATCAGCAAACTTTATCCACCTGAAAGACCTTTTTCTCCAGCCCTCCTCCTTCCTCTCTAAATGCTCACTTCTTCCATGCTGCGTTCCAATTACTCCACGCTGTCATAAAGCCGGACTGCTACGCCTTATCGCTCCTGCAGGAGAGAGGGAGCGGGCTTCAGCCGGGCTTATCAAAATGCTAATGTGTTTGAAAGGAGACATTAGTCTTCCCGAGGAAAGGAGGCTGGGAAAAAGTGCATTATTAAACAGCCGCCTGTTTCATCTTGTAAAAGTGGCACTATCTCCCCTCTGCATTGCCACATGTTCCAGCTTCAGCCTTCAGCACATCCTTCATTCCCATGCAGAGGCTGTTTTTGTAGGAGCCCAATGAAAACTGCTCAGCATCCTCCATCTCTGTGGAGAAGAAGAACTTTCAAATTGAAAAACCCAGGAAGGGGAAATGGAAACATGAGAAGCTGGGTGTCTCTTTTTTTGGGACATGAAGGACCTTTAGATAAGCGACATGCTGCTGATGGTTTGGAGATGCTCTTTGCAAAAGTTGGCTCGATAATTACGCCGGCGTGTTTCGGCTCTGCTCGCTCTATTTCCCCGAGAAAAGAAGGTTTGAAATCTGCAGAATTTCAGCTTTAATGGCGGAGTGAAGGGAGGCTGCGTTCTGCTAAATTTACCAACCGAATCAGGAAAGAGGCGCGATTCAGAGTTTGTGACGCACCTGCAATGAGAAAGACTTCAGACTGTTTGAAGTCGGTTTAAAGAGGCGCCGATGAAAGCAACAAAGAGTTGTTGTTTTTGCAGAACACGTAGGACAACTTGACCAAAGTATCCAACAACATTACAGACACACACTCTGCAGAATCAGACTCTGTTTTAATAACAAAAAACTAAGGATTGACCGATATGTTTTTTTTAGGGGACAATACCGATTACTGTATTTTTCGCACTTTAAGCGTACCATCAATGATCGTGTCTATTAGCGTCTATTTTTATACACAAGGCGCACCAGATTATAAAGTGCATTAAGCCACACACAATGCGCCAACAAGCCACCAGGCTGTGCGGCTCCGTAGCTTACCGAAGTCTTAATAAAATATTTTGACAGATTTCAAATAGTCACTCCATATGGTCTGAAAAGTGCAAAAAGCTGAGTCGCTCTGCCTTGCAATGTATACGATAATATTAGGGCTGGGGCAAATTGTCGATTCATTGCTAATACTCGGCGCACGTGAGCTCCGCCAGTCTGAAGTAGAGCTACGTAAGAAGAAATCTCATTTTTAAAGTGTGGCGGCTTTTATTTAACCGTGGCGGTGCGCCACAATCGATCGTATAAAGGGAAAACGCTGTTATCTAGCGCCGTGTCTTACTCAGCGATGTAAACAAACACTGTTGACAGCATTATGCCGACCACGGCCCACAATGCGTTGCAACATCACATGCCTTTTCGAGCCCTTTTTAAAAAAAATTATTATCATTATTGTTATTTTATTAATACAACATATTTTTGTTACATAACATATTTTACGACAAAGCTTATTGGCTGTCCTAAAAACATATCAAACCTTTTAGAAAATTAAAGGAAAACTTTAAAAATTCACGTTTTGTTTGATTTCAGGGGATTTTTGAATAAATCATTGAATTGAATACTAATAGGACACATTTTTAATTTTTATTATTATTTTTTTTTATTTTGGCAAAATTTATTGTTATATTAATTGGTCATTAAAAAAATAATTGTTAGATTAATCAATAAAAAAATAACAGTTTGGTGCAGCCCTAGATAATATTCATAACAAGGTCCAAAGCATGCAGATAAGACATGGACTAGATTCTGGACTGTCTGAAATCTCCTTTTGAGCCTGAGCAGCTGGATCTGGTGAGTCAGTCTTAAATCCTGCAGCTGGTTTTTCACTCTCAGATTCTACTTGATGATGTTGTAGCACATGTAGATGTTCCTGGTGTGGATGCAGATCAGTTTCACTTAAATCCGGTTTCTATATCACGGCGTTAAATCCAAACAGATCCGTTATTTTACAGCGAACAGCCTCACGGTGAGTTTGTTTGACAGCAGCAGAGCGCTTTATTTACCACTCAGTCAACAGTCGCTCTGCAGAAACTACACAGGCTGACTTGCAAATCTCTGCACATATGTTTCTGCTGCACACACACATAAACACACTCACACACACACACACACTCTCACACACACACACACTGGGCACCCTGTTAGAGGGTTTCTCATGCTGTTTGATGTTGTTTCCTAGCTGGTCCTCGGTTCAGCTTTGGCTCGGTGCAGATGGAGTCTGGCATCACAACACGCACTGAACACAGGAGATAAGTTGGACATCTCCCTCAGCTGGCCTCGTGTGAGAGTGTGTGTGTGTTCATGTGTGTGTGATGAGTGTGTGTGGTGGAGGGGAACAGCAGCATGCAAAATGCTAGCTGCACTTCAAAGGTTTCTGCCGTGATACAAACAGAGGCTCAGTGTCTCTGCCAGCAGAGACCACTGCTAATGCTGTGTGTGTGTGTGTGTGTGTGTGTGTGTGTGTGTGTGTGTGTGTGTGTGTGTGTGTGTGTGTGTCTGATCTCCCTAAGACTCTTACTCAGCTAGCCTGAAGGCTGACACCTTGAAATCCACCCAGTAAATTACTGAGCCGTCTCCTCGCAGACATCTTTTAGTTCTGTGCTCGGCTTCATCCATGAAGTGATCCACACACACACACTTTATATGAGACCATAGAAGGTCTGCTCACACACACACACACAGACACACACACACACACACACACGCTAACACAATATGTCTGTAAAGTGAAGTTTTCATGCCTCTCCTCGGAGGTTTTGAAAACCTTCTGTTCGGTAATTTCAACCAGCTCACAAATATCAGATGTGGATTTCAGCTCTTGGCAGCTCCGATCTGTTTCACTGGCTGATATTTCACTTCTAACTTTAACAACAATGAGCAGAGGAGGCCGTTTTACCCGGCAACAGGAAGCTTTTTATTCTGCAGACGGATATTTTTAATTTATCGTTTTGAGATAAGATATAACAGCATGACTAGTCGATTTTTAATCTGATAATTTAATTATGACAATGTTAAACAAAATAAAATCGTCAAGTTGATTTTCCTCTCTATCATGTCTCGCACCTCCAGGCCACCGTAGGCTCCTCCCCCTTCCTGCAGTTCCCACACACCAGTGTAAACAAACATGGCGTTCGCAAAAGAAGGCGATAATTTCGTGGTTAAATAGGACAAGAGCGAGTCAGTCGTGTTGAATTGGTACGACTTCACAGTTTCAGATGAAGAGTAAACCACTCCCCGCTGCAAAGTCTGTCTGAAGGCGGTATCAACCCGTCACCATGGAAACGAATTCAGGAGGAAACGCTCAAGTTTTTTGTCGTATCAGCGTTTCATCCACATGAAAACTTTGTAAGACGAATTTCGTGTTGGATTACAGACTTTTAGAATCAGCATCTTCTCATCCATCGTGACTTCGGGTTGAAACGACGTCTATAAACCTTTCACTTGTTCATCCCCGCCCGTTTGCATGGTGTGAAATACGATCTTCCTGGGGGTTACAGCGCCACTTACTGGCTTGGCATATGCACTACATCGTTTTCAGAGGTTTGGTTTTGAGAGATGATAGAAAAACTTATTTTTAAAGTGAAGTTTGGTGAAGTTGTCACTGAATAAAAAATCTAAAGTCGAGTTTTCAGAGATTTCATTTTTGGCTGAAATCGTGCAGCCCTGGACGTCACTGATAAAACTGTAACAGAAATGATGAAAAATCTTCAAACTTTTCCTCGTCTTCTAAATAAAACACACCACTGTGAGTCTTCTTCCTCTTCTGAAAATGATCTTTTCCAATTTCGCTCAAATCTGCAGCTGAATTTCCCTCCTCCACTCGTCCTCCTTCACCTGGAGAGTCCAAAAACCCTCTGCGCCCTCCTCTCCATCCTCCTCCTCCTCGCTGCTCTGTGGGTGTTTTAATGTGTTATAAATGTATTTTGGTCCTGTGGAGTTGCTTTTTTTTTTTTTTTTCTTCCTCCCTGTTTTTAATTAAGCACATACACTTTTGCTTCCAGCTTCTGTGTGAGATCTTAACTGAGCAGCACTGAGAGTTTCTGGGCAACAGAAGAATCGTTTCCACCTTCTGTTCCTCCTAAACGGACGACAAACTGAGCTCCAGTCTCTGAGTGTTCAGTTGGGATTTTCTCCTCTCGAGTAATCCTCGAGATGGAGCATCATCTTCATCCTGCTGCTGACTGATACGCTACATGCACACAAACATGTCAGACGCACACACACACACACACACACACACACACACACACACACACACACACACACACACACACACACACACTGCTTCATTTATCTCCTGTGAGACCAATTACCCATCTACTCAATAACTGGAACTGCCACAGCTGTCAGTGCCAGCCATGCCACGCTGCACACACACTCACACACACACACACACATACTCACACATGCACACACATATACGCACACACACACACACAAACACAGGCTCAGTATTCTTGTATCTGTGTGAGGTAGATTTATTTTCAGCCATCATTACATGGAGAAGTCAGACCGGTATGAAGCAGGAAGACTTCATGACGTGCAGGTTCCTGCCTCCGTGATCCAGAAGAACACCTGAAACCAAAACAGGCGCCGCTAACAAAGAGGAAACTGAGCTTCCTGAAAACATCGGGATACTCTCAAACTTCACTATCTGCAATATAACTTTTCCTCTGAGGTTTAAAAATCGTCTAAAAATTGATTTTCTGTCGAGTCTGCAGGAGTCAGCGGCTCAATTAAACTGAAAAGACAGAATTCTTAATTTAAACATTGACAAAGAAAAACCTCTGAGCATAAAAACAAAGTAGATCTGGTTGAAATTCATCTTAAATGCAGAAACTCATAAAAAATACTCATATTACGCTGACTCCAGCTGTAGGAAGCGTTCGTAGTTTTGGCGAGACGTTGCATCAGTTTCCAAAAATACCTGAGCGAGCGCTGTCAGGTTGAGTTGTGATGACTGATAAAGTTTCTGCAGACTTTGGTTATAAGGAGGAAAAAAAAGGGGAAAAGCAATCCTAGATTATAAAAAAAACAATCCAACTTTTATTCATCTTCTTCACACAGATATGAGTTTTAGTTTCAGATCAACAAACTGATGCAGGATGAGAGCGACGGTGACATCCCAGAGATCCCAGCTTCACTGTTTACATGGAGGTTAAATGAAGCAAGATAATCATGAGTGCATTTTGAAGAAAACTAGAGATGTCTGCAGAGTCGTAAGAAAGGCAGAGGAGATCTTCATTAGGAGGAGTGTTCTGCAAATGCATGGATGATGCAAAACCAGATTTACATGCAAAAGTCCAAAACAATCCCAACACAGGAAATGCACTTTAGATAAAGGGATATTCCAGCGTAAAATCAATTTAGGGTCAAACACACCGTAACGCCGAGTTAGACCCCCCCTCCAGAGATGAATGTTGCCGACCGCTTGCTTCTCTAGTTATACCAACTTTAGTAACGACCGCAGGATAGTAATACAGAGAGACACGCCCCCAACCAAAACGCCACTCTATAGCCACAAATAATGCTCAGAACAGCACCTAACTTCATCAACAGGACATATAGGGTCACAGACATAGTACTAGACAACAAACATCTTTTTAACTTTGACTAATTTCTTTAGCAAAGAGACTAAACACAACTCACCTACTCTCTTCCAGCAGCCGCTTGTTTGTAGCAAGACCTCAGGCCAGTCCATTACGGACTACAGCGGGGTGACTCAGCTCAAGGAAGAACATTTATGATCATTTCTTCATGGAAATACAATCAGACCGAGACGCTAAGGCAGAAGAACTACAGCGTCTGCAAAATGATTAATATGGTGATTATTACTTCAAGGAAATGATAAAGTAATGATCATAAATGTTCTTCCTTGAGCTGCGGCACCCCGCTGTAGTCTGTAATGGACTGGCCTGAGGTCTCGAAGTTAGGTGCTGTTCTGAGCATTATTTGTGGCTATAGAGTGGTGTTTTGGTTGAGTGCGTGACTCTCTGTATTTCTATCCTGCGGTTGTTACTAAAGTTGGTCTAACTAGAGAAGCAAGCGGTCGGCAACATTCATCTCTGGAGGGATTGTCTAACTCTGTGTTACGGTGTATTTAACCCTAACTTGATTTTATGCCTGAATATCCCTTTAAAAAGTTGTAGACACATAATGATCAAGAGAAAATGAGCTTTAAGAGGACAGACATGGAGATGGACTGCAAATGCTTGCTACTAGTCTAGATTTAGGGTCCTGCTGGAGGACTTTAAGGCTAATAGGGAGTTTTTAGTTCACAGTTACAGAAAAACCTCAAACTCTAAAACTCACAGGGAGTCGGTGAAGGGCAGAGAGGACTGGTGTTAAAAGGTCGCCTCTATGCTGCGTGTTCAAACCTGGCAGCAGCAGCTGAAGTCTTTGGATGGAGAGTTTGCTGACGCAGAATAAAGAGCATTACAGTCGTCCAGTCTGGAAGAAATAGGTGGTCTAATATGTTCAGTATCTCATATCTCCAGTTAAGGTTATTCATGCATTTGCAGCTCAAGAGCAACCCCCGTTTTTTTACCGTGGAGATGTTCAACAATCCTCCAGTAAAAGTGTTTTTTAGTCACACTCTGAATAAATTTTATCTCTAAATAGACTCTGCTCTCCTCTGATTTAGCAGGATTTATTCTGGTCAGGCCATAATTATTCGGAGTATTAGCGGTCCATGTAAACATTGCTCACGTCTCTCGGCTCCAGCAGCATCCTCGGGCCAAAAAACTGTGAGCTTAACTGTAAAAAATGACCAGCAGATGGGAGGTGAAGTTTTGGCGCTGATATCAGATATTTGGAAATGCTCAGCGGCTGCACCTGAAGCTCTGAAACGTCGGCTGTTACCTTCATTAATTTTAATCGTGGATAATTCACCACCCGGGGGACGCCACCCTCTGCACAGGTGTGAACACCAAGGACACGGGTGTGATGATTTAACATTTCATTTGGCCGCTTAAACGACATGAAAGGCGCAGCTTGTTTGGTGTCACATTGTGCACTTACTGTACAAATATCCTGGCTACTTTATCAGGTGTTTCTGTTTCTGTGTGAGGGAGAGGGAGCGAGCGAGCGAGAGACTGTGTGACCATCTGTCTGGTGAGAAAATGTGCAGCGAATATTTCTGCTGGTCGGCAGAAGCTGTAAACTGAGATATGTTTGATTTTTGTTTATATACAGGTTTAGTTTTACCCCTGCTTAGATATCACACCAGCGCTAATCGTTGTCACGGTTACGCCTTTGCATCGGTGAAAACATGGCTTTCCACTTGTTTCGAATGCGACATCTCAAGAATGCACGCTTGAAATTTCCTTAAACTTGGCAGAAACTTTGACCGAGACTCAAAGATGATCTGGTACAAATTTGGTGGTCATGGGTCAAAGGTCATCACAAAACGCCCCTTTTTATTAACAGTTATTCGGAAGGCCTGAATGTTTTAAATCCCTCGGCACACAGTTAGGACATGTTACAACATCATATCATGTTGATTAGGGCTGAAACGATACCTCAATTACCGTGATTATAATTAATGATTGAGGAATTTTCAAATACTCGAGGAATCGTTAATAAGCTCAAACCGTCACTGTTTCGCACAGATTATTTTCAAGGTTACATCACCGCAGTAGAAGAAGGAGTGAGCGTGGTTTTGGGTTGCGGATTGGAAAAAATGAATGACGAGGGGCGCTTTACTTCTGCAGAGCTCCAGTAGCAATTCGCTTCTGAGATAGCGCTGCTCTGCACACTCCTCTTCACGCTAGTTTACACCCTAACCTGGGATTTCCACCGCATCTGGAACGGCAGCTGTCCGCCAACCCCTACCGGATCCGTTTGTGAGGTGAATTTCGTGGCGGATTACGGACAGCAGGAATTACGAGAACTCAGAAGAACCTGCGGATTCACGTGCAATCGCGCCATAACAAGTTGTCTCTCTAAAGACAGACACATAGACATATAAGCAGTAGATTGTGTCCTTCCAAAGAAGGAAATCTACTTCTAGACTTCTAGAATCAGCATCTCCTCATCCATGGTGTCATCGGGGTGAAATGACGTCTAAAAACCTTTCACTTGTTCGTCTCCGCCCGTTTGCATGGTGTGAAATACGATCCTCCTGAAACACGGAATGTTTTATTTTGAAAAGAAGACGGATGTTTTATTTTGTGTCTGTGCCCGACTTCCTTTCCAGCACGGGTTAATCTGTGCTGAATTTATCCGCCATGCTCTAGCATCCGGAAAACATACTACTCTTGCGATCAGCTGTGGAGTCCGGCGATCCGCAGAGGAATGGAAAGAAGCCGGCGGAAATTGACACGTTAACTTGAATGGTTACGATCAGCTATGATCTGCGGATACGACCTTTTAGTAGCCGCTTAGGATTTGGTGTAAATTGAAGGTACCATCACTGGTGTTATAGAAGTAGCAGGTAACAGAGGAGCTATTCAGCTCTCGGACACTAATGTCTTTAGGGACACAATAAATGTTAATATCACAATTAACTTTCTTACGAGCATTGCAATCTGCGATCGTCCTCTCTACTTCTCTGAGTCTGGCCGTCATGGCGGGGCTCCGGGGGTGGAGCTTAGATTTGTGATGTAGGAAATCTCACTGTGTCTGAACCTGCTGTTTCGGTCCGATTACTCGAGTAATCGATAGAATATTCGTTAAAAAACTCGATAGCTGAAATATTGGATATCTGCAGCTCTAAACAGGATGAAAAGAACTGCAAGTCATGCTTGTGCAGAGTCAGAGCTGCACGGCTGTGTTTTTGGGCTCGTATCTGCGCTCCCTCTTTCTCTCTCTCCAGCTGTTTTGGCAGATTTGGAGCTCTTCAGATTTTGAGAGGGTGCCAAATAAATTCGAGTAGCAATCTTCTGCAGAGCCGGTCCAAACCTGAAGTTCAGGTCATTCTGCAGTGAGAACACGATGGAAAAGGAGGTTTATTCTTTACCATAGAGTTATATGTAATTTTTGAATATATTCCAGATAAAGTAAAGTCCATCATTGAGGCGCTGCTGTACTATAAACCCTCGTCTGAGTCTCTAAAGCAGCTGTCTGTTTTGGATGGTCGTCTGTGATGGAGGCCAAACATGAGCCTCGCTGACATAATCTCTGTGGTAGCAGCTAATTAGCTGTTGGTGCTAAACTGCTAAACTGTGTGACTAAACTGTGAGTCATGTTGGACCACAGCACTCTGAGTGTGTGTGTGTGTCTGTGTGTGTGTGTGTGTGTGTGTGTGTGTGTGTGTGAGCGCGCTCCGTGTCCTGGCCTGACTCTGTTTATCTCCGACTTCACACAGACGGTCATTTCTCGGCGGTGAGGAGGGTGAGGTGGAGCAGCTCTGTCTCCCTCTTTGCTCTCTGTGATGAAGAGGAGCGATCTTCATCTTCAGGTGGAGATGAAGCGAATGTTGACGTATGCGGAGACGATGAGGAGAGAGAGCAGCCATGGTTTGGCATGAACCGGCGAGGTAGTTCGTCATCTTGGCGCGTTTACAACACAAACAAACAACAAACTGGCGTGTGCAGGTGGAGGTGATGACGTCGGTGTTTCTGAGAGTTCGGTCTCTGACTTTTACAGCAGCAAACTTCCTTCCCTGTCGGGTCTATTTCAGGAGAGCTGACCCCAAATTTTTGTCTGTTACTGAGTCAAAACTTGAACTTTAAGATAATCGTGTTCAGGACAAAAATGTCTCTTCTGAAGCCGAAAACTCACAGGATGTGTGTTTGCCGTGTTCTGTCAGTGTCGCATGTTCAAGACAAGTATGTTCTGATTCTAATCAATGCAGCATCGGACAAAGGAGGCGTCGCAGTGCGTCTTAGCTTAATCCCAGAATCGTCTCTATATGCAAAGTCTATTTTCGACGAAGCCTACGTCAAACTGCACCGAGGAGATCGTCCCAGACAGGAAGTCGTGTGGAAAACGCACATGTCCTCCGGTAAATTCCAAGATAAAACTGCTGCAAATATGCATTATTCCGACTTTTTATCAGTTCCTGTAGGTGAAAAATACTTCCTGGTTATGGATTCATCAGTAACACAGAACAACCCCGGGGCCTAACCCTGATCCAAGTGGACCACAAACAGACTTTAGCTAAAGCTAACAGCACAGCAGAGTGGAACGTGAGCAAACCTGCAAAAAACGAAACTTTAAAATCAACAACAGTCACAAAATAAAATCCCGATCAGCAGGAAATCATCCGCAGACAGGAAAAGAAACCTTCTGTATCTGGAACGGCTACGAAAAGGCCGTATCTGCCGACCGCAACTGATCGTAACCAGTAGATGTAGACATCATTTCACCCCGATGACACCATGGATGAGGAGATGCTGATTCTAGAAGTCTAGAAGTAGATTTCCTCCTTTGGAAGGACACAATCTACTGCTGATATGGTTAGCCTTCGTGGCTAAAGACAACTTGTTATTGCGCGATTGCACGTGAATCGGGTTCTTGTGAGTTCTCATGATTCCTGCTGTCCATAATCCTTCACGAAATTCACCTCACAAACAGATCCGGTAGGAATTGGCGTACTGAGGAAATCACTGCCGTTCCAGATGCGGTGGAAATCCCGGGTAAGACGTTTTCGCTGGGTGATGACGCGTGATGCCTGATGGAGCCGGGGCACGACGATGACGGAACACATCCAATGCTATCTTTGTAAACAGATAGATGTAGTATCTGGAATCACCTGGCCTTCAGCGGTCCAATCAGAACCTTGGATTTCCTGTTTTAGCGAGTAATGAGAGGATAAAACTTGGGAGGATTTTCTTCTTGTTGAAACTGAAAATATTTTTAGTCTTACTTGCAAAACAAGGAACTTTATCGGAAAGGAAAAATCACCATTTTAATTCTTTTACTCTTCTTCTGTTTCTGCGGTGGAAAGGTCATCATGACAGTTTTCCCTTTTAAGTTTTTGCTCATTTGTCAGAGTTACGATCAAACTAATCACATTAAACTCCAACAGGTTTATTTCCCCGAAATCACAGAAAACGCAGACACCTGTGGCACAGAGATTCCTGTTAGATAACCGAATTACGGAAAGTCGTGACCATTTTTCTCTCAAAGGTTGAGGAATAAAAGTATGCCAGATAAATAACGCGGCTAATGGCGGACCCCACGCTGGTCAGCGGAGCCTCATTAGGAGGCGGCGGCGGCGTGTGCGGGCGGGTTTGTTAATGAGTGTGTGAGCGTTTGTACGAGTGTGTTTGTGAGCAAAACAATAAGCCAACAGCGGCCGAGTCTAATGACGGCGAGACGCGCAGGAACTCAGAGCTCAGAGGTGAAAACAAACGAAACTCTGTGTGTGTGTGTGTGTGTGTGTGTGTGTGTGTGTGTGTGTGTGTGTGTGTGTGGTGGACGCTCGGCCATTTGTGAGCTGCCCAATTAACGTGTGTTTGAGTCTGTTTCTGCGTCTTTGTTTGTCTGCATGTGCGTGTGTGTGTGTGTGTGTGTGTGTGTGTGTGTGTGTGTGTGTGTGTTTGTGTGTGTGTGTCAGGACCCCTGTAGCACGCTGTTTTCCTCATTTGCGGTGACAAATAGGCAGCCTGTGGAGAGAGGGCGCTGCGATGCTCGGCGCTTCAGTTGACCCCTGACATCTCATTTGGTCCTGATAGATGAGCGCTGGTTCCCCTCTGAAGGAACGACCCGGCCGCACACACACACACACACACACACACACACACACACACACACACACACACACACACACACACACACACACACACGTGTGCACACACATGCATATCCAGGACAGAGCGAGCGCCCGTGCACGGGGGTGGAGTGGACAGGTGTTGCTGCGGTTATTGTGTGTCAGGATTTTCATGTTCCAGTGAAATGTTGTCAGACAGAAGTTCAACTTTATTGTCCCTGAGAGGAAATTCGTCTCACAGCCGGGTGGAAACATAAAACATGACAAACACAAACACACACACACACACACACACACACACACCTGTGAGGCATGGGTGCATCAGGTGACATCTGCTGTATGTAAAACTGTGATTAAAACCAACATCAGTCATCCTGAGCGAACGGGGAAGTGGTCATCCACGGCGCCATCATGACATTTAACGGCCTCATGGCGTGACTGATGACATATTTCATCCTGTTGGACACGAGTCTGAAAAAAAACAAACATTTTGATATCAAACCTTCAATCTTTCTTCATCAACTGCTTTCTAACCAAATTCATCCTCCTGCCAACGACTCTGATGAGTCAGAATAAAGGGACAGCTGGTGGAGCGATATGTTTCTTCTCATCTTTGTCATCTCATATGTTATCTGCATTAAAGCATTTAGTGTTAATTCGTCCACATTCAGGGTTTAATAGACGACAGGAAGTGACATCAAGAGCTGCAGTGAGATGTCCTCAACACGATCATGGACGAAGCAAAACAGACCCACACTACGGAGATATCAGTGCTGCATGCAAACAGGCAGATGTGCAGACATCTAGTGATGGGTATGGCAGTTCTTTTGGATGTATTGAATCACTAGAATCAGTTCAGTGAAAAGATTCCTTCAGAAGATTCGTTCACAGAATCACCAAGTCATTCAGCGCCTGGCAGAAGGAGCCTGTGACTCTGACTTCCTGAACGGATACAGAGCTGAATGGTTCAGGTTTCAGTTTAGTTCATGACGAGAGTGTTGAGATTGTGTCGCCGCGAAACAGAGAAATGAACAAATCACTTGAGGAAGTGATTCGGTTCAGTGCGTTCACTTAAAAGATTCGTTCTTTTGGACGAATCATTCATGAACGACACATCACTACAGACATCTTTAATGTCCTCATCCTGATGCAGATCCTTCTTCGACCTTTAGATCTTTGTGCGTCCTGCTGTGCGCTGCTTTCTTCACTCCTTGCTCGTGGTGAATTTTCCCTCTCACATCGAGTCCCCCAGAGTTTTACCTGTTGACCGGATAAAGTCAAGATAAAAACTTAGTTTTCTCAACCAGTGTTCAAGAATAAATGCAGCTGTAGAAACTTAATATCCCAGATCTGGCTTTTTCATGCTGCACACTCTCAGTATGTTTCCATGACATTCAAGGAAACCGAATTATCGCCTTATTCTGATTAAGACCAGACAACTGAAGTTCATGTGAACACTTTAGTCCGACTATAATCTGAGTTTGAAAACTCCAGTTAAGACACCCAGATAATGCGATTGAAATTCGATTTTCTCTACCATGTAACCAGCGTAGTTGGAGTACGATCAGACAATGCATGTGCGCCACGCCCCCATAACCCTGGAACAAAAACACCAGAGAAGAGGAGTAGCGTTCGTCTCATCTGCAGAAAAGGTAGCGCGTAAATCATGTAGGACAAAAACAATGCTGTACGATGTGGTTGTAGCTGCGAGTTGAGGTCATATTTGCTCTTCCTGTCTCTGTTTCGATGCTTCAAATATCATCAAAACTTCATCTTTCACCTTTTTGACTTTATCTGCTGCAGACTCTGCATACTCTTTCTTTCATACCAGTACAGTCTTTGCAATCGTCATAAATACTCCTAATAACATCGTTCATGTCTTAAAAGTGAATCCAATCTAAATGCAACGCTTTGATTTATTATCTTAATGCAGTAATTCTGATTTTGCACTTCTGGCTGTAGAAAATCAGTGTCAGTAAAAGCTGTAAGTGTCATAAAAATAAGATAATAATGCTCCTAAAAGGGATCTGATTTGTGAATAATGGTGCACACTAATGATGGCTAATGCCTCTCCCCTTAAATCCTCCTCCTCCACATTTTTCATCTCGATGGTCCGTTTTTCCCTCGTTCCCTGGAGGCCAGCTAATTACAGGCAGCTCCACAGCGACTGTACCAAAGCCACGCTGGTATTTATACTACAAAGCTTTGAGCTGTTTGTTGGCGACATCAAGAGTCACTCGCTGTCTTCCTGAGACAATAATAGAGCCGAGAGATAAGACAAAGTGTTTGATATTCAAATCAAACTGGAACGAGAGAGAGAGGGAGAGAGAGAGAGAGAGAGCCAAACTGACAGAAAGAGCGACAGAACAGAGAGAGAGAGAGAGAGTGGGGGGAGTGAAAGAGAGGCCAGTATATACAGAAAATTAAGCACATACATTTTTAATGAGCTAAAACATCAGGATCTGAGCTCTGAAGTTCAGGAAATCCACCGTTTCTGTCGGAGTGATCGTTATTCTTTACGTTCTGACAGTCGGGGAGGGTTGGAAACTGATCTGCACGTCCTTTTTCTGTACGAGGGATTCAGTTTTCTGCTTTGAAATTCTACTTCTGAGCATTTGATGGTTGGGTGTTGTAATCTGCTTTATGAAATTCAATATCATATCATCAAAATGACCCGAGACTGGACATGTTTGCAGATGATTAACTTTGCATTTCTATCTACATTTTCTAGATACTGCAGAACGTGACCTCATGGACTTATACATTTTATAGATACGTGGAGAAAGGCTAAAGAGGTTCATGTAGAGCCTAAATGTCTGTTTATAAACTGAAATGATCTCCCCATGATTTGCAGTTTAGAGTCGACTCTCCTCCAGATATTTAAACCACATCGTCATCCTCAAGGTTCAACCCGGTTCACTCTGCCTTTAAAAGAGCATAAATATAAGATGAATCCCCCATTTCTGGATTTGATCCTCTTTTCCTCCCCTTATAGACCCCGCCTCCCCCCACCTCCACCAGCCTCATCATTATTCTCCCGCCACCCCTCCCTCAAGCCTCGAGACGTAAGCCGGTTATTCTCTGCCCTTTCTAATCCGAACTTAATCAGAGGCGCGCACTGTCAGAGAGAGAGAGATGAGGAAGAGAGGAGAGGAGGAAGGAAGGAAGGAAGGGTGCAGGTCACATAGGGAAAGGAAATTCACTCACTCTCTGGAGAGTTTCGTTGGAAACCTGCAGAAATTTGCTGAATATGAGTTTGACTTTGTCTTTCTGAAACTTAAATCCAAATCAGTTTAAGATTCCAGAAACTGTCCTGTTTGGTTTCAGTGTCTGTGTTCATATATATCCAACTCTGTCTCCTCGTTTTATCAACTTTTTGTAGTTTCATCGTTTCAGCTTCTGCGTCAATTTTTGGAAATAATGACAATAAAAGTTCATTAATGACCCTTTTTTCCGTGATGAAGACGATGCGATGATGAGCTGAAGTACACCACAAATACGAGATGAAACTGTCGGATAATTGAGGGTTATCTTCTTCAGTACAGTTAGCCTAGCGGTTTTGGCGCCCCCTGTCCTCAGGTGGCCCAGATCCTCTTACCGAGTCTTTCCTGCATGTCGTTCCCAGCTCCCTCCATCTGTCAATGAAGGCCATAAAAACTCATTTTTGACTCGTCTTCTAAAACCACCTCGTCCAGAACGGCTACGAAAGGACCGTATCCGCCGATCGCAGCTGATCGTAACCGTTCAAGTTAATGTGAGACGAACAAGTGAAAGGTTTATAGACGTCATTTCACCCCGATGACACCATGGATGAGGAGATGCTGACTCTAGAAGTCTAGAAGTAGATTTCCTCCTCTGGAAGGACACAATCTACTGCTTATATGTCTATGTGTCTGTCTTTAGAGAGACAACTTGGTATTGCGCGATTGTACGTGAATCCACAGGTTCTTGTGATTCCTGCTGTCCGTAATTCACCACGAAATTCGCCTCACAAATGGATCCAGTAGGAATTGGCAGACGGCAAAAATTGTCGATGTTCCAGATCGGAGCTGCTCCGGATGCGGTGAAAATTTGGGGTTAGAAGATCAGGTATCCAGGTGGTCTAAACCACCTCAGAACCAGGTCTTTCTCAGCTCCCTGACCCTCCCTCTGATCTACTCCCAGAACCACTCAGGATGTGAAACTCATGAGCGATAAAAAATAATAGAAACAGACTGATTGATTGTGTGATGGGTAATTTGCAGCCTCTCCTGTTGCATGATGGGAAAAAGCTTTAATTAAGAGTAATTAGGACCGTTCAGGTTGCAGGAAGGTTCTGAGATCACCAGGTTTCTGCGTTTCCTCAGACGATGATGGATTTACATTCAGGAGGACCTTGCCGAGGTCTGCTCCTCATGTTCTGCACGGAGCGATGCAAAGACTCGGCTCTAAAACCCCCTCGGCTTTTTCACCTTGGTCGAATGATTAACGTTTCTCCGGCGTCACGTCGAGGGAGATAAAAACCGTCTCTGGGAAATGGCGAGCAATTAAAAGTTTATTAGCCATTCAAGACCAAAAATAATTACTGCTTCTGCTCCATTGTGTTTCAGAAAATAGCTGTAGGCTGCAATCACTGGCTGTGTGTACTCGCCCGTACATAAACACACTCTGCAGGAACACACACCTACACCGCGCACGCTGCAGAGAGGACCAGCAGCAAAACAGCTCAACACTTTCAACTCCTGTCTGTGCGTCCGGCCTCCTTTTCTGCACATTTACGGACTTTCTCTCATTTACTGGGCGTGCAACAAGGTGTCATCTGCAGATTAGTGCAATAAAACCAAAGTAAGCTCTCTCTCTCTCTCTCTCTCTCTCTCTCTCTCTCTCTCTCTCTCTCTCTCTCTCTCTCTCTCTCCGTAAGTCCTGCAGGAGACAAACACACCGAAAACACACCGAGCACGCTCATTTTCAGGAAACGTCACAGAGATGGAGACGTTACAGCATTTCCTGGATCTTTCTTTTTCAAGCACAGATCTCTGATGTATTTTTGGGGACCTTTTGTGTCCAAGAATGAGGGGGAGGCAACTCTGTCACACACACACAGACACACACACACACACACACACACACACACACACACACACCTCATCTCTCCAGGCAGTCAGTGCCTCACAGAGTACAAAGACAGACTCGTATCATGTCGGATGTAAAACAGACGGCACCGTTTTTACCTGTTTTTTTAGAGCCAAAAATAGTTTGTGTTTTAAGATCATAAAAAACAAAGGATGACAGGACACGTGCACACACACACACACACACACACACACACACACACACACACACACACACGAGCATCCACAGAGCGAACAGTGGAGGTAGAGAGGAAGATGGAGGTTCGGTTTATGCAGGTAACGTCCCTCTGCTTTATTCGAGCTCCTCCTGCAGGTATGTCGCCCCCAGGTGGAGAACAAACCGTCTGCTACACCTGTGAAAATCTGCACCAAGGAAGGACTGAGAGCAAGACCAAGACAAGAGCCACGAAACTGTGTGATATCTCAGAGTATAGATATGACCCCAGGATGTTAAGATGCTCCTCCTGATCTTTGGTGTATCTTTGTGAGTTTGTGTTTTAGTGTGTGGTTGAATCACAGAAACACCGTCTTGTAAAGCGTTGAGGTTTGGTCCACACGTGTTCTCATGTCTGTTTTACACAGAGCGTCGTTGTCGTTGTCGTTGTCGTCAGCGTATCAGACAGATTCTGCGGAGCGTTAACGTGCTCGTGTTTCTGTCACCTCATCTGTTTTGACAGATTGACTCCCAGCGAGGCAGCGCCAGATAAAGAGCTTTTATCAAAGTGATGTTACGCTTTAAACAGTTTGGAGAAGACCAACAGACAACAGAGCCAAAGTTGACCTGAGTTTTATTGGGAGAGTGTTTAGTAGCTCGGATGATGCAGCAGAAATGGTCGAACCAAACAAGGCAAATTTCTCGGACAGCATCTTTTCTTCGAATGTCACACCAGCGGCAGGAAAGTCTGTCAGATCGCAGCTTTAGGACGTCTGAGTAAAAGTTTTTGGGGCCAGATCTGTGCTCAGTACATCTACGTATGTTCACCTTGTTCACCGTGATGCTGGGGTGGAGTCTTTCTACCTCTGATCACAGCTGAAATATAACAGCTGACGTTTCTAAATGTGATAATTTTAGCGTTTTTGACCAGGGATGGATCGATGCAGGTTCATTCAGCAATATGAGGATGAGACTCAGGTGAAATCAGGTTTCCTAACTTTAAAAGAGTAAATAAACATGTTAAATCTGACTGTATCTTTATTTAGCGATGTGATCCTGCAGTTTAGTGAGTTATCGGTTAGAATAAGAATCATTATTCAGCTGTAAATGAAAAACTGTAGGGCTGGATTTGTCTCAAATGAGAAAAATGTGATATCAGAGTCATGTCACAAACTGGTGCAAACACGCTGGCACTTTCTTGAGGCAGTCTGAATGGAGTCCCTGGACTCTGAAGGAACGTCAAAGATCTGAGGTGAAGCTGAACCTGGATTCAAAGGTTCAACCAGGCTGAGGTCTCCATTGTGGACTTACGGTAGACCTTTCTGATTCAGAACAATCAATCTGAGAACTTTTTGGTATTTCCACGCATGTAAAACATCAACTGGAAGTTTTTTGAGTCTTTGGCGATGACCGCTCCGCTCTGTACCTCGTGACTCTTGGGACGCTTGATTCATCTGGTTGTTTCATATTTTGTTTCTTCCACCGTCATCTCAGGAAACAGGATATTCACATCGCGATAAGGAGTGACGTATGAAATCGGATGGTTGTTGATGGAGCTCACCTGGAGGCAAGTGAGTTGGGAGGTCGGATTACCTGGTACATTGTATAAAACCTTTGTCTATCACTTGATCCTGTCGATTGAATTGGCAGGGACTACCGTTGAAATTACCGTTGACGCGAGTAGATGATTTTGCTTGCACTTGGTGTGAGCACCCTATGATGCTTGGGCCTACATGTTTGGACGGGCAGTATCAGACCGATACTGGTACTGATACACTGTCAAACCTTGTTGGACACTCAAGAAAAACTGATTAATTTACAAAGCGCTCTCTGTAGTTTTTGACCAAAGTTGCAAATGACTGCGTATCCGTCTTCCAAGCGTTGTTGCTCTTTCTTAAACGTCAGCGCCGGAGCCGTCCAACCGAATAATTTATGAGGGAAAGTCTGCGAGTACGCCGAGAGAAAAGGAGCAGTCATCTGTCTATGTTGTGCTGCTGTTTGTTCAATTAGAGAACTAATTCAGAGGCAGGCTGACAGCTGAGAGGTTTTAATTATAATCATGCCACACGACCGGGATAATAAATGAGTGAATTAAGGAGCCCAAAGTTTGATAAATGTTGTTGATTGCACAGATCGGTCCAATCAAGACCGACACTGAATCTGTCAGAGAGCTACAGTGTCTGAGAGACGGAGATAAAGACGAGGAAGGATGTATGAAGAAGAGGACGCAGGGGAGGTTCAGCATAGGTGCATTTATCGGAGCATAAAACAAGAAAATAGAGATTTCTGTCACACTTAATTTATTTGGCGTCACCTCATGCACCTACGCGTTTTAGACGGATGACTTCTGCTTAACAATGTGTTGAAGTAGTTGGACGATAGATTAACGAGATCCACCTTCGATTCCTGCGAGGTTTCCTGCATTTTTGGCGCTAAAAGGGTTCAAGTGTTGATCTAGAAAATAGTCCAATAGAGGAAATACCATCAAGAGATCGATCCACCTGCAAAATAGCGACATATATGCGCAAAAAGTTGCCTTTCAAATCTTCCCTGCACACATGCGTGAAAGACCTTTGCAAACACGTTGTGACCTTTTGAGGGATCTTGCAGAAAAATGCAGCCTTACGGACAAAAATTCCAAAATCCAGATCCAAACTAAACTTTAAAGTGTGGTTATCTCTAAAACGATTGATTAAACAGCAGATATGTAAATACTCGCAGACAGAATGAGCTCCACTGAGAGTTTATTTCTTGTCAGAGCTGAATTAGACTGAAGTGAGATAAGGAGGAGAGAGTGAGGTCGGATGAGATTCATTTCATATCAGAGAGAAAAAGAGAGAGAGAGAGAGAGACAGGCGCTGGCAGAGCTCCATGTCTGCATATGGACTCATCCACCAGAGGTTTAGGGTCAATTTAGTTTCCATTCACTGTCATTTCAAACCAGAATTTCTCTCTAACTCAAGATCTGAAAATCTGCTCAGCCGAGTAAAAAAAATAATTTTTTCAATCTGAAGGGAAGTTACCAGAAAGAAACTCTGCAAAAACAGCAGCTGCAGGTAAAACTCCAGAGAGGACATTTTGTTTTTGTTGATTTTGGCGCCTCCTGTGGACAAACAAACCTCTAATTTCCTTTTTGCAGTGCTGACTAACAGCTTTAGAGCTGGACTTAGTTAAAGAGTCATCCTCGCCCCATTTTTAACCCTTTATAATCTTGATCTACAGACATCTGCATCGTGGATGTCTAAGATCTTGTCTTTAAAAACAAACGACATTCCTGCACCTTCAGTTTCTGAGCTAACCGCAAAAGACAAAACAGAAAGACCTGAAATTTCTGGGACTTTATCACCATGACGAGCTTTGACTCAGAGTTTAAGATTATCTGAGACCTACAGCCGTAGATTCTAGTCTGGTAGACCGTCGTGACTCACGTTTGTCTCTTGATCTGTTTCTCTGTTGGCTTTCAGCATGTGAAGCTCGTTTTTATTGATTATCTAAGGATCATCCTGATGTTTTGGTCATACTCACCTGTTTGTCATCTGCATAGTTTAGATCAGACGTTCTCCTCATGTCCATGTTCTGCAGAGGCCTGAGAATAGAAGCTTGGGGTACTCAACAGGAGTAAAGAGGGTGCTATTTTGAAGACTTGACATGCTTTTCCACCAAGAGTACCCATAATTTTCTAGTTCCAGGGACTTTGGTGGATGACCGTAGGACCTTTTCTCAGGTACTTGTCGACACACAATGGTCCTTTTTGACCAAAAGAGACAGGAACTACTCCTCAGGCCCTGCCTCCCCAAGTCCCCATTGCCATTGGAAAGGTCTACCCCCCTTAGCAAGGCAAGGCTTTAAAGGCCGGATCGGTCACCCAAATGCACCAAGTTCCTGGGTAAAGTTCCTGCTGTCAAAATGCACCTTTGGATCCAGATGGGGTGAAACTAGATCTGCACCTCTACCTGAGAGTCAGACCAGTCATGACTGTCACAGCGACTCAGATCATGACTGTTGGAACCTGCATGACAAGTGAACAGATTCTGTCAGGTATCATAAACCTGGTCTTGGATGTGCCCCCCTAGCTTACATAGATGAGTCGTACCTGTTGTCTTTCCTTGTGGTTTACATTTTTGAACATTGAAAGTAAATTTCCCTCAAAGAGATGGAAGAGGAGCGCAGACTCGAACCCTCGACCTTCTCCTCTGAACCTGCTGATGCGCCGCCTCTCCCTCATGCCAGAGCTGCTGATCAACATAAATCAAATTGCTGCAGTCTCTGGACCTCCTCCAAGAGTGTGTGTGCACGTGTGTGCACGTGTGTCTCAGGGACGGCAGATTTCAGGGAGGGTCTGCTGGCAGATGGGAGAGGCATCACACACATCAACACACAATGATACATACACACACACACACACACACACTTCTAATCAAACATGGGGCAAACATGCTGTTCTTGCCAAACCTGTGTGTGTGTGTGTGTGTGTGTGTGTGTGTGTGTGTGTGTGTGTGTGTGTGTGTGTGTGTGTGTGTGTGTGTGTGTGTGTGTGTGTGTGTGTGTGTGTGTGTGGAGGAAAGCGAGCTGATTAGAAAGATGAGTCAAAGAGTAAATGATGAAATATGAGTTCTGCAAACACAAACGGCTTCCTCAAATTAAGACGCCGACGTCAAATGGACTGTCTGTGTGTGTGTCTGTGTGTGTGTGTGTGTGTGTGTGTGTGTTTGTGTGTGTGTGTGTGTGTGTGTGTGTGTGTGTGTGTGTCTGTTGCCGTGTCTACCTGCCTGTCAGTGTAAATCTCTCTCTTGTTTAATCCGTCTGAAGGAAGCATGTCATCCTCAAACCCAGTCTGCCTCCACACATGTACCCACACCGTTGGTTTGTTAATGGCGCCATCTGCTGGACACTGTACAAAACGCATCTACAGATCGAATCAGATACTGTATCCTTATCTCCAGAAACTTCATCAGAGAGTCTGTCCAGTGCAGGTGGATGACTAAGAGAGGGATTAAAGGACAAGTTCACAAAGTTTTCTAGCATTTTTAACCTTTTACAGTCAGCCAACAGCACTTAGGTCCTGCTCCTTCTCCATGAATCTGAATCATGAATTTCATATCATGGTAACGATATATAACACGGTATGTTTTTTCCCTCCTGTAATTTCAATTAGTAGCTTAAAAATAACCACACTGTCACATTTGTTCATATTCCTTTTATTTTTAAACTCAGATTTGTAAACAAATGCAAAAAAATGTCAGACCAGTCTGGTGATTTTTTGAAAGACTCTGCCGAGCTCTTTTCTATGAGAGGAGCTGCTGCAGTTTTAGTTTTTGGTGCAGCAGGTGCGTCATGCATCCTTTGGCTCTCATAACAGAGCTTGGCGTGTTTCATCTTTAGGTGGTGGAAGAGGTTGTTGGTGTTTCCACCTCCAGCAACAACAGCCACATGACACTCTTTACATAGTTTTGTTTTTTGATCATTGTCGGATTTTCTAAATCCGAAGAATCTCCAGACAACTGATCAAAAACACATCAGTTTTTGGACGTACCTTTATCCACGACCAGCAGACTCTCTCCAAAGAGTCACATGATGTCGTCTGTCATTCTGCAGGAAGTTTGCAGTCAAACGTAAAAACGCACCAACAACAAAAACTCTGTCACTTTATTCTTCTTTAACAAAACTCACTCATTCCTCCTTGTTGGCACCTAAAGATCATTTTATTGGAGTCATGGTCCCTGAAGCCTCGTCTGATCTGGTCTCAGATCCACTCAGTATATCCACTCAGTATTTTCTAACTGGGGGTTGATATGCGTTGAACCAACAGCAGTCTTATAATATCAGTGATTAATATCTGCAGACACTGCAGGCAGCCCCGTCAGTGTGAACACTGTAGAGTTTGATTATTAGATGTTGGATAGTCCAGTGTTGCAGTAGCTCTCCTCAGAACCGTCTACTTTTACAAGACTTCCTGATGATGAAAACAAGTTTAGTTTTTGACTCTGATGTTGATCCGGTCTTTGTGTGTCTGTGTTTGTGTCCCTCAGCAGATCTGTGCAGAGAGCAGCAGCGGCAGAAACACAGACAACCACTCGGTGAGTACAGAAATATCACTTTCTCTTTATCTTAAAGCTGTCAGCCGTTCAACACTTCTATCTATCCGCTCCCTCGCTGAGAATCAGACTGAAGAGCTATTTTTTCTCGCTGTCATTGTTCAGCCTGACGCCGTGCTCGTGTCAGCTGATTTGTGTTATGAGGAGGAGGTTATTGTGTCTAACTTTGCCCTCATCAGTCAGCTGTGAGTGATGTGTTTATCCTGGTTTTCCACTGGTGTGGAGACGCGGCGGTTGTTGCCGGAAGCAGCTCGTACGCTGATTTGAGATTAGTCATGTCTGTGAGGTTGAGGAGGTTTGCTATATTTCATTCCTGTTTTTTTAAGCTCTAGTAGACAATAAAGTCCTATTTTTTAACACGAAACAAATTATATATCTGATTTAGAGCTGCAGTAAGTATTTGCACCACATTTCCACATTTGTGCTTTTCTTTTATGCAGATATCAGATCTAGAGGATGGGTGAAATCATTCATGTGCATTTATACTATATCATCAAATGGGATATATTAGATTTTTGCAGCATGCTAAAACAATGAAACTGTGATATATTGTGCAGAGCTTTAAGTAAAATCCTTTGTATGCAGTGATGACTCTGAACCTGCAGCCAGCATGATGAAGATTAGAGCTTCTGTACATCCCTTTATTTAGATCTCCGTCTGTTCTCATTACTAACCAACATCACATATAATCTGCAAAACAACAAAATAAAATACACTACAAACAATATTTACATAAAGTTACTGCACAAACTTCAACAAACATGTCAAAGAGGACACATAATGCACGTGAGCTACCAACCTGCAGACTCATGCAGCTCCAGGTTCATAAACCTGTGGTCTCAGAGTTATTAAAGCAGTGATAGAAAAACTTTAATAAGAGAATTTTAAATGATAAAGTTTATGAACCAAACAGTCAGACACAAAGACTGACATTTGCACAGTCTGTTCACTTTGCACCAGCTGTTTGTTGTCGTCTGTTTCCTCTGTTTACTGCATCAGGAGCTCTCCATGGTGCTGAATTTAGATGTAGTGACAGATAAAGGACACTAGAGGGCGCCAGGATGCCACCATCTGCAGCGTGCAACAAGAAGAGATTCTGTTTCTGCTTCTGTTCTGTGTTTTTGACACTAAAAATGAAGCAGACTGTGATATTTTACAACATTTGAAGCAGAGAAACAGAGGGTGACATCTAGTGTATGCAGCATAGAGCATACACATGGAATAAAAGCTGCAAAATGTGCAAAAATAAGTATTAATTCAATGTTTGAGAGCAAATTAAGTATGAGGATCTTTAGTCTAATGCACGCTCAGACCTGGAAGGTGTTTATCTTTTATGCATCAGTTTATATTTCTCTGTTTTCTCTGAGTTATAAGCACCTAAATACCAACACTTATGTGCCTTTGAGCCAATTATTTAACCTTTAACTGTTTGCAAACACTCACCTCCTCCTAGAGGGTGAATTAAACACATCAGTTAATACAACAGTATAATAATAATATTGACCAAAATCTTTGATCTGTTTCTGTTTGACTGGAACACAATCAGAGATTAGAGACAAATTCTGGTGTTTTCACGGCAGCATCACCTCGAGGGGAACCACAGATAAGAAATCAAAGAAGAAAACAATAATTACAGTCTCAGTAACACACGTCTGCGGCCTGTAGGGGGTGCTGTAACAGCGTTATTCCTCTCTGTTGTTTACACATCTCTGTAACTGCGTTCTTACAGAGAGCTGGAGAGCGCAGAGCTGCTTTTAGATTCGCTGGTGGGCAGAAAAAAAGCTGCGAGCCGACAGAAATAGAAACAAAGACGTGTGGAGAAGAAGAGCTGCCTCTCAGACGGTTAATCCGGCTCACTGTTAACGTGAATAAAAACTTCTAACGGAGAACCTTTTGTTCAAATGACCCACATACAGGCGAGCCTCGGGGGGCCTGCAGCAGAAAAGGTCTCTCTCATTTTGCAGCTTGATTATGAACGCAGCCCGGGGATGTTGCTGAACTTCAGATAATTGCAGCCTTTGGCTCCGAGAGTCTAAACAAAGTCACCTCAGCGCTGCGGCGTCCTCCACAACAGAATTACTCTGAGGAGGTTTGTAAAGCAGGCGAGACGTTTTCATCGCCGAGACGAACAAACACTCACCTGTGTGACTCCCCACCTGAGTCGGCGTTTACAGTTTGATCCAATGACTAAAGAATAATAACAGAGCGATGAAATTACAGCGTCGACTCTCTGACTCACAGCAGCTCCACTTTTTTTCACAAGTTGAAATAGTGTTTTTATAAATGTGTTTATTCGTCTCGTTTCTGCTGATCTGATGACCTTTAACTCGCCTCATAAAACAGGCTGATTCAGTAAAGACGGGGTATGAAGCGATCTGTTGTAGGGCTGGGCGATATGGCCTCAAATCAATATCAGGACATATTGATCAGTTCACTTCGATAACGATAAATGGACGATAACTACTCCACAAGCTGTTCACCCCCTCCCACATTAACTTCGTCTACTTCAGCCGCTACAACTTTCTCTCCGTCCTCCATCTCCTCACCTGTCTTTCCCTCTTTGTTACAGACTGGATGGGGTTGAGTCACATCTCTGACCAACTTCTATGTGTTTTTTTTTTTTTGACGCTGAATATTCCAATTTGGGCAAAATGGCGGTGGTTATAGTCGTAAATGTCGGTATCGGTAAATTTTCGGTTTATCGCCCAGCCCTAATCTGCAGCACATGTAAGAGGCAGCAGACAACACCAAATATTCACAGTGTTTGTCACTTTTGACTCCTGATCGAGAGCGGGATGTGCTTTTTGTTCCTCGCCATGTGCAAGACAAAAACAACCAAAGGACGCATTCTCATTCTTTGCCAGTTGGGGGCGCCAAAGTGGACACAAAGCTGACGTTCCTCACAGCAGCTTTTTCTGCTCTCTATCTCCATCTCACCTCCTTATGTTTCATAAATAGTCGTGCATGTTTGCAGTCAGCTCCTCCCTCTCTGCTGATCAGTTTTTCTCATCACTGATTATCAGTGTTCTTTAAATTAGTAACTTAGTCACAGTTACTTGTTACTTCTTTCAAAAGTAACTCAGATACTTCAAGTCACTCGTTACTCTCAAGGTAACTAGTTACTAGAGAAGGTAACTTTATTATAATTAACTCTAAATTCTCTTATTACTACATGATACTGGCGCAGTACCATCTCTCCCTTGCTCAGGTATTTTGCTAACCGGTTCTCTTAAAGCAGTGGACTCGACTGTTGAGTTAGGTTTGCATGTCTTCCACAACATACCTGTCAGTCAGTCTGTTTAGCTGTGTCTGGGTTATAGACAACGTCCAATCTAAAGTGTGCACTGAGAGCTCCCACTTCTGGAGTTTGTTTGTTTGAGGAAGCAAATACAACTCTATCGCGAGCAGCGTGGTCCTATTGGATTACTACGGTTACAATGCAGAGTGCAGATTGACGTGTGGTGACATGGTAACAGCTGCGTACCGGCTTACTTTCACCCCTGTTGTTACTTAATAACGCGTTAGTCCCAACTGTGCTGATGATGATCATCCTGCAGAGGTTTGATCAGGCTGCAATGATATTGAACTCTGACATGTTCAGTACAAGCATTCTGAGTGCAGCAGTGTGTTTTGGTGTGTTTTTGTAGGACAGCAGATTTAATTCTTACTTACTAATATATACTTACTATACTATATACTTCTAACTCATGTAACAAGAAAATTAGCATCGGTGTGATGTCGCTGCTTCAAAATGATGCAGCGAAAATGATCATGTGAATTTTTGTATTTTTAGGATTTTATTGTGCAGGACGCAGATTCACTCTTACGATAGATGTTAAACACGCCCAGGTGACTGAGCATGAGCAGCTCCTGGAGCGTTTTTATCCTTTTGTTTGACCGGCAGACCTACAGAGGGAGTAAGGTTCGATAAGCAGCTGTCGGTGTGACTGCAGACGCACCTTTACCTCCACCGTGCATGAGTGTCCAAATCCTCCTCTTCCTCCTGAAACCAATAAACCCTGCTGCTGTCACCACCTGCCTAACATCATCAAGTACAGCTCTTTGAGGAATCTGCATGACCAGCAGGGGGCAGCAGCTTTCTAGCATGTGTGTGTGTGAGTGTGTGTGTGTGTGTGTGAAGCAGCAGTGCAGCCCACTCTGGGCCTTCATCAGTTAATTAGTTTTTTCTCCCTTATTTTTACTTGTACTCTGCCCATTGGGGATCCCCGCCCCTCCTCTTCCTCTCTTTCTCTCTTCATCACTGTATCGTCTGTATCAGCAAATTATACCACAGGGAAATCTTTTTCTTTTAAATAACCTCTCTCTCTCTCTCTCTCTCTCTCTCTCTCTCTCTCTCTCTCTCTCTCCTCTCACTGTCTGCTTCTCTATCATTCTTTGGCCCTATTTCCTTCCTTCCTTCCTTCTCTCTCTCTCCCTCCGTCTCTCTCTCTCTCTCTCTCGCTCCATAAGCCTGTTCCCCTTGAAGTGTGCTGGTTATGGATGCGTGAGTTGTCGGCCTGAGACCAGGAGATTATTAGGAGGATACATGATTAAAGAAACTCTCATTTCCTCCGCGGCTGCAGAGAAAACTTTGCCGGCAGACGGATTCAGACCCTTTTTAGTTTCCTTCACACGTCTGTCGGTGCGAGCAGACTACAGGGCAGCCTGTCGTACAATGTGGCATTAAAAGCACAGGCTGTTCCCTCTTTAATGGAAAAACGGATCATTCTTTGCTCCGAGAATTTAAATCTGAGGTCAAACAGAGCCGAGTGTCAAGACGAAAATGGAGGAATAAGTGTCTGAGGAGAGAAATCTGCAAATATGTTTTTGTTTCAGGTGAAATCTTTGACTGCGAGTCTGCAGCCGTTCAGGCTTTTCTGCACCTTCACAGATGCTGTTATTGACACCAGGATCATTTTTGTGTTGCACATCAGCTGATATTTCAGAGCTTCAGTAAATGCAGATATCTGAATAACTCACTGCAGACATGAGGGCCATAATCACTCTTTACAGTCTTGCTGCAGTTTAAGATTTAAAATTCAGAAACAAAATCCACAACCGCTTTGGTACCTGCATTGTTTCTCAGATATCTAAATTTTAAATGCAAATCGTCCAACATCACTCGCTGGATTCATCGGTAAAAACAACAAACAGAAACTAAAATCTGTCCAAGTTTAAAATAATTCACCTCAGCTACAGATTATGTTTTTTTCTGCAAATATTTATCCATACAAGCTACTCTCTGTTCACAAAGGCAGTAACATTAAATAACATTAAAAGCATGTTTGTTTGTTTTTTAAAGACTGAGCTGCACAATTCCAGCTGAGGCGTGCAGGATACCGAGGATTGTGCAAAAGCTTACAGCATAAAAGTTTGGCAAAGTTCTTAATGAATCTCAGTGATTTTGCACATTTTACTGCATCTTCATCATATATGAAGATTAAAATATGAGAAATACAAACAATAAATATAGAAACTGAGAAATAGAATATAACCATAAAACTCAATTTTTTTTAAAAAAAGAGCAGAAGTGTGCAGCATAAAGGTCGAGATGTTCATTTTTTTAATGCAGATTTATCACCAACTTTTAAATAATTTATCACATTTATTTAATCCAATTAAGAGGCAGTTTTTAAGTCCATGTAAACATTGTGCAGGATTAAGTATCTCAACAATTACAGGGTTTATTTTTATATTTGTGCTGATAACACTCTCACTTATGCTGACATTTGCAGGAGTGCATGTATGATTCGTTTCCTGCACTCTTAGATATTACTCTGCAGGCTTTTGTGTTGCGTTTGCACCTGCATGCTTCGCTCACAGACGGCTCAAACTCAGCGTACTTTAGTGGTTTATCTGTTTGACAAAAAGTCCAAATTACTTTTAGATTATCTGGGAGTTTTAAGAGTGAAAGGCATCTTTTGGAAACCCAAAATTTTTCATCACAAGAAATCACAAAACTGAAAAAAAAATGTCATTAATTCAGATTTTGATCAAGTTTGGATTCACAAAGATTACAGTCTACAGAGGGTGAGTATCTCAGAGAGTTTACCTCCAAAAGGGAGCTCAGGTTGTAGCCAATCACGTTGCAGCAGCATTAAATAACAGTATAGTGTTTATTTCTTCAAACGTTGTTGAACCGAAGCTTCACTCTGAGCTGTTTTTCTCCTGGTATGTGAATGTGTTGTTCCCTGAATGCAGACGTCATCTACATATTCCTGCCCTCTCAGCTCTGGGCTCTGTGCAGGAGAATACATTAGGATAGCAAAATTTGAAAAAGTATTGATTTTGTCATTTATAAAATGCTGAAGTCATGTATTGATCGCTGGCTGTGTCGCAGAGAGCAGAGAGCTGCTGGCTGCCGTCTTCAGCTGCTTCACTTTGTTTTTTAGTAAAGCAGCAGTTTTTTCTTTATGGTCCCGGGCTCTCACACTAAAGTAGTACTTACTCTAGGACCCGGACATGAAATCAATGTAAGTGTTAATCTATTTTAATTTGCAGAATGAGATGATGAGGCTCCACGTTTGGAGAAGAAGAGGAAAAAGACGGTTTTACAGTCAGCGGGTTGTTTTTAGTCGAGTAAATGAAATTAAACAGTTTCACTTTGAGCTCAACATGCAGTAAACCTTTTAATGTAATGAGACTCATCAGTAAGGGAGGAAGCTGAAACCATCAGGGAGCGTACTGTACCGAGAGTGCTGTCCTTCAAAATAAAAGCTCAAAAAAGGGAAATTAAACTCTTATTTCAAACTGATCAAGTATGAAAGTGAGAAGCTGACAATTTCTCCTCCTCCTTTAAAAATTACTCCCCAGGGAGGTTTCTACTTTTCCCACAAGTACACCGATTTAATTTTCTAATCAGATGGTGCTAAATGGTCGTACATCACCACTTAACTAATTATGAAGGATAGTGTTTGTCGTCTGAAAAGCACGTTTCAGGCTTCACTGGCGTTTCTCTTCAGCTGTTTGTTTTGGTCGTGAGTTAAACCAAGATGAGATGTGAGTTCTTCACTCTGTAGGTGAAGTTGTTCATGGTGGCGGTCATTTTTTAGCCATGATGGCGGTGAAGAAATTTTTACACAGTTAGTGAATCTTTATAGCAACACAAGATCCTGTGTGCATAAAAACTACAGATCAATACCGAATGATTTAAAAGTTTCGTTACAATAAGTTCCCGTATGACGATTTTGATCGGTTATCCTACACTATATTATGTTATGTACATTACATTAAGGAGTGTCCAGTGATATAATACATTTTTTTTACTTCTGATATGATACCCGTATTGTAGCCTTTAGTATTGGCTGATACTGATATTGATCCGATATTGGCACGAAATTTCGCATGACACGTTTTTTACTCAGCTGCGACGTCTTTTTCGGACTTTAACGAAAAATACTGCCACACCGCCGACATCATTCCTACCCCTCTCTACTTTGTTAGTAACTTAGTACACACTGTTGTCATGGTTACATGGGCTCTACATGCTAGATCCGGGCGCTGCTAGAAAGAGGTGCTGGAGTGGAGTCTGGAATGGACTGCTTGTATCGGAGTGCTGATATCAGAGATTTTAGATGTAGGCCAATTTAATCCGATATTCGTATTTTTGCTGATATCGACTGATATCCGATATCAATATCGTATCGGGACATCCCTATTTACATGATGTTATGTAAGGATAAGTCACATTATGCTACGCTACGCTATGTTACATTGCATTATGCTGTGCTATGTTACATTATGTAATGTTATGTAATGTTTTGTGACATCACATTAGGTTATGTTACATTACAACATGTGACACTATGTAACACTTCGTCATTCTACGCTATGTTACACTATGTTAAGTTACACTACGTTATGTTACTTTAGGATACAATACGATAATATACCACAATATAACATTATGCAATAATACAAGTTTTAACATAATGCAATATGATACGAGTCATTATTGATACAGTTTATTATAATACAATATACTAGAGTGTAATAACAGACATTTTGATACATTGTAGAACAATTAGATTTAGTCTGATATAAAACAGAGACATTACAGTAGATAATGTATAATAATATGATACAATACAATAAGGAATAGTATGACACAATATGATTCACATTAATAAAGAATTTGATCTGAAATGACAGGATCTGATACAATAACATAAAATGATAGGGTAGAATTGAGTGCTGTACAATACAATTAATATGATAGAAAATAATACTATACAAAATGATATAATACAATATGAAGTGAGGTACAGTAGAAAACAATACGACCCAATAAGATACCATTAAGAAGTACTATATGTATATAGGATCCAGTATCTCAGAGAGGATAAAAACCATCTGATTCTTTCTGTTCTCATGAAAACAGAAACAGAAAACAGAATAAAATACTACAGCTGAGTAAAAACCAAATCCCCACAATGTCACCTTACTCTGGTCTTCTGTGTTTTCACTCTGAAGCTTCAAAAATAGCTTTTAACTGAGTCTCTCTCTCGTGCCAGCAGAAGTAGCCGAGCTCCTCTTTTGATTTTTTTGAGTCCAATCTGTCAGATCAGTATTCTGGGAGAAGAGCCAGAGCGGAGTGACCGCCGAGCGCCTCTTTTTCTACCACAGAAGAAGAAGAAGAAACATCAGAAAGAGGAGAGGAAGAATGAGAAAAGAAATGTTGAGTTGACCGTCTGATGGTGAATCAGGGAGAGAATTTAGAAGAACAGCAGCTGGAGCGTCCTCAGAGCGATGAATTTAAGCTCTTCACGTTCAGAGGAAACAGACTCTTTCACATCTACACCTTCATAGTAAATCTGAAATTTCTCAGCTGTTTTCACACGAGCTCGCTCACACTAATTGTAAAAATTAGACTTGAATTTCGTGTGTTTTGGTTTGGATCCTGCACATTGATAGAAACTGTCTGGTTGAGGCAGCGGTAGACCAACAACTCCTGTGTATTTGGAGTCTGGTGTCTTTCCTCCGTTGGTGTAAAAAGCAGAAACTTCTAAAGTACATTGTTTGATAAGATGAGACTGAAGCTACAGCAAAGACTTGAACTCCCCTGATGGTCTGGTGACCCTCCATCTGACCCTTTAGACCGCGTCTGTCCGGTCATATCACCGTCCAGCCTCCATGATCGCTGCGGCTGCTGCAGGGTGAGCTGACGTCACTCTTTTTGGATTTGCTGTAAAGTTGCTCTAAAGTTTTAAAGTGAAAAGCAGACGGGCTTTTAATCACCTCCATCACCTGCTCTCCTGAGGCGATGCTCGGTACTCGGTGTAAACAATGCGAACAATAAAACAAGTATTAAAAACACAAATGAGACATTTTATGTGCTTTGCATCTGACTCGCGGTGATTCGCCGGCTGAGAAACCGTTTTCTTTGATTGATTTCATTAAGTGATGAAAGTTGCGTCTGAAACCTTATCACAGCGTTTGCTCGTTTTTTTGTTTTTGAGATGTCACGCAGATCTGAAGCCACTCTCCTGATCAGGAGCTGAAATAAAGCTTCAGAGAGACCTGATCTTATCAGGCAGACCTGATAATAAGGTCTTTTATTTTTGTACTTCCTGCAAACATCTGCTCCTGCCCTGCGGTCAGCTTTTGTTCAGGACGTAAAAGTGCTTAATTTCCTCAGTGTTTATGTTCGTTTCCACCTCCTCACATCATGTGGATGTTTTCAGAGGTATTTAAAAGCCTGTCGGTGTCTTTACTTCACTTTTTTTACGTGCAATTTGGCGTCAAATTTACAATCTTTGTCTGCATGAATCAACACTCTCCAGACATTTCAGATTTATCTTTATTACAGGCATGTTTTCAGCGCATGCATAACTAATATCTGACAGAGAGCGGGTCACATTTGAAGGTATTTAGATGCTGATTCACAAGTGATTCAGATTCATGATGAATTTATGTTCATCTGCAGAAATAGAGATTAAAATTAGAGCAAAACCACTCGTCTGGATTAAGACTGGCAGCATTGACTTTACCTGGCGGGTCTGCATACTGCTTTTCTTCAGTTGTGTAATCTAGTTATAAACTTCCTGAAATATTTGCTCATATGTAGGTCTGCCTTTTTCTCTTATTATTTGTAATATCAGCTGAAATATCCTGCTAATTGATTAAAACTCCAATGAGGGAATTTTTGTTTGTGTCTATTCTGGCGCCCCCTGTGGACAAACGTAATTTTTTAAATTTTGCTGAAGAAATGAAGTTAAAGGGGCGTTCTGTTACTCGCTTTGTCTGATTTAAACTAAAGCAAAATATAACATGTTTGTAGTTTATTGTAAAAATAGGAATATATTTAAAGAACCTCTGAGAAACTTTTCTGAGTAGTGCCCCCCGGTGGACAAAGTCATACCTTTTGCTTAAAAAAAAAAAAACTCCCCATGCCGTCTTGTCAAAGTCAGAACGATCCGAAAGAGGATTAAGGCAGCAAGCAAAAAACATAATAATTACAGGAGGGAGATTTTTTAATTTCCATTTCGAGATTAAAGTCAAATTCGAGATTAAAGTCCAAATTTAAAAATGTCAAAATGAAAAAAAATCAAAAATTCAAAATTAAAGTCAAAATTTAAAGATTCAAAACATTGAAATTGTGATTTTAACCTTAATCTCAATATCTGAATTTTTTAACTCCCAAAATTTTGACATTATTCGCGCCATTTCAACCTTTTTTAATCTCGAAAATTTCAATTTTGTAATCCCGAAATTTTTACATTATTCACACCATTTCAACATTTTGTAATCTCGAAATTCTGACATTATTGACATAATTTTGTTTTTGTAATCCCTTTCAACTTTAATCTCTAAATTTTGACTTCATCTCCTTCCTGTAATTATATATTTTTCTCTTATAGTTGCAGTAGAAAAAGTAACAGTGGATTTTCTTTCTTTAAGCAGTGAGCTGCTAAATCTGACACTGACCCTCTTTGCTGAAGTTTCAGGCATTAAAAACTAAAATATATAAATCTTATTTATGAAGAATGTAAAGAGCTGATAACCTCTGCTGTTGGGTTTGTTTGTTTCTGTACTTGAAGCACTTTGAGGCTCTTTTTCCTAACATTAAATATAACCTGATTATCAAATATAAGTCTTGTTTGCTTTTGTAGGTCATGATTATTAACGTCCATCTTGCTGAGGGTTCAAACCTGCAAACATCCCTCACTCTTGACCTTCCTCGGGTCTGATTCATCCTCGTGTCTGTTTCTGCCTCTGCAGCTTTAAAAGTTGTTATTTTTTCTCATCACGGAGCTCCCTAATCCCCCCAAACGCAGGGATTGTAAATGTGATATATGATCGCTTCTCAGCATTAACGCGCCTTATACCGGCGCGCACACCCACGCTGCCTCTGATATTTACACAATGCTTTTCTCTTTTCTGGGGTCAAACCGGTGACAGGCTCGCGGCTCAGCGCCATTGTGAGCGTCCTCCTCCCGTTTGTGAAGCGTGGTGCCGTTTAGAGCGCATGAAAATAAAAAGTGCAGCAGCAGCAGCAGCAGCTCCTCTCCTCGCTCCTCAGCTCAGAGCCAACATTACATAAGGTGTTAATATTAACGCTGCTATTGTGAGGAGCGTGTGTGGGCGGCCATGATAATGCAGCTTCTGTCACTGTGTGTGGAGGGAGCCAACACACACACACACACACACACACACACACACACACACACACACACACACACACACACACACACACACACGCAAACACACACTCACACACACACACAAACGTACATTGTTATCTACGGTGGAGCTGATGTTAATCAGTATAAACAGAGGGTCATTTTCAAAGGAAGAGAAAACGCTTTAAATGCTCACACACACTTTACACACTTCTGGTATTGGAGGCATGCACACACACTCATGCACACACACACACACACACTCACATGCACACACACACAAACACACATGCAGAGTGCAGAGCAGGCCTGGAGCTGCAGTTGATCACAGCGTTCTCGATAAGAGTGAACAGAGAGGATCACCCGCCTCTGTCTGCCTCTCTCTCTCTCTCTCTCTCTCTCTCTCTTTGAGGGGGGAGGTAGGAGGGTCCCCCCCCCCAGCAGCACTTTGGCAAATGAAGCTTCTGACTTTCTCTCTGTAGCTAATCAATTAACAGCCCCCCTCCTCTTCTCACGCCTGCTGTCTTCCTCTCTCTCTCTCTCTCTCTCTCTCTCTGTCTTTGTCTCTCTTTGTCTCGCTCTCGTGTCCTCCTGTTTAATCAAACTGGATCATTATTTCACTTTCTGACACTTTGGATGACAGTTCAGTCTGCCGCGCCGAGATAAGCTTCCAATTAATACAAACTGGAGTTTAACATGTTTTACAGACACCAGTACAGTCTCTCTCTCTCTCTCTCTCTCTCTCTCTCTCTCTCCCTCCCTCTCTCTCTCTCTCTCTCTCGGTTTGTTTAACTCTGACCCATTTCCTCCTCAGCTCTGCATTCACACTTTTACATCCATTTATTACCACTTCAGCGTCTCAGAGCCAGATTCTGTTACTATTTCTGTTTGTCATTATTCAGAGACGACGTCGGCTTATTTACATTCAGTGATTAATTCTGTGAATATTGAGCTCTTATTGTTGGCGGAGGAGTCCGGCATCGTTGTTGTGGATTCATGTTTTTCTGCTCTTTATCGCCGTGTTTGTTTTAAGTTATGCAGGAGACGAAATTTGCAAGTAGATTGAGACGCTCCCTTGTTCGCCCCTCTGTCTGTGAAATGACGGTGGCCCTGGAAGGACAAGAAGTTTCTGAACATGAGCAGCATTCATTCTTATTTTCCAACTGGTGTGTTTCAATCAGTTAAAGGGCCAGTTCACATTTATGCAGCGGCAGTGTTTGGTGTTTTAGCCTCTGACCTCTGACCTCCTCACAGTTTTACTTTAACAAGTTGAGGAGTGATGAGACGATACTCTACGCCCTGGGTCGGAGTCTGCAGGTGGATGCTGGGGTTGAAAATGAGAGTTTTCTGTCTGAACTAGCTCCTGAGTTTTCCGCCTGAACTAGCTCCTAAAGCTTTCTGTGCATTTGTCTGCAGCTGACATGTCTTCGCTCCTCCTTCTTCTGTATGTCTGTTTCACCTTTAGATTCTCTAACCTGCTTAGGTGAGTCCAAATCCACCTGTTCAGTTTGTTTATATTTGACAGAAACGTTTGATAAAGACGTGAAAACTCAAAGTGTTTAGATATGAGCTAAAAAGAGGACGAGGACAAGGAGAGCAGTGTGTGTGTGTGTGTGTGTGTGTGTGTGTGTGTGTGTGTGTGTGTGTGTGTGTGTGTGTGTGTGTGTGTGTGTGTCGGTGTGTGTGTGTGTGTGTATCAGTATGTATGAAGTGTGTAAATGGGAAGGCGCATACTGCTAGCGTCAGGGACTTCCTCGACACGCAGGCTTCTCCTCGCCTACACTCTGCTCCGTCCGCATATTCTCTCCTTCATCAATAAATAACATATTAATGCCTCCTCCTCCTCCTCCTCCTCCTCCTCCTCCTCCTCCTCCTCCTCTCTTCTTTGCTTTCTTTCTCTCTCTGCAGTTTTTCACTCCCTGTGTTATTTTTTTTTTCTTTTTGGCTCGCCTCCTGCTCTCTCTCTCTCTCTCTCTCTCTCTCTTTATGTCCTCCTGGTTCAGTTTGTCCCCTCAGACTTTGATCACTACTGCTTTTTTTTAATCAAACTTAAATAATTCAGCCACACTTTGATGCATAAGGAAAAATGCAGCTCAAATTATTACATCATAACCAATCAGAATTAAGAGGAGGCGGGACTTATCGGAATATGTAATCTGTTGTAACCTAGCAACAGTAAACACCAGCTCGCTCTGAAATTGAGGTCATTGGCACCATCTGAGAAAGTAAAACTGACCCCGAATTTAATCTCTCAAAAATCCACAAAAGTCAAAGTTACTTGATTCACGTTTTTATACAAACAGCATATAATTCACTTAGACTGTACAGGTCGATAATCTGCATGGATATCTCTCTTCTTCTCATGAAAATTGCTGTAGTACCTTATAAGTGGTTATTTAAACTGCAGTAAATCAGAGCTGAAGTCCCCACTTCACCTGTAGGTTTTTAAGGCTGCACTTCAGAGGCTCTACAGTCGGCCTGGACAGAGCAGATCTGCTGCAACACGGTGACGGTGCTGCAGCCGTGCACCACGTCTCCACTTTTACAGAACCAGTCCGTCAGACGATGTCTATCTGCAGCTTAAAGGGATATTCTGGCATAAAGTACCTTAACACCGAGTTAGGCCCCCCCCTCCAGAGATGAATTTTGCCGACCGCTTGCTTCTCTAGTTATACCAACTTTAGTAACGACCGCAGGATAGCAACACAGAGAGTCACGCCCTCAACCAAAACACCACTCTATAGCCACAAGTAATGCTCAGAACAGCACCTAACTTCATCAACAGGACATATAGGGTCACAGACATAGTACTAGACACCAAACATCTTTTTAACTTTGACTAATTTCTTTAACAAAGAGACTAAACACAACTCACCTACTCTCTTCCAGCAGACGCTTGTTTGTAGGGAGACCTCAGGCCAGTCCATTAGGGACTACAGCGGGGTGACGCAGCTCAAGGAAGAACATTTATGATAATAATTATGATTAAAAGTAATAATTAATTTAGTTTTACTTTAGATAATTAACATTTCCAAAGATGGATTGCAGGAAATACTTCACATTTGAATTGCTGAATATTCATCTGTCATGGAAAAACAGGGACTACATTTGTGTTTTTTGTGTGAATAGTCAGCAGCTCTTTCCTGCACCTCGGCCTCTTTACTGTCCATTTTTTGTTTGGCGGCTGTTTCAGTTTCTGTAAAAAGTTGTTCTGAATCAGGATGTAACTGCAGATGAAACTCTCCTCTGCTGTTACTGGATCAGATGTTTTTATCCCATTTCATTTTCTGCTTTTTGTCATTTCTCTGAATTATTTTCGCTCTCCTGGCAGATCGGAGAGAAAAAACTTGGCTTGATTCACTTTGTTGTAAATTTATGTTCCATGAAACTACATCTAATTAAATCGAGTCACTGATTAAGGAAGAGTAGATTAAATGATATTTTACAGTGCACTCTGCTGTTATTAACAAAGTTCACCACACACCCTCGGTCTGATCGATCAGCTCTTTCTGCGTTTTTATGTCTTCTTCCAACTATTAATTTTTCCGATCAATTCCAACAAACAAACAAACAAAAATCGACTTTTTTTTACAGTGTTTTTCACAAAGAAAAATGAGCCTGGAGACGCAGCAATAACATCTAAAACCCTGGACTTGGTTCTGGTCCAAAGTGCCTCATTATTCAGTTAGATTTGTGTGTGCTGATGGAGCTCTTCTGCAGAGTGTAACAGTTTAAAATCTGATCTTGTGTGTAACCTGTGTGTGTGACCTGTGTGTGTAACCTGTGTGTGTGACCTGCGTGCACGGACGGACCTGCAGTTTGGAGTCTAATTGTTTTTAATCAGATGATGTCCTCGGGCCTCTCCTCCGTCCCTCTCTTCCTCTCCTATCTGATCTCATCATGTCCCCTCCACCCTCTCCTCCGCCCCGCCGCTCCAGACGCAGCTTTCACTCACAGATATATTAATGTGGCAGTTTAATTAGCGAGAACCCACATGGATATTGATTATGCACTTGCCTGGGGTAAAGTTTGCCTTCTGCTCCCAGTCATGTATCGATCCGCGGGTGGGAAGGAGCGCAGAGGCAGACGCGGCGCTCGCATATCAAGTAGGCGAATCTCTGAGCACGAGGCCGAAACACAACTTTTAACACATGCAGGTGACTGAGCTACAGGTTAGATCTCAAACACTTGAAACGTCTCACAAACAGATCTCCTTACTCTGCACCAAACTTGTGCACGATGAGGGGCCGGAGTCACTTGTTGCTGAATGTTCTGAACCTGAACGTACGAGAAACTGAGCTGCAACCATGAGACAGAGAATCAGGAGGGGAAGGACGGTACAGCGAAGCCTCTCCAACGTTTCTGTCCAGTTTTTGCTCACAGAAGATCTTAGAAACTGCAGACTTCTTTCTCCAGACATACTGGAGAAATCTACAGCAGCACACTTCACTTCAGTTTTTACCAAAATGTTGATTTCCTCACTCAAATTAATTTAACTTTGTGCTCGAACATGTCGTTTATACATTTGTGTTGTAAAGATGCAGTAGAAGTAGGGCTGACACAAACGATTAATCTGATCATCGACACAACTACGATTATTTTTGCGATCAATCGGATCGTATATTTTATGTTTTTAATCTCAATGGGACCAACCTGCTTAAATAAAGGTTTATATTTAAATGTATACATTTTGTGAGGGTGACCATACATCCTCTTTTACACAGACATGTCTGTGGCTGTCCGGGGAAGTTTATAAATTCTTCAAACCTCCTCAGTTTTGTCCGTAAGTTTCGATTTTGTGTTTTGTGGACTTACTGAGTTAGAAGCACAGAAAAGACATTAGATCCGACCCGAAAAGCTCTCCAATTAACAACTCAGTGACTCCGCCCCCACATAGTCATATCCTCTTTCTGGTAAATCAGAATATGGTCACCCGATATATTGCAGATTATTGCATTAGCATGCAGCTGCTGTTTTACCTCCATTAAATAACCTCCATCAGAAAATGTTGAAGAGTATGTGCTTACTAAAGAAGACAATTAAGACGGCGGTTGATTTCAACTTATTATAAAGTTTTTTTTTTATAAAATAGTGTTAAAATAAAATAGAAAATGGAAAATTAGCTGCTAATTAGCCGACTAGCTCACTGAGGTGACGGCCCTTCTCTGGTGTCCTCTTCTTCAGCCAACCTGACGCGTTTTCTTTTAAAGTACTGGTGCATGGTTGTCATGGGCAGATCTTGTATTTTACAGACTTTTTGCTCCCAAATGTTCTGCTCGCCATTGTGAGTTTTAGTGACGTCGGGTGCCAACTTCTATGAGCTCTATGGCGCATGTGTGTCCAGAACAAGGCACACACAGTGGAGGCTATGGGCGGGGGGTACTGCATCACTTTCGAGCAGAAAAAAAAGATTTCTTCAATAACTAAAATAGTTGACGACCATTTTGATTGTCGAACTTTAATCGGATAATCTGAACCAATCAGGGGCTGTATCTATGATCAGCTGACCTTTGAAGGCCCAATCAGGGGCCAAGATCTCCAATTTCAGCAGAGCAGTAAAGGTGATAAAAATGATGCTAAATTTTGTGTCACTGAGGAAGAAAAACGGTTTTAAAAAACTAGTTTGAGGAACAGAATCAATAAAAGTCTCTGTATCGATGAAACCTAAAGACTTATAACCTGATAAACGTTCAAATAAATCTGTTCAAAGAGAAGCTGAAAGTGGAAAACAGAGAGAGAGTCAAGTTTAAGAGACTCGTGTTCGTTTTTGCAAATAAAACATCGAAAAAAGTTTATTTTTCTTTCAAAATAAAGCAAAAAAAAAAAAAATCCTACATCTCGATTGATGATTTCAAAGATGGCCGTTCTTCTTGTGCAGATGGTTTTTTAATTTTCTGCCTCGTTCCTGTGAGTTTCTGCCAGTCACATGACTCATCTGGATCATTATCACAGCACTTAAACCCGCCCTGATCCTGCGGTGAGCGAAAAGAGTTTCTACTCGACTGAAAGTAAAACTCGTCTGACCTCAGCTCGGCAGGATTTAGAGGAAAGCCGTAAAAAAGAGTCTGACTGACGGCTTCAAACTCGCTCTCAGAGGAATCCGGCGCCCCTGTAGAGTCTCCGTGTTTCGGATCCAGCTTCACTCCGGGCCGAGCTGAACATCAGATTAAAGTTTCAACTTTCCCTCGCGTGAAACTCGTAGATGAGCGTTGGAATAAACTCGTAATGTTCTCTGACTGACTGACGGAGGAGGAGGAGGAGGAGGAGGAGGAGGCCGCGGGCTGCTCCTGAAAAATGAACATGCAGAGAACAAACTGATTAGAGTCTCTGGATCCGTTTCTGCGGCGCTCTAAATTCACAAAAAGCCGTCAGTGTTTGATTAAAAAAAGGCCGAGTAAAGACGGCGTCGGTCTTTGAGAAATGGCTGCAGAGTTTTGGCAGGTCGGGTTCAGAACGGTTTGAAACGGAGCCAAACGCAGACCGGAGGAGGAAGGAGGAAAGAGAGGAAGGGGAGGAGGGGAGGTGGCTGTAAAAAAGGAGCCCGACACTGTGACTGCGATATTAAAGGTTTTATGATTTTTCTGTCCACGGCTCACTTCAGCTCTGCAGCTTCAGGCGCTTTAACCAGGAACGGCTCGGAAAGGTCAAGCTAACATGTTGTTTGGTCACAGATAATCTCTCCGTGTGAATCCAAGAGTCTCTCTCCCTCCTCCGGGGCGCCGTCTCCCCGAGCAGAGTCTTCCTATTTCTGCAGATTTAACCGTTTTAGATCCAAACGTGGCACCCTGTCCTGTCTACGCAGAAGAAACAAACTGAGACTTCCTGCTCCCTCCGAGGAGTCTGACGGCAGATTTGGCCGCGAGCGAATCCAAAAAGGTCACGTTAGAAAAGTGTGAAATGGAGGGTGGGAACACCTCCGGATCCAGGTCAGGTGATCACCAATCAGTGGGATGTATTGATGAGTTTGGATCAATGATTATCTGCAGGATTTGGGAACAGCACTGTGAGGAGGTAACGCCTTCTTTTACGGTACACTTATTACCAGGTAATTAACATGTAATTACCTGGTAACAACATGAAATTATCTGGTAATTACATGATAACTACTAAGTCAATACTGTTTAGTTACCAGGTCGGTAACCTTCCATCATCATACAAATTTGAAGCCGAATTGCTCTGGTATTTCCAGGATTTTCTCCACTTCCTGGAACCACCACTTGCTCAGTAGCGTTGTACGCATTCGGCGGGTGAGTCGCTGTGATGACGCTCGGCTCAAACAGCGAATCGCTATGCAATCTTCGCACGCCCATAGGCTGTATCAAGTGTCAATCATAGAAAATAAGAAGCTTTTGAAAATGGAGCTGCACAGAAAAAAGAAAAACTAGACAGTATTGATGTAGTAGTTATCATGTAATTACCAGATAGTTTCATGTTGTTACCAGGTAATTACCCGTTAATTACCTGGTAACAACAACATAAGGAAGAACTTCTTCAAATGATTAAACAGATCTGTTGTGTAGCTGGTTTTTGAGGGCACTGATCAACGACATACCTCGCTCATCGGCTTAATTACTCGACGTCACTTTGGAGATACCTGAACCACCGCCACACAACCGACGTTGAATAACTTCTCAACAATAACATCTTTGGAGGATGACAATAACAGGTCCTTCCTCCCCGCTGCTATCAGACTCTATAACCAGGCCCTCTTCTAGCAGACCAACACCACCAACAACAATGAAAGTGCAATACTACACCCCTAACTATTTATTAATTATGTGCAATATCAATATCAATATCATCATCACATCCAGACCTGTTTTTTGTTGGCACTGATCTTTCTTTCTTCTTTTACTCTAGTTCTTTATCTTATTTGTTTTTTTTAACCTGTTATGAATGCGTATGTTGTGTGTACTGCTGCTGTTAATGACTAAATTTCCCCACTGAAAGGATAAATAAAGGAAATCTAATCTAATCTAATAACTCTCCTAAACTTTAAACTTTGCAAAACAGACTGTGAACAGAGCTCTGAAAACCCGTGGCGTGCTCGGTTACGAGGTCAGACGTAAAAGAAGATAAATAAAGTAGAAGTTTGCACCCTCTGTCAGCAGTAAAAACACTGATCCAGCACGCAGAGATTAAACTGATCCAAGCTGTATCACTTCATCAATTATTCATCCGCTCCTTTTTCTGCTTTCTCTCCGTTTGGCGTCTGAACATCAGGAGTTTGTGGAGAAACTGGGTTGTTGAGCGAGTAAAGAGGCGCTAATGTGCCGCAGCTTTGGAGGAGAATCCGGTTTGGACGGGTTTGGACTTATGGAGACGTGTTGAACCAAACTTTGAGTAAATGGATAAAAAGATGAGATTGTTGGCGATGGAGGGGAGAATATTTGAGAGTTTTCCTCACAATCATGTCGGACAAGTGCAACAAAAACCTCCTTTTTCATCTTGTTTTGTTTGGTGAGGGGGAGTCCGAGTGAGCTGCTGACTGCTGCAGAAAACAAGAGAGAGAGAGAGAGAGAGAGAGAGAGAGAGAGAGAGAGAGAGAGAGAGAGAGAGAGAGAGAGAGAGAGAGAGAGAGAGAGAGAGGAGGAAACGGCAGTAAAACCGAGACTGAGGCTAATTAAAAAGGCTTAAATTAATTGAGTTTCCGTTTTCAACAGACATGTAAATCACACACACACACACACACACACACACACACACACACACACACACACACACACACTCGTACACACACTCGGGTGAGCGAGCAGTGACGATGCGGAGAGCGAATCAAAGGGTGAGAAAAGGCTGATTAAGAGCTTAAAACTTGAGGAGGAGGAGGATGAAGAGAGAGGGATGAGGAGGAGGAGGAGGAAGAGCTTCATGTGACAGAGGCTGCTGCAGGACACACTCACGGAGAGCGTCCTGCTTCTGTTTCAGGATTTGATTTGGTTAGAAAAAAGTGGGCGTGTCCTCAGGGACAGGTGAGGACACGCCTACAAACCCGGCACAGAGGGCGTTCCTTAAAAAAGCAGAGTGGAGGATTTGTTTTGGGGCTTTTGTGCTTTTATTTTGAAAGGACACGACCGTGGATTTATTATTTTCAGTATCAGAAACACACACACACACACACACACACAAACACACACACACACACCCCTCATGTGTCCTTCCTTGTTATGCACGGCGTCTGTGATCTACGTCTATGACACTGTAATATATTTGTCTGTCACTCTTTTGCTTTCCCCCTGAGTAGCTTGATGAATGTACTGAGCACAATAATCTCACACACACACACACACTTGTACGCACACACACACACACACTTGTACACACACACACACACACACACTTGTGTACCAGTATAGAAGCAGGAAAGGAGGGGCGGAGTTTCTTGACTTCAATTCTCAAAGAAATTTGTTCGTCAAGGTGATGTTGATCATTTTCTGAGATCTTAAATAGAAAAATCTAAACTCTACAAAATATTTCAGACGTTATTTTGCAGAATTAAATTTTTTTAAAGATATAAAACAGATCCAAAATCATTTTTTTACTTTTTTTACTTCAAATATTCACAAAAAAAACGGTACATATGACTTTGCAAAGTCAGCAGAATGAGACTTTTGTTCAGAGATGTTACTTTAGCATGTAGAGGATAAGAACGTAAAGGCTGCTTTGTCCACAGGGGGCGCCAAAGTTGACAAAAACCAAAAGTTTCTCACTGGTTCTTTAAAGGTAGGCAGGAATCTGTAGCGTGTTGTAGCGCCATCGCTAAACTGTCGACCTCGGGTCCTGGACTATGTCACTTTATCCTTGTTCGGTCGTGGAGATCTGTAGGATTTTATAACCTTCCCCGGATTTTGAGTCTCTGAAAACGACTTGAGGACTTTAGCTTCAGCTGCAGGAACAAACCAAAAACCAGCCTTGACAACGTTGAACAAATCCTTCAAACAGACAAACCTCAGTGTTCAGGAAGCTGCAGTGATGGTGGGTCAGATTCAGACCGGACCTGAGTCCAGTTTGGTGGTGGTGACGTAGACTGGCAGCAGGTTTAGTAAGTTTCAAACTGGAACTTTAAAGAGGAGAGGCAGAAGTGAGAAGATGGACCTGAGGGGTGGAAGAGGCAGAGAGTCTGATTCCTGTTAATCACTGAAGTTTATTTTACAGCCAACACTCCTCAGTTTCAGCCAGAAAAAGAAAAGTAAACACTGCTCTAATTATCTCTGAACGAGCTCACTTAACAGATTTTTGACTCTGTTCACTTGGAAAATCGACCGCTGGACTCTTCAGGCTGCAGACAAAACAAAAAATGAGGAGAAGGAGAAATCAGGACGATTACAGAGAAAGAACTGATGATGTTATTCAGGACTTTAGTCAGTTCGATTGTTTGAATCTGTTTTATTCTCTCTCTGAAAGTTAGTTTTTCAGAGTCCTCCCTCTCTGACTCCTCCATATTCTCCTTTTTTCTTTCACTGGGACCCTCCATCCATCTCTGTCTGTATCTGCGGTTATCTGCTGCTCTCAGGGGGGGAGACTGGAGAGGGGGAGGAGGGGGAAAGTGGACAGCAGGTGGAGTAAACAGCGTATCCCCTGGCAACCTATTAGATGACGAGCCCCCTCCTCCTCGTCCTCCTCCTCCTCCAGCTTCATTTAGACTCATATTCATCAGAGCAAAGAGGAGGAGAAACCTGCTTTTAGGAGTTTTAAAGGAGCTATAAGGAGTTTTTGATCGACTGAAATTCACATTGACGCCTTTTCATGATATCTAAAAGCAGAAGAGACCATCAGGGTTTGTATCCTGGTTTTTAATACCTGGATCTTGTGGCATGAAATTGGTCAGGAAATGGTCCTGTTTTTACAATTTACACGTAAAATACTCACAAAACAAAAAATCTCAAAGTTTACTCTCTAATATCAGCAGGGAGAGATTTTCTCCTGAAAGTCACTTCTCAAACATGTAGAAGATGAGAAAAGCGAAGACTGATTTGTCCACATGGGGCACCAAAAGTTCCTCCAGGGAGCTCTAAGATTGTTGTTGTTGTAGTTTGTCTCTGATCCAGCAGAGGGAGCTCTAAAAAGCACCCTCAGCTCGACTTTTTGTAAAGTAAACTCTTTAAGTAAACCGAGGTAAAAGAGGACAAACTAACTCCAGATAGTTGTCCTCAGATATTTACGATGCATCACTGAGAAGTTTCTGCTCTTAAAACTTCACCGTAGAAACAAAGTTTTATCTTCTCATTCATCTTTAAAGAAAACCAGAGATTTCAAAATTAAAGTCACACCTTTTCTTTAAAAAAAAGTCATACATTTTGGATAAAGTGTCATAATTAGAGTCTTTGATGTTTTATTTTGTAGGAGCATGTTGTCGTCTGTTATGATCCACATCTCTTATTTTAGTTTAAGCTGCTTTCTTCTCCTCGTATATCCGCCTTTAAGTTATTTTACATGTGGATCAATCAAAGTCTGGAAATTAAGACTTCTGTGTAAAAAAGGTTTTTTTTCTCATGCAGTTTCATTTTATTTTTAATGGCTTTTACTTTATTAATACTTTTCGTCTTTTTATTAAACATTGTCTTATCTCGGTTTGCACACTCTTACACTGACGTCCGAGCAGAGCGGGGCGATGGGTTGGCTTCCTGTTGAAGCTCCTTCATCACTGTGGTCACCATGGGTGGGTGATATGGAAAAGTTTTTATATCATGATTTTTTTGCAGCCACAGTCACAATTTTATTGCAATTTTTTGTATTAATAATTATTACAATAAAAATAATAATAATAATGATTTAACAGAATTAATAAATGAACTAAAATATCCGGATTTTAAAAAACCAACAGCATCACATTTATCGTGGATGGTCTAATTCTCAATAAATTTTGACCTAAAATAAGACCTCACACACAAAAGTCGATATTTACAAAAATGATAGATAGTCCTGTAAATAATCAACAAAACTTAAAACTAATTTACAAAACACAAAAGATAAAGAACAAAATATTTCGTAACTTTTTTCTTTCCTTTTTATTGGCTGTTTTTTTTTTTTTTGTTCCCAACTCAACATCTGAAAAATCTTCTCTCTCTTTTCCTCCCCCACTCCACTGTTATATCTAAAATTACTTTGTTTTGATAAAAGCAGGTTTTGTGACTCTTTTATACTGATATGACCAGAAACCAAATCACCCGACGCAGGTCTGGGTCTACGAGGCTGTAAAATCATTCATCATGTCGAATTTCTGCAGAAAATAATCTCCTGCAATATTTTTATAACAAGGAATGACGGATTTCTACAGCAGCGATGAGTCAGCTTATGTTTAATGCATCCATGTTCATGACAAGTGTGTGTGTGTGTGTGTGTGTGTGTGTGTGTGTGTGTGTGTGTGTGACCTCTCCTGCACGTCATTTACAACGTGCACACACCTGAGCTAAGTTTGCAAATCAGTTCGAACAAATCCTCGACTTTTCGAGAACGAGAAGAAAAATCGTCTTTTTGAGTTTTTTTGTCGTAGCTCTGAAAAAGGTGAGAACGGCCGCCGACATTTTTCAGTGTTTCTACGTTTTTTAAGACTTTGGTTCAGAGATAAGAGACAAAGAGAGGAGGAGATAGCAGGAGGAGGACAGAGGAGCAGAGGGAGGGAGGGAGGAGCAGGAAGGAGGCCGGCTGCTGGAGCTGCTGTTTCATTAACTGCCGGTCGACAGCACATACATCAAGCTCCCACAATGCTTAGGGAGCGCGACTGTAACCCGCAGTGATCCGCCCGCAAGAAGGGACGCCGGTGATGGATTGTGTGACATGAACGGAGAGCACACACACACACACACACACACACACACACACACACACACACACACACACACACACACACACACACAGCCTGAGCTTTCCTCTAAAACTGGATTTCCTGAGTCTGATGACATCTGGGAGGAATAAAAACGAGTGAAGGGAAAAATATTTAATCTGAAACTCTTCTCTGATTTAAAACGTGTAATTTTCAGAACAGAGACCATGTAATGACGGGTTTGAGTCAGAGCGAGCTTTACTCCATCCTCAAACTGCTGATTTTTCTGGAGTAACAAACAAAAACACGATAAACGCGGTGACTGTGGGGGTCCTTGTTGAGAAGGTCAGCTGCAGCCGGTTCAGGACCTTGTGGCGTTTTGCTCTGAGGCGGTTCTCAGAAAGTTCTGGTCAGCTGCAAACTTTCCTGCTCGCCTCAGGGTCCTGGAGGCGTTCAGGTCCTGGAGGCTTGATGGATTACAGCCAATCAGCTTTCCAGTAAAAGAAATGATCCGCCGCAGTCCGCTTTGTCTTTGGCACACAGCAGGGGGGATGAGAGAGGTGACTCAAAACGCTGCGTTTCCACAAATGAGTTACAGGGAAACTTAATTTGACACCCAGAAGAGTTCCTGCTTGGAGGGAACTGACTGGAGTGGGACTCTAAGCTCTGCTCGTCTCAGAAAGCTAGCAGGTGGTTTAATCCTCTGGATGTGTCTCAGAGTCTGAGGTCTTCAGAGACCGGGTCCCAGCTTGGTTGCAGATTCAGGGTTGACAGGATGGAGTGGTTTTCTCTGCAGGTTGTGAGAAACAGGCGCTCATGAAAGCGCTGCATTGAGCAGTTTATGACTTTTAATTTATCTGATGTATTTGGCAACTCGCTCAGAAGCTTCGGGCGCTCCGAACTGTCTGCTGGCAGCGCCGCCCTGATCCGTCCCTGCTGAGGCAGCTGCTGCACCGGAGCTGGAGGGACCGAACATTTAGACAGCTGGCCGATGGGAGCTGGATGAGCCCTTTAATACCGACTCTCTCACCAGCAGAGGGGTTCTCTCTGTATCTCCTTCTGAAAACTGGATTTTTCTTCTTTTTCTTTGTGGTGAACACAGAAATACTCCAAAAACACAAGAACATGAAAGTCAGATTAGAGGAGCGGTCAGGGAGCGCCAAACTGGACCTGGTCCTGTTAGGGTTATCTGCTGCGTTTCAGTTTCCTCAGAAGTCGGAGCTGTGAACGACGTTACACCCGAGTTGACGGTGTTCCAGAAAACAAGTCAGAAAACCAAGATGGACGCCTACATTTTAGATCAAATGTATATAGTGTAGCATTTATACAGAAATGTTGACTTTGACACTAACATCAAGTTACTATCATGACATTTTTATTTGTTTGGATTATCTAGGAGCATTACCTTCACTCTGGACACTATAAGACACATTTTTACAGACAGAGACGTCAGATTTGCTCCAAATGAAAATATAATTCAATTTAATCATTTAAATAAACAGTTTTTATCCTCAGATATGGAGAGAATTGGAAAAAAAGGCCTGTCTCTAATAGAGGCCTGGTACCCTGGGCCTTTATTTGAGGATTTATGGTTCTTAGAAAAGTCTCGGTGTCTGTCTCTGGTAATTTAAGTTCTTCCTCTTTTGATTGACTCTGTTAAGTCAGTAAGTTGATCATCTGGACTCTTTAGGAGGTTTGGAGTAAAAATACATAGACCAGTTACCCCATCAGGCCAGTTATAATAGCTGCACGATTTTGGCCAAAAAGAAAATCTGAATTTTATTCTCTTAAAACTGAATTTAAATTTCGATTTCTTATTCAGTGACAATTTTACCAAACTTCACTTTTAAAATATATATTTTTTCTATTATTACCCAAAACAAAACCACTGAAAACGATGTAGTGCATATGCCAAGCCAGTGAGTGGCGCTGTAACGCTGCACAGGAAATGCACAAAAGACAGAAGAAGAGTACAGAGCATGTGTATGAATGTTGTTTTGGCGCCATAAAAGAGTTACTCTGTGTGTCACATGATCGTTTCAAGAGATTCAGATAGACATAGGGGCGTGGTTAGCGCTTCATCAGAAACTTTGAAGTCGTACCAATTCCACACGACTGACTCGCTCTTGTCCTATTTAACCACAAAATTATCGCCTTCTTTTGCAAACGCCATGTTTGGGAATGTGGAGTCTACGGTGGCCTGGAGGTGCGAAACATGATAGCGAGGAAAATCGATTTGACAATTTTAGCTTTTTAACATCGTCACAATTAAATAATCTGATTACGATTTAAAAAATAATCTGTATCAGCCGCTGGCGTAGAGGTAATTTTTCCGGAGATGACTCGCTGTCGGGGTTGGTAGTGGACGTGTTCAGGCTGAGGCGTTGCTTTTCGCTCTATCTTCTTGCTTTTCTTGCGAATACGGACACTCACTAGAGATGCTTTGTGCGTCCCTAACATCAGAGATAGGTGGCGCTGTTTCTCCTACATATAATCTAATATCATAAACACAAGTTCAAAGTATAAACATGTCTGTCCTTCCTGCGGTTAAAGTACTGACCCTTCGCTGAAGTAACTCTGAGGTGTTTCATTATTCAGGACTCAAAGTCGTGCAGCTCCATCTGATTCAAAGTTTTCATGCGAGCGTAATTCCCCGTGTTGATTTTCTCTCACATTTAGCGGATTTGTTTGGTCTTTTTCAGAGGAGCCTGTATTTTTCATGCGATCTTCCCGTCCTGTCTCTGAGTCTGTACGGACAGCAGGAGCTCAGTCTGCATAGTAATTGGTCATGTAGGCGGCCGTAATGTTTTAATGCATAAATATATCAGGCTCTGGAATTACAATTTAATGGTGTGTGGAATTAGAAACGGCAGCTCTTGTTCCCTCCACTCACCCTCACTTTTTTACTCCCTCCTCCTCCTCCTCCTCTTTCTCCTCCTTAGTCTCTGCTCGCTCCGCTCTTATTTCCCTCTTCATTTTCCATTTTCCATAAAGCGCACATTATCTCCTAACTTTGTAGGTACTTTAAGAGATATATTGTAGTGGGATTTTGTGAAATACATCATGCAGTAAAGAAATAAATCACAGTATCAGGTGAATCTTATCAGCTGGCAGACAACAGGGGAGTGAGGTCGGAGCAGCAGCGTTTCTGAAAGTCATTCCATAAGTGTTTTTCTCTGTCAGAGATAACTGTGAGCCGCTTCAGATATCAGCTCGAGTGAATTTTTGGCTCGTTTCTGTGCTGAGCGAGATTTTTTGTTCCATTCTTTTAGTTTTTAGAGAAAGAAAGAAAGAGCGGGTTTGTCATTCTTCCACCTTGGTCCGAACTGAAATATCACATCGTCCTGATGAAAGATGACCCTGATTGTGAGATGACTTCTTTTCAACTTTTTTTGGGGGGAGACTAAAGACTTTTTTGTAGAGATAAGAGACACTTTATCAGACAAGTCCTGAAGGGAAATGTGACAGAGATACTGTTGGAGGTATTTTCTCTGGGAAAAGTTAAACACTGAGTCAGTTTGGTGTCATTTATTCAATAAAAGAAGCACTTTTGGTGTCTCAATCGTAGTTTTGCAGGTATAAATAGTCGAGGAATCACTCTGCTTACTCTACAAATGTCCACCATAGATCAGAGTTTCCTCGTCTTGCTGTACGCACATGTGGACGGTGCAAACAGCCAAACTTTTCCAGCCCACCGCTAAAATTTCTGCAGGATGTTGAGGTGAGCTCGAAATGTGTTGCACCGTGGGTAAGTGGGTGGGAGTTTATATCAGGCGACCGGTGAAGCCGGAAGAGCCGCAGGATGAGTCAAACCGTCCGTGGTTAAAGAAGGGGATCATATTAGGACGAGGACGGAGGAGATGTCTGCAGGACGTGTCCTCTTAGGGCTGATTTATGCTTTCAAAACGTATAAAAATGTACATGTCCGTTACTGCCCACGTACATACATGCGTCCTTTATGTTGGCGTGGATGTTAACCATCACATCCACCAGGGGGCAGGCCGGAGTCAGAAGTTTCTGACAACAACAAACAAAAAGAAACTTGTTGGAGGAGGCGGTGGTCGGTCAGGTTGGAGGACGGAGAACTCTTTTCTCTAGTTGTACCGATGACAGAAATTCTCAGTATTTCAGGATGTCCGCTGGGGCATTTAACGACTTGCTTCACCGGTTGGCCTCCTACATCCAGCACCACAGGTCAGAAAGCCTCGCCATTGTCTTCTTCGTTTCTCTCTAGAGATCTGTATCAGGTCGTGACAGCAGCAACACTGCCCCCACGGTTTCTGGTGGTACTGCTCCATCCGGCCCATATCCATAAACTTAAAGGACACGTGCAGAAATACGTATGAAAGGAACACAAAGCACGGATGGAGAGCTCCGTCCGTATCCAGATCTGTGTGTCACGTTGAGGATAAACGAGCCTTAACATGTTAGATGAATATCCGTCATGATTGTGGAGGTCATGCCATCATTTTGAAGCTCTACATTGTGTCTCTGCAGCTCCTGACCTCCAGAGACTCACTTCTTCTCCCCAACTTTTGAAAATTTTGGTGCCACACCTCCGAGAGTATTCTGAGGAACTTCAGGACATATTTGCAAACATATTTAACGTTGATGCGTGTAACCATCGGGCTTTAAAAACTGTGGATGGCTTTATTTAAACAGATAAAGTACACAAGGACATCTCCAGACTTTCTCCGCTGCTGTCCTGCAGAGTTACACCGTTCTGCTCACTGAAACTTTACCAAACTTAGAAAACATACACACACACACACACTCACACACACACACACACACACACACACACACACACACACACACACACACACACACTCACACACACCTTCTTTATGTGTCAGACTAATTTGTGTCTTCCTACCTGTCATATTATGACTGCTCACTGCTCAGTGTGTGAGACATTTTCTTTTTCTCTGTATTATATTCATTTTTCTTCCACTCATGCTGAACTAATTACTTGTTGTAAACTGTCAGTCAGGCTGGTGAGAGTGTAGATGTGTGTGTGTGTGTGTGTGTGTGTGTGTGTGTGCAGAGTAATACTGTTACACTGATGTTAGAGTGCAGCTGTGCAGATATTACAGAGGGATAGATGTTACACTTGATTTTAGTGTGTTTTTCTATTCTGAGGTAACACACACACACACACACACACATGCATCCCATCCCCCCACCTCTGTGCCTCTGTGTGTGTGTGTGTGTGTGTGTGTGTGTGTGTGTGTGTGTGTGTGTGTTTGTTGGTGCTCATTAATTAAGGTGTCACCTTTGGTCACATTTAACATGAGAGTGTGTGTGTGTGTGTGTGTGTGTGTGTGTGTGTGTGTGTGTGTGTGTGTGTGTGTGTGTGTGTCTCCTTGCAGACACTGAACCAATCAGAGCTCTTGTTGAAGCTCAAACTGCTGATCTTTGCATGTTTCTGTTGTTGTGTTCATTTTCATCCTTTCACTGAACGTTTGGGATTATTGAACGCAACTTTAGATGACTTTTCTGCAACCTTCTGTTTGTGGAGGATTAAATTCAGAGACGCTCACTGATACGTTGAGTGTAGTGTTAGTCCAGGCAGGCCGCAAAGTCAAGGTAAACCCACAGTTTCTAAACTGAGAGCCTAACTGATGATCTTTTACACATCTGACTCGCGAATGTCAAAGTGGATGTTCGATTTAAATGACTTCAGTTTACTTTCTTCTGCTCTGATTGATTCTGCTGATATTAAATTAGAGTGACCATATTCTGAATCCCCCGAAAAGAGGACACGACTACACGGGGCAGAGTTGCAAAGTCGCGGAGTCGGGTGAAGTAAATTTTGAAAGTTGTTCGGGTTGGGTGGAGTGTTTTTTACATGCGACACAAACTCAAAACTTCCATCCAAAACCCCGAACATTTAGAGGATTTCATGAACTCCCCCGGACAGGCCGGACAGCCCCTAAAAATGAGGATATGTCTGGGTAGAAGAGGACGTATGCTCACCCTAATTAAATGGGTCTTTGCTGCTGCTCTCCCTGCCTGTTTTATTATTCATGCACATGAAACAGAGCTGTGGCGCCCTCTCCTGGATTTTACATTTAACATACACACACAGAAGGGTCGGCTGCAGTCAGGATAGAGCCTGGGGGTCTTTGCTGATGATCTCCCCACCTTGACTTTTTTTGACGATTAGTCGATGTTCACAAAAATCGATGATGAAAAAAGTCGACAATGAATTCCATTGTCGACTTTTGTCGCCAGACGGAGTGAGGCATCTTACTTCATTACCATCTCGGCCTAGAGTCACACATGTGCAATAGCATCTTCACTGAACAGTAGGGTATTCAAACATGGCGGCACGACCGTCCTATACAGCAGCTATGAGCACACGCTTAAAAACCTCCAAAGTTTGGGAGAACTTTAGCTGAGATAAGGCGGGAAAAAAAAAACTTTCAGGGTTTGCAAAGAAGACTTTGCGTGTCATGGAGGTATGTTGTTGATGCACGAACATTTGAGGAGAAGGCAAGTCGGAATTTTGGATAAACAGTGAGACTCGCCTCGGTAAGATATTATCTGGTTAGTGGACTTATCTTTTCAATAGTCGGTGATGAGTCGACGATTAAAATAGTTGGTTGTTGCACATGAAACGAAGAGGAGGTGTGCTCTCCCTACCTCTTCTGTGAAAGGGCTGGAAGTTCTCAAAAAAAGAGACATATGATCAAATTTAAGTGATTGAACAAAAAAAATGAATCATCTTTCCTGAAGAAACTGAACCAGGGATTTAATTCATGTCACACTTTTGGCTTAAATTTCAGTAATCCTCCAGAAAAAGTGACAGAAATGTACACAGGATGTACCAAAGATCTACTCAGAGAATCTAAATATATCACTTTTTTCATTTGTCATGTTTTGGTTTGCAGTGAAGTTGCTCTTTTAACCGGTTCAGTCTTTTTCCCGTTCACCTGTTCTATTTGTTGACATGAACAGTGTATAAGAGCCGACAGAATCCCTCCCCCTGCTGAGCTGCAGTTCTGTTTTCATGGAGCGTCCGGGTCGGTTATTCCCCACATATTTACAGCGTGTTTATAAAAGAGTCATGAAGCTCGCTGCACACACTGCTGAAGCCTCCGTGAACAATGGGTCTGATTAGGAGCTCCTTCCCTCGGGGGAGTCGGTTCTGGCAGCGGTCGGTTGGAACGATTGTTCAGGCATCCCCTCTGTTTGTTTTTAATTTCCATTTCCACATTATTATTTCCCTCGCTTATTTTGAGGAATAATGAGTCACATCACTTAAAGGGACCGCGCCGCCGCCGCCGTCTCAAGTCTGATGATGTCATCGAGGAGACAGATCCGGGAGCGGCTCGGCTGACGGTGAATAATGGAGGATGTTCGGACTCTGAGGCCGCGGCAGAGGAGATGAGGGGGGATTAAAGAGGACGGACAGGATGCTCTGATACCAGGTGGACAGAGACAGGTGGACCGCAGACACTGACTTTACTGTCATGATGCACAAACACAAACTTCTCAAAAGTGGCAAAAAAATTAAAAAGCACAAGAGGATGGAGCAGGACACTAGAAGAGAAAGAGGACGTGTGTTAAAGGGGGACTGGAACATCAAACTAACCACGGACCAGGCAGGACCAGCGCCTCAGCTGCAAAATTCTTTAGATCCATATGCAGAAGTCAGTACGTGCAAATCCGCATGTTCTGACATCTGCAAGAAAACAAAAAAAACTGAAGTTTAGCCACAAAACTCCTGCAGAAACCAAAAGTTGAACTCTTAGATTTGATGTCAGCAACTTGTTTGGTGTGATGCATCAGCTCTTCATTTACCAACACTCTGTTCAAAAAGATCAGTGAAGAGTCCGACATCTCAGTCATCTTCATCCTGGTCCTGTTACCAAGTCTGCAGATCCTCTTCCAGGTGCTTTTCCATTGTTTTCTTGTCTCGGTCTCGTCTGTTTTGAAATGATGGTATAATTTCCATAAAACAATCATAATTGATCTGCTGTCTTTGCACTATTTCAAATTGCTTATATGGGTTTTAAATCACTATAAACTGTTACCTCTTTGATCAGGCTTGTAGTTTTAGTGTTTGTGGTAGGGACGTCCCGATACGATATTGATATCGGGCCAATATCAGCTAGAAAACAAATATCGGATTATATCGGCCTGCATCTAAAATCTCCTATATCAGCACTCTGTCCATTCCAGACTCCACTCCGACACCTCTATCTAGCAGCGCCCTGATCCAGCATGTAGACCCCACGTAACCACGACAACAGTGTGTACTGAGGTACTAACAAGTAGGGGGAGTAGGAGTGATGTCGTTACAGTCCGAAAAAGATGTTGCAGCTGAGTGCAAAACTTGTCATGCAGAAGTTTGTGCCAATATCGGATCAATATCGGTATCAGCCGATACTGAAGGCTACAATATCGGTATCGTATCGGAAGTAAAAAAGTTGTATCAGGACACCCCTAGTTTGTGTAGTTCGAGGAGCATGCATGAGGTCTTCCTTCTGAAGCTCTAACAGGACCAAGACCAAGCTCATATTTTTGCATCGTTCAGAGTAACTTCAACAACACAACCAAAACATGACACAGATGCATGCTGGGATTTCAGCTTCTGTCCTGTTAAACTCAGGAGAGAGCTGGTTATGCGACATTAGAGCAGAGAAAACATGTGGGTGTAAATCCCGCCGGAGCGTCGTTTATCTTTGTCAACATAACAGAAGAAAGCGAGTTAACCTGAGAGGGCAGGGACGCTTTGATTTTCCCAAAAGCTGCGTGTTTGTAAAATCCTGACACAAAATAAAGAGTGTAAGTTAACCTTTGATTTTTGTAAAGTATCTCTCTGTCAGCACAGACGTCCTGCCGTCTCTCCCTCTCTCTCTCTCCCTCTCTCTCTCTCTCTCTCTCCCTCTCTTCATTATTTCTCTGCGCTCAGCCGTTCTGCTTTTATGAGACTGAACGATCAATAAAGGATTGTGCAGGGAGGCAGAGAGCCTCACATCCCCATTTGGGAAGATAATTTGCGTCAGAAAATGGCAGCGCTGCACAATAGTATATTGATGTGTTAAAGAAAAGAAGTGGACGGCATGCATTAGACGGGGAGACTGAAACAGAGCGAGAGAAAGAGGTGATAAAGGAGAGATCTTCAAGACGACAGAGGGCTTTAAAATTCAAATATGAATCCAGGAGGAAAAAAACACTGTTTCTGAATGTGATTCAGGATTTACTGTACATAATGGTAGCAGGAAGCGCCGTTCCACTGACCATAATAGACCGCAATTATGTCACAAGTATCCCATCAGCCACCTCTTCCTCCAAGCGGGTCATCTGCAGAGCTGAGCGTGCTCGAAGAAAAGAAAAATGAGACTGTCAATTTTACTTTTGCAAAGGGAAAAATCCTCCTAATTATTTGGCTCAGTCTCATGCAAACACGGAGAATATGCAGCTCCTCGTGGAGATTTATTTTTAGACGGGAGCAACTCGGTTTCTTCAAACGGGAGGAGATGAAAGTCAGACGCTTTTCCTGATTAAATCTGTGATACAACGAGGAGCAAAAGAGACGTTTTAAAATCAACAGCTGGAGTTTATTTTCATCCAGAATTAAAGTTATAAATCTGATTTACCCACATGTCAAACACGCTAACACAAAAATTCATATTCTGCCCACATTAGCTCTGTTATTCCATCGTTTAATCTGGGGTCTAGTCTGGATTAAATACTCTCTATTATGTTATTCACAAAGAATAAACATCGAGATAAGATTCAATCTCACCTTCATCCACCTGACAGAGCCGAGGAACGACCAGACTCCTCCTGAGACCTTTTATCAACCTTTTTAAACAGATTCTATTTCTTTCACCTCGATCAAATGATGTTAAACTGGACTCTTAAAACACAGAACATGTAAACAGGAGAGATAATGATTTACTCTTGGACTCAGAGTGTCCCTAACATCCACCCAAGATCGGACTGTTGGTGACGTTTAACTTTATGAAGAAACCTGCAGACGAATTTATCCGCTTCAGGTCTTGCTGTTGTTGAAAGAGGGAAACTAAATAGAGTAATATCAGTTTTTCACTTTAGTTTCTTGAAGCAGGACTCGGTTTCCTCTTGATCCGGGTCACAAAGCTCCAGCTCTCTAATGAGGGATGGATCTGCAGGCAGATAAAGACACCCGTTTAGTTTCCGCTGAATCGATTCTACCTTTTTCTTGCTGACTCTGTTGCACATTAACACTCTCACGTCTCTCCAAACTCCTGCAGAGTGTTACACGCAGCTGGCAGAGTGTAAATACCTTCATTAATAATTAACGTCTTTCAACATCACATCAGGATGGAAGTGCTGCTCTGAGAGATTCACTTTGGGATCCTGAGAAGACTTACAGGCTGCCCACTGAACCTTAGACGTCTATTAACAGTCTCGTCTTAGTTTGGACAGAAAGTCGCCTGTCTATAATCGGTCTATATTTTAGCCTGAATCTAGATGATAGAATTTAATCCACAAATTATTAAATATTAAATAAAAAAACAATCGTAAATTGTATAAATGATGGCCAGATGTTGGATTAAAACATCTTTAACAGTCGTTGATCAGTTAGTCTATTAGATGTCTACTCTAAGCTTAGACAGCTAAAAAAAATTTCTTTTTAAACTGATTTCAGCCCAAACTAACCTGGTTTAAACTAACCTGGTTGAAACTAGCCTGGTTTAAACTAGCCTGACTTAATCCAACCTGATTTAAACTAACCTGGTTTAAACTAGACTGACTCAGACTAACCTGGGTTAAACTAGCCTGACTTAATCCAACCTGACTTAAACTAACCTGGTTTAAACTAGCCTGACTCAAACTAACCTGGTTTAAACTAGCCTGACTCAAACTAACCTGGTTTAAACCAACCTGACTTAAACTAACCTGGTTTAAACTAGCCTGACTCAGACTAACCTGGTTTAAACTAGCCTGACTCAAACTAACCTGGTTTAAACTAGCCTGACTTAATCCAACCTGACTTAAACTAACCTGGTTTAAACTAACCTGGTTCAAACTAACCTGACTCAGAGTCACCTGGTTTAAACTAGCCTGATTTAAACTAACCCGGTCTAAACTAACCCTGACCATAAATTATTAAGTTGTATAAGTGATGGCCAAATGTTGGATTAAAACATCTCTAACAGTCGTTGATCCATGTACAGTGTAGTTTAGTCTATTAGACGGTTAGTCTAAGCTTCGACGGCTGAAAAACTTTCATTTTTAGACCGATTTCAGCCCAGACATCTAAGGACCATTAGTCCAAAAATGCTCGGTGGGTGTTTTACTGGCGCTCTTTTGATCCAGACTCCAGTTTGTGGTTGTGTTTGAAAGCCTTGTTTGGTGCAGATTCTCCAAACTTTGTAAAGTTGCATCAGAAATAATCGAGCTGAACTCCAACCAGCTTTTTAATTAGATTTTTGCAACAACAGGTGCAACAAAGTTCAGCTGGAGCGCCTGCTGGTGTCCGTCAGGGAAATCCTGGACTCTGATTTCAGCCAGCAGGTCATCAAACTGGGACTGTCCGGTGCAGCTTCAGGCTCCTGTTACCTGAACAGGTCTCTTCTCTGCTCTCTGTTTGCTGTTGGGGGTGTTACTGATGCGTGAGCGGACAGAAAAACTACATCTAAAGTTTCCTGCTGGGACGGCGAGGATTTCAGAGGATGGACTGTGGGGGTAAATGTTGACTTTGACCTGCAGATCACAGAGACCGGTGGACGAGGGTCTAAAGACCTTTTTGTCGGATCAAACAGGATCTGTGTTAGTGAAGCTGTAGACCCAGAGGGGAGCATGTTGTGCAGCATCATTAAGAGGACTCTGTCTCCTTTTGATCAAGTCAAGTCTGTTTGGGACATCAGGTCTAACCAATCAATGCCTCTCATATCCCTCGCTCTGTCTGTCCGCTGAATGAGCCGTAATCACCTCCAGTTTGATCAGCTCATTAAAAACTCACCATATGGGGAATTAAAAACAATCTCTGCGATGTTTAGGATGTAATTTAAACCGTAGACTATCGTCAAGGCATTTTGTAAACTTGTTATTGAGATAAGTGATGCAATATTTGGTGAATCCCACAGCAAATTTCTCTCATTATTCGGAAGAAAAATCACTAATAACTGCACCTGTGTTCATTTTTCTTAATGCATTTGGTAATTATAGCAAAGTTTGGAGAAAGGAGGTAAAATAAACCAGAGTAGATGTGGTTAGGTGTGGAGTTTACGGTGAATAGGGGTCTATTGGCATCAATTATTGGGACATGCATTTTTGGAAAGATCTGATTGGATCCTTTTTTTTTTCTATAAAATCAGTTTAATTGATTATGAATCTAAACAGAAGGAGATAAGATGATCGGATTCTTGGTGACAGCACCAAAGCTTTACAGTGGAAATAACAAAGGTTGGAAATAACGATAGACATATGGTGTGTTCCATTTACCTCGGACATCGGAGCTGGGAATGACGTCACACCCGAGTAATCAGCGTTTCAGTTACGAAGTCGGAAAAAAGTCGCCAACAGTCAAAAACAGAAGCTGAAACAAAATGGCTACATCTACGAATGTTATTCTCGAGCTTGTTTTGTCTGAATATAAACAACTTCTGAACAAATATGCGGTCCTCCTGTCAGAAATCCGACCTTGGGGGTCGTTCCATTTGAAAGTTCCGACTCGGAGCTCAAAAATCCTGACTTCCATTTACAACTGGAATGCACCAATCGTCCCTGTGAAGTCATACAGAGGTCTCTCAGAGGGGTTTTTGGTCGCTATATTGGAAATACTGACCCAACTTGACAATGAATCAATCTAGAAACAGACGCAATCTTCGCACGACTTGGTGTGAAAATCCTCCAAACGGCCGAGTCCAGAAAACAGAGTGATCCAGATCAAAGATGTTCCATAAATGCAGCTGAAAACATGTTTAATTTTGAGTTCAAATAGATGTACAACTGGATCAAAAAATGACCCAAAGAGGACATTTTCCTGAAAAAACTTTATTTTCATATTTTTTCTTCTATTCATGAAAAAAACGACTTAAACTCTGAGATTGTGAACTTAACTTTTATTCATTTTAGAAAGTTAAATATCATGTTGAAGATGCTCTTATTTCAAACATAAAAACAGATGATAAATCTGAACCCAAATCGAGTCAAATCCATTCATTCAACTGCTGCTCACTTTTAACATTGGTGTGAATGGGGATTCCTTTGCTTTCGCTGGCAGCCTCAAGTGGTCGCTCAAAGAACTGCAGTTTTTTGCACATCCTTTTGAGCTTCTTTTTTTCAGTATTAAAGGTCACCACTTTTTCTACAAAACAGTTTTCTACATTTAAATCGTATTTTGACTGAAGAACAACAGACCCAGATATTCAACTCAAAAACAGGAAAACTCTCTCACTCAGAGGCCAAAGACAGAGCAGAAAGCAGCGGCGTACATCACATGTAACTCACGGATCAGCTGCTCCTGAAACTCTGTAATAAGACAAAGCAACATAAATATAGATGATTCCTTCAGTCTCATATCTGTTGCTGTGAATCATCTTGTATGCGCTCTCTGCTGCTGCTGCTTTTGGATCCGGGCTCAGCTTTGTGCGGTGTGAGGCTCAGAGCAATGACAGGGATATTGCACATTTCTGTAACAGTGCCCTGCAATGCATTAGGGAAATAAAGAGAGAAGATTCTGGCAGCTTTGTTCGCTGAGCGGGCGGGTAAAGAGCTCCGCGTCCAAACCTCGGCCATATTTCTCTGCTTCCAGATTTGTTGATGAGCCAAGACGAAGGAGCTGCTGAAACGGTGGATCCGGAGCCTGTAACCTCGGCAGCATTGGTCATTTTTGCAGACATCACGGCGGCTCGTGAGCGATGTTCTTTTGATGAAGCCAAATTCAGATGATGCAAAGTGCCGGAGAAGTCGTATTTTAGTCCAATTATGGAGTTTGTCTCAGATATTTTAACAAAAACCACATGTACCGTTAAATAATCCAGCATTGAACCTTTTTTTCTTCATGTTATTGGGAGAAAAAATGATCAAACTGGGGTGAGAGGTTGGACCCGGTTCGCCAAACTATAAAATCTCCTTCTCAAGGCTTCATCAAATAATCCTTGAATTTGACTGAGTCTAAAAACTGGAGCTCAGACTTCTTGGACGGTCTGTTGGCAAATTAAATCACTCAGCCAGATGGATTATTTATCTATTATCTAATATTTGCATGAGAAAATCTCCAAAAGAGAAGCTTAATCTCCTGAGTGGACACCTGGGCGGCTCGCTGCTCCGACCTGCCAATCAAAGACGCCTCGTGATAAATAAGAAGAGATGGAGCCGTGTTTTCTTTTATTCATTTTAAAGACAAATGTTAAATTAAAATGTTTGCTGTCATGTGAACATGTTTCAGAGTCAAAGCTGCTCCAAACAGGAAACCTGCTCAGTTGGTGACTCTCCTTCATGAGCTCCATACTCACCGAAAAGAAACGTCCCGCTACGTTTCTTGTTGGTTTTTGCCCCGTTACTCTCCCGAAACATTCTGGGTCAGATTTCGGATCCTTTACGTTTGGCTATGCTTCATTAAAAGAGAGAGTTAAAGCTCCTGTGGGGAACATTTGATTAAGCCCAAGTTTGGCGCCCCCTGTGGACAAAGTAGTTTTTCCTTATCATTTGCTCTACATGCTTCAGTTGTGTCTCATGATAAAAATTTGTCAGTTTCAGTCTGATGTCTTTTGCTCTTTGGTGTCATAAAAATGCATCCAGATCATTGTCATTGTCTGTCAATGTCCTTGATTTTGTGGCATGGCAACAGTGAGGGAGGCTCCCAGAAAGCTGGCCAATCAGAGGGACAATAGAAAGCTGGAAAATTAGCTAAACCCTGTCTTTTTAGACTGGTCAATAATGCTGCTTTCCAGTAACCTCAGAAGTCGGATGTCGGAGCTGGGAATGACGTGACATCCGAGTTGATGCCGTCCCAGTTAACAGGTTGGAAAAGAAAGATGGACACCTACTGTTAGCAGTTGTTAGTTGTTGTAAACAATTGTCAGTTGTTGTTAGCCATTGTCAGTTGTTGTTAGCATCCAGATCATCGTCATTGTCTATGTCATTGTCCTTGACTTTGTGGCATGGCAACAGTTAGGGAGACTCCCAGAAAGCTGGCCAATCAGAAGCCAAAGAAAGCTGGAAAATTAGCTTGACGTCATCTTGTTAAACTGGTGAGTAATGCTGCCTTCCACTTACCTCGGAAGTGACGTTACATCTGAGTTGATGGCCTTCTAGTTAACAAGTTGGAAACCAAGATGGATGCCTACTGTTAGCTGTTGTTCGTGGTAATCAGCTGCCGTTAGCCGCTGTCAGCTGTTGTTAGCGGTTGTTAGCCATTGTCAGCTATTGTTAGCCATTGTCAGCTGTTGTTAGCCAATGTTAGCTGTTGTCAGCTGTTGTTTGCTGTTGTTAGCTGTTGTCAGCTGTTGTTTGCTGTTGTTAGCTGTTGTCAGCTGTCATAAGATGTTGTCAGCTGTTGTTAGCGGTTGTTTGCCGTTGTCAGCTATCATTAGCTCTTGTTAGCGGTTAGCCATTGTTAGCCGTTGTCAGCTGTTGTCAGCTGCCGTTAGCTGTTGTTAGCTGTTGTTAGCTGTAACAGTTGTAAACAACACGTAACACAATATTTTACTCTTACAAACACCATAGCACCAAAAAACAAAACACAAGTGCTGATAGATAAAACATTACGAGAGCTTTTATTGTTACTCTTTACTGTTGATCTACTGCGCTGCCATCTTGGATTATGACGTTGTCGTCAAGTCGGGGTTGGTTAGGATCGCCTGACTTTACGAGTCGGAAATCCGACTTCAGGGGGGTGTTCCAGATGAATTTCTGGCTCGGAACACAGAAATCCCGACTTCTGAGTACAGCTGGAACACAGCATTATACATTGATGCTCAGACATTTTTGGAGACAGCCTCAAGTGGCCACTGGAGGAACTGCAGTTTTTTAAATCTGTGTCATCTTCGTTTTCTTACCCACAAAGGTTAAAACTCCTTCTTCTTCGCCGCCGGCAGCTCTCAAACGCAGAGAAAGTCGAGTATTTCTGTCTGAGTTATTGAACTCTGTTAGCTGCACATACATACACAGACCCGTGGAGTTTGACAAGCACCTGAGGGGCGGGACTTATCGACTCAGCCGCGGACTCATCAGAAGATTGTTCAGTTGGGCCACTCACATTAATGGTGAAGTAAATTGAAAAATGCAATCAATGAGCGGAGTGAATGCTCGGCGGTAATGATATCAGCGCGAGATAATCCAATAATTGCAGAGCTGATGTATTCTCTATTGGTATTTGGCCGCTCCGCCTGTCACTATAAAGTATGCTCCTCTTTTCTTTCCTCCGGCTCAGAGAGGAGGAGAGACAGAGAAGAGGAGGAGGAGGAGGAGGAGGACACAGCTGCTCTGAGAGGAGAGAGAGTATGATGCACAGAAACTTCAGGGACTATTCATTAAAGAGAAACGACCACAACATGGGAGCTTTTCCAGAAATACAGGCTGGACCTACAGGCTGTTTATCTGCACCGTTTTAAAAACTGCCAGAGCTGGTGGTTCCTGGTTGAAACTACAAGTTACTGACCACTAAAGTAGAGAGTTAAACTTGCTGGACTTCATTAAAGGTAGCCATCAAATCTGCAAAAATACGTCAATAAATAATCTCTGTGAAAACCAAACCAGTGTATTTCCTCCAAACTCCACTAACATCTGCACACGGTCATTCTGCAGCCTTTCTCTCTGATTCGGGTTCCACTTTGCAGACAGTCGACAGGAAGTGTCATAAAATACAACGCTGCCATGGAACATTAGCCCTGCCGGAGCGTGCACTGCACACTGAACTCACCCAGACATCACCTGGAGCGGCTGTATGTGAGAAAGTAAATGTCAGAATCAGTTGACCCAGAAATTAAACAGACTTAACCCTGCCAGCGAGTGAGTGGGCGTGCTGAAAGAGACGTGCTCCGAGTGAAGCTGCTCCCTACTTCACTGTTTTCCCATTTTTGGATGCTGTTTTAGTTCAGGTGTGTTTGAACGTCGGTGAGAAGGAAATCTGTCATAATCATGTGGACGTGTGTGTGTGCTTTACCATTTCAACAAAACCAGAAATACAGGAGGCTTAAAGTCCTGCATTTGAAGACGTTTGTGTGTCTGATATTTGTCTAAATGCTAACTCCTCCGTTCTTAAAGCTCCTGTGAGGAACTTTTTGTTTGTGCTGATTCTGTCGCCCCCCAGAGGACGAACCTCACCTTTTTTTATTATACTGATCGTATTTTACTGTTTTTCATGGTGCTGTCAATCATCTCGTCTGACACCTCCCCTCCCTCTCTGTGGGTTCAGATTAGACTATATATAGAATGAACGCCATCTGCCTCCTCGCTAGGTGAAGCCACCCTGAGAACAGCACCCTCTGGTGACGGGCTGCAGTATAGGTGATAGGGAAGTGGAGAAAATCCGGTCTGGTTTGAACCATATAGAAATCGTTGCTGTTGCTCCTGCTGATGATTTTGTTTGTTTTTCTTGGTCCTTTTCGAAACCATTAAAAACTCCTTACAGTAGCTTTAAAAGGACACACCTCTCTGAAACTGTACGAGCATTTAACCTGCGCTTTGTGCTCACTGCTTTTTGTCCTTAAAGGCCACCGTTGTGGGAGGAATGAGGATATCTGTAAATATTCCTGTTTTTGACTCACTGCACCTTTAAGAAGACGAGCTCATACAGCCTTGTTTAAAAAATAAAGACGTTTCTTCCTCTTACAGTAAAAAGACAAGAACTCAAACTCAGACTGAGACATGTAGTGACCCCTGCAGCCTCTAGGAGCCGCCAACAGCTCTATCTGATATTCCCTGTCCTGTATCTCCCCAGAGATCTCCCCCATCTCTCTCTCTCTCTCTTTCTCTCTGTCTCTCTTTCCTCTCCCTCTTTCCTTCCTTCCTTCCCCCCTCCCCCCAGTTATGAGCTGACTGCAGTGGTCGAGGTTCCGTCTCCCGCTGGGGGCTGTGAGCGAGCGAGCGAGCGTTCCTGCTTATTCAGCATCTCTTCACTCGTTCTTGCTTCCCCTCCTCCTCCTCCTCCTCCTCCTCCTCCTCTGTTTTCATCCCTTCCTCCCAGCTTTCATTCCCAGCAGGATTCTCAGAGAGTCCAACATACATTCATTAATTACACACATGCAACACTCGCCGTTTCTGCTTTATATTTATAAGAAGAAGAAGAAGACGAAGAAGAAGGAGGAGGAGGAGGAGGATCTGTATCAGCAGTATTAGACTTTCAGGACTGAGATAAACGCCGGCCTCTTTAGATCACACACTCCAGGTTTATATGAAACCTGATAATTCCAATATTGACGAGGCTGTCCTCCCTTTTCGGTGAGATTTAAAGCAGCACATTAAAACAGCAGAAGAAGAAAAACAACAAACTCACGCCGCCGTAATGCTGCTAAGGCACATTTGAGATTTCTCAGGGCGGCTGCATTTTTATGTCTTCGTTGGGAGAATAAAAGAAACAAAGTAAAACGGAGAAACAACAACCATCGGGACGATAAAACGCTGCAGGCTCTGTCTGATGTGGAAGTTTTTTTATTTTAAAAACAGGGAGAGAGAGGAGCTGAGATCCTTTATTCTTCTATAAAACACCTCCTTATATTTCTTTGTTTTTCACGGTTATCAGCACAAACTGAACTTTTCCAGCCAAGTAAAGATATCAATCTCTTCTATTAGAGTTTACCTGCGTTCACCTTTGAGACTCAAACAATCAGAGACCAAATTAGCGGTTTTTGCTGCATGACGAGTGACATTTGTTTTAAAAAATGTTCATTTTTGCTGCAGAAATTTTCGTTTTCCTGTATTTTCCATTTTACACTCTAAGAAAACACAAATTCAACAAGAAAACTCTGTTTTAATAGAATCATTTTAAGGTTATAAATCTTTAAATAATCCTAAATATGACTGATCCACACTGCTTTGACAATCAAAAGACACTTTTTAGGCAAACTTGATCTCAGAAGGTGAAAATAATATTGAGAATATTTAGCAGTATCTAACAGTCTTACTGGAGGGACGGTGGCCTTCAAGGACAAAAAGCTCCTGTGATTCATGATAAGAATAATTTATCTGTCAAAAATGTCAAAAAAAAGAAAAAATCACCGTCTGATGCTCTTCACAAACCCGCCCACTAAACACAAGTTTGTCCATTTTGTGCCACCGTAGAATCAAGCAAAAGTGTTTTAATAATCAGGTGATTTTACATGAATCTGAACATAATCAGGAGTTTTAATTTCATTCACACCTGCTCTGATAATTTCTGCTCAAACAGGAAGTCTTGTTTTTTAGTTAAATTTAAACAACATCCCACTTCTTTTGGTGACATATCGAGAACGCACATGCGAGATACTAAATCGCACGTGCAAATTATACAAAAAAAAAAAGTTAATGTCACTTCCCAGGCTCCGTACTTTTGTCCTCCTTTATTAAACAAAAAATATATGAATTTATAGAATTTAAAAGAAACGACAGAGTCTTAACGACAGTGACGCTCTCCGTCACCTCAGAGGAGCTCAGGTAAACTCAGGTGGATTCACACCTGAACGACTGCAGACGGCAGATGTTGTGACTCGAACGACTGATTCTGTGGTCGTCTTTGTAATCCCTGCGTGATCTCAGGGTATTTCTCTCTCTCTCTCTCTCTCTCTCTCTCTCTCTCTCTCTCTCTCTCTCTCTCTCTCTCGCTCGGCCTTGTTCGGCTTTGATCAGCAGACTTATTGGCATTTTTCTGACTCCAGCGTTTTCTGCATGGCTCAGATACACAGAGCTTTGCTTCACCGTCACCGACTCTCTCTCTCTCTCTCTCTCTCTCTCTCTCTCTGTATAATATCTTCTGATTTATGAACCCACCCCATCATTCTCCCCTCCTCCTCCTCCTCCAATCATCATCACCTCTCTTATCTTCTGCATCTCTGCGATCATTCCTCTGATGGACAATATTTCTGTTTATAAGACGTCCGCCGTGTCCGATTAGACGATTAGAAAACCCATCAATTAGACCGCACGTCACTCCATGACTCATCATCACTCCACTTCCAGGAAAGAGAAAAACCCCAAATTACCTCACATCCTGCAGCACACTCAGCAAAGGGTTGTGTGTCTGTTTCTTTGGAGTCGTGTCGTCACGTTTCGGATGAAATGTGAAAACCGTGATCTCGGGGAGGTGAATGCATGTGTTATTTTGCAGATTAAAGCAGCAGGAGGCTTCGGCCTGCTTCTATTTTCACACAGAGATGATTTTGGGATCATTCGTTTAATGACACGCTCTTAGATTTCTGGAGTTCAAACAACCTTCCTGCTGAGATTCACCAACTTCTGACTAGTTCTCACGCTGCCTGTAAAAACATCGCACCGAGACGTTTGGACGACCAAAAAGAGACGAAATAAGAGTCTGAATTCTGATACCATCTCAGCCAAAACCAGGATCCTTAAACTTAGAGCAAAGAAAACCAGAGAAAACTGGCATTAAAGAGAGAAAAACAGCAGAGTGAGAGTGATAAAAAAGAGAGACAGAGAGGGAGAGATGTTGTCTGGATGTTTTTGTGTATTTTTGTACATCTCCGAGAGGAACACAGGGCAGAGATTGGGGAACAAGAGAGCTGATCTCAGCATCTTCTCCTTTTTTTGTCTGGAGGCCCCGAGTGACAGAGCGAGATAAGTTTGATTTTGGCAGAGAGGAGGAAAGTTCCTGCAAACTTCTGAGGGGGTGTCAGAGAAACCAAAGACTCCAGTGACGCCAAGATTTTTAGATGCGGATATCAAACGCTAGATATCAAAGTGAGCTGGACACTCTTAAGAAGAACGGAGGAGCATTCTGAACATACGTAGATGTGCAGTAAACATGTAAATCTGTGCAGAAGTTAAATCACAAGTAGATCATGTTCTGAAAATGAAGTCTTAGTCTTAATGCAGAAAACCTGCAGCACACACGGCCTCTTCATCTTTGGAGGTGCAGCAAGTCGTTGCAAGACTCCGCCCACCCATCAGGCTGGTGTTTGCTCCACCCACCAAAGTCATGAATATCCAAATATTCACAATACTCTCTCACACACACATGCATGCTGTATCACACACGTCGTAACTTCAAATTTAAAGCTCCTGTAGGGGGTTTTCTGTTTGGTTGCCCCTTGTGTCCTGTATGCATTTCTTTTTTTTTTTTTTTTTTGTAGGATGGTAGGGGAAGGTCCTGCCCTCCTTTGCCTCTGATTGGCTAAAAGTGCTGGGCTCAGATTGGTTGTTCCTAATGGCTGTGAAACGTCATCGTCTGTTGGGTTAGGATTAGGAGATTCAGAATTGCGATACTGTTGTGTAATGTTCTGTTTGATGTACAGGACCAACATCCCGCGTTTGGCTTCAGTGTGTGATGATGTTTCTAGCTTTTCTAGCCAATCAGAGGTGAAGGAGGACTTTCCCCTACTATCCTACAAAATATTGCATCCTGTACATGCATCCTGCTGACCTAGGGCTGGGCGATATGGCCTTAAATCAATATCAGGATGTATTGATCAGTTCATCTACATAACGATAGATTGATGACAACTACTCCACAAGCTGCTTTTTTGACACAGAATATACCCATATGGACAAAATGACGTTGGTTATTGTCGTAAATTTTGGTGTCGGTAAATTTTTGGTTTATTGCCCAGCCCTATGCTGACCTTTTGAATTTAAGTGTATTATTTATTTTGAATGATTTAAAAGGGAAGTGTAAAAACACACCAGTTTAAGGTGGTAAAAATCCCAGTAAAGGTCGACCTGATGGTCTTGTTTGCTGTTATGTGAGTCTCGGTCTGTTTCATAAACTTCAAAAACTCCTCACAGGAGCTTTAATTCACTCTCACCCTTATATTAACCGTTTCTCTCTCTCTCTCTCGTAGGTTTCGGGACACCTCATGAGCAGTGAGCAGGAGCAGCTGAGGGTGAGTCTGGAAACATCTGTCCACGTTCACGCCCTCTTCAGAGCAAACACACTTTTCCTTGTGCAGGTGTGACCCAGAAGCGGTGCTCACCCTGCGGTCGGTCACATTATGTTGTAAATGTGGGTTAGATCGAAATCCTGCGGGAACTGTTTCTGTTCACACAGGCAGTCATTTCTGCTGAACTTCCTTAAAGGGACTGTACGTGAGTTTTTGGGCCCCCATCATTGATAAAAAGCGCTCCACTCTCCTCTCACACACTTTCAATCGTCTGATCCGAGACGTTGTTCCTCCTCTGACGGCTCGTGTTGCCGTCCTCTCATCCTCCTCTAATCACCGTGTTTGTTCATGTTTCCCAGCATGCCTCTGACACGTATGAACGATTGTTGTGATTTAGCCGCACATGAGCTTGTTTTGCCCTCATTACTGACTGACAGGAGACTTGAGAGTAGCCGTAAACTGTGAGCCTCATTATAAATCTTGCAGAAGGAGCGGCTCATATCCTCTCTTAATGAGTCACACATCTTCGCCTCTTTGCTGTCTCTCCCCATGTCTCGGGGGATTGTGGGTATTTTATTGCTGGGTTAAGCAAAACTGAGTTATTTATTCCATCTACCTCCAATAACCAGCAGTAATCCTCTAAAAAGAATAAAAAGCAGAAACTGCAGCAGTATTAGAGCGAGTGTGTGAGCGCGTGTGTGTGTGTGTCGGCTTTGAAGCCGTGCAGCAAAAGTCTCATTAAAGTGTGGGAACATTCAGAGTCTAAAAATAACTCCCAGCCTCAGAGTTATTATTCATACCGTGGCATCTTATTGTAATCCCCTCTCACACAGCTACCAGCCTGTTTCATTTATTTTTAATTGTCCATAAAGAAACAGACGAGTATTTCCTTCAGGATAATGAGGAAATGAGAAGCAAACAGATTACACTCTCAGATTGGATCTCCGAGTTTGAGCGGTTTTTATTTGGTCACTTTGCCTCTCGGGCATTTTCTCTCTTTTATAATCAGCTTCTTTTTTTCTTCCTCTCTTCTTTATAACTTTTTACGTCCTCCATAAAAAAAGCCATTTCGCTTTTATATTTCTGATTGTCTCGCTGCGGTCGATGACCCGGCGTGAACTATGAAACCCAGTCAAAACATGTGATCTCATTAGGTTTGGAGATCGATCTTCACGCTGAGGTGCCGCTGCGTGTCCTCTGATGACCTGCTCAGGATCGAACCTGCAGGATCTCTAACATGAACGCGCCATAAATCCTGGACTGCAGACACATTTTTAGAGACATTAAGATCTTTAAAAGAGCGATGCTTTGTCTTTTTGAAGAGTGAATCTGAAGAAGGACGGACTTGTAAAATTTTAGTAGACTTTCAAGGAATATATCTATCCATCTTGGATTGCAGTGTTGACTTTAAACGTGCTTTTTTTTCTTTTTTTTTATCAGGAAATAATCTGGTTCACCGTCTGTGTGAATGCATGACAGTTTTTCTGCTTTTACGCTTCACAAAGTTTGTGCAAAAAAATTTTGGATGTATGATTTTTGTGAAGGTTGAGAGAGTTTTTACACAAATTTGAGCATTTTAGGTTTTTCCACTTTAAGCTTTAGTACCAGTTGCTGCAACACAGTTTGATTCACTAAGAAACCAGATTTGACTCTGAATCAATTTTTGAAAGGAGATAAAAAAAATTTAAGTCGTAGGGCTAAACCAAACATCAAGTTGATCCTTTTTTAGGACCTTCAAAAACAAAAAAGGTCAAGACTGACCGCATCTTTGTTGCATTTCTGTGAGTGGATGTGCAAGCTTAGAAAAAAGCTTATTTTTACTTTAAATGGTAATTCTTCAACACGATCAGTTTGTCCTCCATTTCAGATACCAGTGAACAACCATCTGTTTTCATACGTCACCCGGCAATGTTTATTTGACATTGAATATACCGATATTGGCAAAATGACGTCTGTTATTATCATAAATTTTCGTATTGGTAAATTTTCGGTTTATCACCAAGCCCTAGAATCTGCACATACTGACATTACACTGACAGGATTGTCCATCCCTGATCAGGAGGAGTTTTTTTATCAGGAGGCGTGACTTGCATGTGTGCAGGACAAGGTAGTGAAGAGATAAGAGGTGTTAATTTGTCCACAGGGGGCGCCATAATCAGCACAGACAGGAAGGCCCTCTCATGGAGACAGATCTGCAGACGGCAGAGTTTCAGGTTTTGAGTGACGTGCATGAAGGACTGTTGCAGAAATTTTCACTTGAGTGTTATCCTGAATCTTTATCCTGACAGATGATGAAGGTGGGGTCGTTGCACCGGCTCATAATCCCACCTGAACATTTGCCTCCATGGTCTGTAACGCTCGCAGAGTAAACCCCACTCCTTTACAATCAAAGCGACTCTCAGTGAAGTTTTTCCTCCTGCAGCTCACACACTGGCCGATCTCCAGCAGCTGCAGCCATATTGTTTTTAAATAGCACATGTGAGGACCTGCCCGCTCAGCTTTTTTCTGCTGCTCATTATTTAATGACTGTCAGATTTATCGCTCCGACTAACAGCTATTTACAAAAGCACTTGAGCTCAGTGAACACATCCTCCACCTCTCCTCCTCTGTCTCACTCCTCATCTCCTGCTGTGCGGCGCTAAACTGTAGCATCCTGCAGCAGAGAGCAGAGTTAGCCGTTTGGCTCTGTTTCTCCCTCTCTCTTTCTCTCTCTTTCTCCCTCTCTCTTTCTCTCTCCCTCTTTCTCTCTCTTTCTCACACACTCACACACACATACTTAAGTACACACTTTGAGAAGTGGTGGCTAAGCAGGATTTGACTGAAAAGCAGCGCAGAGGAAGAAAGAGAAGTCAAAGGAGCGTAACTCAGGGTCAGACCCAGAAACAGTTGTCTCTCTCTCTCTCTCTCTCTCTCTCTCTCTCTCTGACTGTGATGGTGAGCCGACTGCAGAGGAATACGCCGTCTCAACTTGTGCTGAAGTGAAGGATCAGTGTGTGTGTGAGCGTACAGTCATGATGATGTATCTGTGGGTAAGTCCTCTCTGTGCGTTTGTGATCTGTTTTTTTTTGTTTTTGTTTTTTTTTTTTTGATGCTGCTGCTGCAGCTCGTTTTTATCATCATCATCATCATCCTCAGAGTCAGGTGGAGGAAAGTGTTGTCACAGGAGCATGAGTTAGCACAGAGCTAACATGCTGCTGTAACCCCTCGGCTCTTTGGATGGTTTTACTCTCATTTGAGGTCAAGTTGGTCTTTTTTCAGACTTTAGTGTGAAGTGAAATAATATGGACTCTGTAGAGATGATGTTCAGTATTTTAAGAGTTTAAATGATCTCTATCAGCAACTTTTACTACGTTTAAAATGTCCATGCACGCTTTAAATGCATATTGAAGTTGATGGAAGTAGTTATCCTGCAGCAAGACTACGGAGGCTCATTAGGACCAAGTTTGTACCTTATTGTGCAAAGTAAGGGCCTCTCTCATCACGTCAACTGAATCATTCTGCTATTAATATTGTTTTTAACTTCTTAATTAACTAGCGAAAAAAATGAACCTCTAGCACAGATTATTTATTTTTGATCAATTATCATTTCTGAACCCTCGCCTCTTCCCTGGCTCCTCCCTTTTACCCAAAATCTTCAGAGATCCAATATGGCGGTGAACGAAAAGCGCCTGCTGAGACTGAAACACACTTACATGTTGTCGTATTTTATATGATTCTCGATCAAAATCTTCCAAACTAAAAGTTTTGGTCATGGGAAATATGTTAGCAAATTGAACAGGGTTAGCATGATGCTAACTTTGCCTTTGAGTAGACATTGTGCACATATGCATGAAATGTTAAATGATGCACGATGAAAACTTGACTTCCATATTACTGTAAGTAATGTCGGTACAGTCACATTATCACCCGGCTGTCTTAGAGACTTGATTCTGATTGGTCGAGAACCAAAAACAACTGTAACTTACTGTCTACGCTAACAGCTTAGTGTTGTGGGACAGTGTCTGTCTCAGGCCTGTGTTGACAGATGTGAAAATACGCTGAAGAGATACTGGCAGCAACATCCTGTCCTGCAATCTGTGACACAGCAGTGAAGCTGATGAGAGCATTTTCTAAGTTGCTGATCTTTATCACTGAATCTAAATTATTGGAGGTTTTTTTGCTTTTTGTGTATCTGAAGGGCGTGAGCTTAACAAGGACAAGAATGTCAACACAAATGTCGCCTTCACAGTGTTAGTTCAGGCAGGCTGCATAGAGCCTCAGCCCACAGTTTATCAGCTGACTTCTGCACACCTGAACGGCGCTCTATTTAACCTGCTTTAGCCGCCTCCTCTTCCTGCGTCTTTGCTGCTGCTCTCCCTGCCTTTGTTTTTCATGAGAGGTGTGCTCTCCCCTCCTCAGGCTTTAGCATCTTTCAGAACTTTCTGCACACACATGAATATTTTCTTTAACTTAAAGTACTTCTGACTTAAGTATTTAATTTGACCCTGCATTTTAGGGCTGGGCGATAAACTGAAAATTTACAGATACTGAAATTTACGACAATAACTGATGTCATTTTACCGATATCAGTATATTTGGTGTCAAAAAAATAAATCAATCAAAGTTGTTTTTGGATGTGTGTAGGTAGGCTATGGTCTCATGTCCCTTTAAGACACTGTCCTACATCAGAGACGTGACTCCGCCCCATCCAGTCCATAACAAAGAGGGAAAGACAGGTGAGGAGATGGAGGACGGAGAGAAAGTTGTAGCGGCTGAAGTAGACGAAGTTAATGTGGGAGGGGGTGAGCAGCTTGTGGAGTAGTTATCGTCCATTTATCGTCATTGATGTGAACTGATCAATATATTGTGATATTGATTTGAGGACATATCGCCCAGCCTTACATCAGTTTAATGTGAACTCAGGCTGAGCTGTAGAATCAGGAAAACTATTTTTCTGCGCTTTTATCATCTTTACATCAACATACATCTGTCAGCTCTTTAACATCTTAAACAGGTCGTTATGCAGATGATAATTCTGACACTGTGAGATCACCTGAGGAGGTCTTGTCCTGCTTCTTGTACTGATTCTTGCAGCGTGTCCACCATACATTACACTGACTTGTGTTAAAGCACAGAAAGCATCTGCGTCTCTTTTGTACAGTTGTCTGTATTCTGTTGTCACAGAAAGATCATGATGTCCCAGAACTCTGCAGCTCTAATATCAAACCCCGTGTCATTTTTTGATGAGGACTCTCACTTCATGGCGTCGTCGTCGTCGTCGTCGGCAGAGTTGATTTGCCGAAGTGTATTTGTGTTTTTGTAAAAAGCTGCATGTGCTTGTGGCTAAAGTGAATTCACAGCTTGTTAATGTTGTCTCTCATAATAAGCTCCTTCTGTTGCAGCCCGCTCCATTTTGATGCTTTTTCATGCACTAAAAAAAACCATGTTTTTTTCTTTGAGTATTCTACTGAGGTTCACCGCCGTCATACACGGCTCCAATAATTACATTTTAGAGACGCCGGTTAATGAAAGCCTCCTCTTTAGAAGCCGTATGCTGTGTGTGTGTGTGCTGCTGACTCCAGGGCTTTGCAGAGGGAACATGTTAATTGAGAAATATTAGGGCACCTATAATGAAAGAAGGGTTGATCCTTTTTTGAGTTAGTCCTCTCGTCTCTGCAGCTTCACGCCGTCTGAAGAGTTCATGTTTAATTGAGATTACAGCCGCGGCGTAAAGCCGACCGCCACCCCAGAGAGACCCAAACAAATTTACAAAAAGATTCCCTTAAAACAAGTTCATCGGAGTCTGTTTCATGAATGAGGAACCCGACAAATCTATCACATTACAATCGAATTTCCCCCGGGCTCTGCATAAAGTTTTCTGCAAATTGAGAACGCGCTTCATTTCTCTCGGCTTTATTAAGATTCAAACTCTTGCAGCCCCAAAGAACAGATCATTAGAATCAATATTCAATTTGAAGGCGGCGTTTCGTGATGGCGGGCCGCGCTTCATATAAATGTCAGAAAGATTTAGCGCTGACATACACTGGAGGGATGGCTCGCATTTGTTGATATTGATTTGAGGACATTACGGCGAGAATATTCAGAGGAGCGGTTTTAGCAGCTGCATAATGACAGCGGGAGGAAACTGGGAAGAGTTGGCGCCGAGGCGTTGTAAATCAGGAAAAATGTAAGAAGAGGATAAAGATGCAAAACATGATGTTCATCTGAGAGACGTTTCTCTCGACTGTGATGAAGTTTTCCAAGAATAAAAAAGTGAAATGTTTGTTTAAAGTGATCTGACGGCAGACAAACTTTTACAGCAGCTACAAAAAACACTGTTAATGTAACCGGAAATGTTATTTAATTAATAATTTACATCCAATGAATAAAAAATACATATTTAATACATGTACAATCAGAGAAACAGGCTTAGATGAAACTAAACTAAAGCAATCATCAATCAATCAACCTTCAGGGGAGACCGGGTTTGGTTGTCACACTTTCTACACTTGAATAAATTCTTTACAATCGATAAAAACATCAGGTCTTCTGTTTGAACTGAGGTCTCTTTTAAATCAAAGGTTTTAACTTCCACTATTTTATAGATAAATTGATTGTAAAATTATTGAAAACTAAAACCTTTAAGAAGAAGCTAACCTTCTCCTTTAAAAATCTCCAAATGGTCTTCTTCTCTGGTCCAAATAATAGGAAAATAATCATTGAATCAAACTAATATTCAACTGAGGGATTGTAATAGCCTGAGTAGTGGGAAACAAACCCCGGTCTCCCCTACTAGCTAAAGCTAAAAATCTAAACAAAGCGCAAAAATGTGAAAATGAAGCCGTGAAAACCCAAAACTGGATATTTTCTGCTGTAGAAGCAGAAATTTTAAAAAGGTGATAATACTAACCTTTCAAACACAACAAAATACTGATAATAAAATACTGACTATTACAAGCAAATGAGAAACAAGATATAAACGATATATACACATGTTTTGAATAGAATACTTGAATACTATGAATATGTGCATACAGCATGCAATATAGTAAATATGTAACATAATATATATAATATAATAATAAATACAATATATTATTTTAAAAAAGCCTCAAACGTCTCACCCTGTTGTATTCAAGTAATAATACTTCAGCCTTTTATGACCATGATCTAAACTAAGCAGCAAAAATGTGAATATAAAGCCATGAAAACCAAAAACAGTGGATATTTTCTGCTGCAAAGGCAGAAATATTGAAAAGGTGGAATAAAATACATGTGATACTTCAGATGCTTGGAGGGTTTGATGATGAAGAAGTGTAAAATACTTAAAGGGCGGATATTTCGCATTTTTTTCAGACTCTACCCACCAATCATCGGACGTCGAAGAGACGTGCAGATCCAGTCAGTATTTAGTCGGTCCTTCAAAGACCATCTAGATGTCAGTGCGCCGTGCAAAATAGGTTAGAAATTTCGATGTCCAAATTGGACCTTTTTTAGACGTCGCTCTGACGTTTAGAATTTGGACGTCATCTGAAGACCAAATCTAGATGTCGGCACAACATGCAAAATTGATCCAAGATTTAGACGTCGTTATTAGACCTTTTTTAGACGTTGAAATGACGTCCACATTCGTACCTCATTGTCGAAAAAATACGTTGAATAGATGTCATTTCAGCGTCGCATTGCGCAGTGGGTATACATCCTCTCTGATTTCTCGTTAATATCTACATCATTTTCATAGATAGATAGATGTCTTTATCAATCCGCAAAGGGAAATTAAATTGTCATAGCAGTCCAAAAAAAAAAACCAATATAATAAATAAATATTGAATAAGACAAGCAAATGAGAAACAAAATATAAACAATATATCCACATCCACATATATATAACATGATATTTAAACAAAGCCTCAAAAGTCTCACCCTGGTGTATTAAAATAATATTACTTCAGCCTTTTATGACCATGTTCAGAAAAATTTAATCAAATGCATCAAAATCAATCAAACCTACAAACATGAGTGTTCCTAAAATCGCGCCCTGTGGAACACCTTTAAATCTAACAGCCAATAAATCACTCTCTACACCTGCTGATTGATTTCTCAGTATGTTGTCCGTGTTTCCTTTATGAAACAGGGTTCAGATCATCCATCAACACATTATAAAGCTGTGGTGTTGTATTAGCGGCAGCAGCGGCGGCAGCACACACTGCGGAGTAAATGTACTTAGGTGTAGTTTCACTCAGAGGGCCACCGGTGCAGAGCCCGGCTGACGTCTCCTGTTTGCTGGTGAATTATGCAGCTCTCTGAGTGCTGGCTGAACAGGGACTCCATATGTTCCATCAGAACAGCAGAAATATGATGTGAGAGCGGGCCCGGCTGACGGGGATTAATGGCAGGCGCTGCAGCGAGGCGAGCAGAGTGCTGACACCGGGAGAGAGAGACAGAGGGGACCAATCAGAGCAGAGCTTTCCACGATGAACGGACCGACAGCATTTGATTCAGGACTGTTTGGGAGAGGAAGAGGCACTGAACTCTGTTTCACAAGGAGCTCAGAGCGTGTGCACCGATGAGATTTAATAACAACACGAGTTTATTTATTATATTTGTTACCCACAGCAGAAATAGTCGCTGCAGCTTATTATCACACTTTAAAATTAAATCAGGAACTGTAACTTCAAAAGTGATAATTGACTCCTCAGGTAGTCAGCGATTAGCCAAACAAGCTCTCTGACTGTGGCGTCCTCTTCCGTGTGTTGCTTTTGTTTAAGGTCCAGCCGGCAGCTTGAGGAGCGAGACAGGAGCAGGCGTAAAGAGGTGACGACGTCCAAGAGCAGATTGTTCGCTGCTTACGTCCGCAGATGTCTGTTTACAGCCATTAATTAAATCATCACATGATAGAAAATGTGTTTCCTCTTATTCACTTCCCACCAGAACCCCAAACTGTGACATTCGCCCACAGATTTAGTTTCTTCTTTTCGATTGTTGTGTTTGAAAGGTTAGCTGTCGTTTAGTGTGATTAAATTTCACAGATACACTGACTCAGACCGGCTACTCTTGGTTTAGGAGGGTCTGTTTACAATATCAACCCTAAATATCGAAAAGTACGATGTTTAGATTTACCGTAAAATCTACTCGCTTCGTTAGACCGATGAAAACTTCTGTAACATCCAGGGAAAGATTTGATGGGAATCGAGAACCGGTTCTTGTTGAGAACTGGTTCCAAATGGTTCAATCCTTCGACATCGTTTACATTTTATCTTAATGATTCCCTTAATGATGCCTTGGAAATGGTCTCACGAGTGCCAGTCTACGCAAACAAGAACAGAGACTTTGAGGAAAAAAACATGGCGGATGGTACGAAAGCGTGGCTTCATTTAACAAAGAAAGACGATAACAGCACGACGTGCAACGTTTGTTGAGCCGTGATAACATGTAAAGGTGGAAACATCAGCAACATGCTTAAACATATGCCAACAGGGCATGGCATCAAATGTAAGGAGTCGTGTATTCGATGCTCTCTATTGGCTGTCAGCCGCTGCTGCTCCGTCTCAGCACGGCGTGGAAGTTACTTATGTCCTGTGTTAACGTAAGCGCAATGCATGTCAGACTTAACAACGTATTACCGACCGAAGTAGGACATATTTCTTTTTCTGTTATCCAAGACTCAATAAAATTTGGAGTTAATGGTGAAAACCTCTAGTCTACTTTTTTTTTTTTAAATCAAAGAGAGACATTGATTAGGGACCCGTTAAGGAATTAAGTCAATAAGTAGAATCGATAATAGCATCGATATCAATAAAATCTTAACAATTACTATCCCTACTAGAGAAGCTCCTCATCCGATCCCTCACAAATATCGCTAATCTGTGATGATTTAGGGCTAACATTAGCATATGCTAGCATACAGTTTAGCGTTATTTATATTGTTAGTTGACCGTGCTCGTCAAAGGCTGCCATCTTTGTTGACCAGTGAAGATATTCATAGTATTCTAGGAACATCTAGTATTAGTAGATCTGTGCTTTCTCTATTTATCACTTCATATCCTCATGATTTGTGCATATTTGAATATGGGTTCCCTCTAACATGGACCATAATGGGGATTTACTCACTTTTGGAGATGGCCTCCAGTGGACACTCGAGGAACTGCAGCTTCATGTTTGCATTTTAGTTTTTCGTCTGTTTACATGTTTATAAGTCTCTCATCTTTTCATCTTTTTAAACTGGTGCATCTTCACAGAGACGTGAGAGGACCAGTTCCCAGCTTCCTCTCAGTCCCTGTGGAGGACCGAACCCGCCTGCGTGATGGATGAATGTTGGCTCTACACCAGGTCATAAAAACCACCGAATACTGCAAATGCTGCAGGCCACTGGCTCTGCCACTATTGTCTGACTTTACAGACATTTATTTCTCTGGAAATCTACCAGGTTATATCTTCAAAGAGGAAAAAATGAGCTCTGCAGGGTTTTTGAGAAGTTTAGTCATTCAGAGACGCGTTTACTAAAAAACAGCGAACGCTATTTGCAAGAAGATTTGTTTTCCTCGTTTGGAGATCCTTTTCTTTGTCCAACTTTCTCTGGTTTTTCTGCTGCCTTCCTGCCTGATTGCTGTCCTGATATTTGACCAAATGGCCTATTTGTCTCACACAAGTAAGCATCACTATTTACCAAATTGTATTTCCCTGCTCGCTGGGCTCCGGCGGGGCTCATTCAGCCACATCAGACCCGTTATCAGCCCGATCATCAGGCTGCGAGCATCTCCACGCTGCGCTTCAGTCAATGGAGCCTGTGAAAAGACAGGCCTCTGCCTAACAGCTTACACCAGACAATCTGTACCATCACACACACACACACACGCATGCACACACACACACACACACACATGCACACACAGGCAATCTGTGCTATCTATTAGCTGGGAGCTGAGGGTAGTCTATTCCCCGAGCCCTGAACAGTCCTCTCCTCCTCAGACATCTCCTCTGATTCGATCAATAGCAACTAGTTCAGCACAGAGAGAGGCCTGTGTGTGTGTGTGTGTGTGTGTGTGTGTGTGTGTGTGTGTGTTCTTGTACTTGCTGCTGAGTGAGGACTTGCTACAGTTTTTAACCCACAGTGTGAGGTCTATTTTGGGAAGTGAGGACATTTAGGCTAGTCCTCACTTTGAGTTGATTGAAATCAACTCCCAAGACCATATAGATGCTACCCTAGCAGTTTCAAAGCAGTCCTCATTTTTGTACAAATTCATGGTTTTTACTCTGGAACGTTCACACTGATTTTGCTCCGGAGCTCCCCTGGTGTATGATTACAGAACTGCAACAAAAATTTTCACACTGATTTACTCCGGAGCTCCCCTGGTGTATGAATACGGTACTGCACCTTAATTACATAGGAGTTACTAAGCAGACCCTCTCCATGAGTGCTGCAGTTTAATAGACTTCATTTTATTCAACACATGATATAAGAAGTTATTTAAAACTGTAAATAAAGAGTAATAACAAGTGCATATTTACCAGTATTCAGTAATAAGAATATTTTATGAGAGCAGCCTGATTAAAAAATAAAAAACATCAGAGATATGACTCACATTCATTAAGTTTTAAACACTAAAGTTAAATAATGCAACAACTCTGTATTATTTGTTTAAATGAAAATAAAAAAGTGAAAAAATTCAGATATGATTAAGTATTTACAGTAAATGCATGGTATCCTTTTTTTCTGGAGAAACAAGGCAATGTTTACTGAAAGTCTTTATTAACAGTAGCATACCTGCGGATGCTTGCTTTAAGAACTAAAATATTACAATTTCCTATGAAAGTTCTTATGCAATGATTCATTATTATATAATAATTCATTCATTATACGTAATTTCCGGGACAAACTATGTGTTAATTGGCAATTCAGTGAACATTTTAGTGTCAGAGGAGGGCCTTAAATGGACCCCCTGCACAGAGGAGGCTGAAACTTTAGTATGTTGTTCTGCTCATCTTAGGGATCATTTTTGTTTTGGTTTGACCTCCCTGACTGCCTCCTGTCCCATCCACAGACCCCGAACATTTTCAATCCAATGCTAATAAATGCTACAGGCAAAGCCTCATAACTCTGTCATCATAGCTTCAAATGAGCTGAAACTTCTGTCATACATGCAGGACCCTGTTAGGAACATGCATGTGTAGTTCCATATCTGTATCTGCTTCAGGAGCTAAATGAGAAGACAATAGCAAACAGGTACGTGGACTTAGCTTTTAGCATAAATTAGGTCTCAAATAGTTTCAAAAAAGCCTTTCTAAGGTGTTTTAGACCCCAGGCCTGCTCTCAAAGCACTTAGCATGGAGTGAGGAGTGACTCCTGATGATTTTGATGCCTTCAACTCTGCATTTGGGGTTCTACGGGTCTCATTTGACTGTGTGAGGCCTACTTGTAGTGATGAAGCCTGCCTGTTTTGACCCTGTTGCTTTTTTGGTGTCATTTGGCCTCTGATGCATCTACAGATATAAAAATTGATCTATGACACCTTTGGAAATCATAGAATCATATTCCGGTGGAACCAAGTCTGTGGCCCCTCCCAAACAGGAAGTAGCCAACAAAAGAGCGTAGAGCCATGATATTGCACATAATTGTTTCTTCCCAAAGTCTGAATACCCACAGAAAATTTCAGCTCATTTGAAGTTATTTTGACCTGATTTTTGACATTTAATGTTGCAAAAAAATTGACAGTCTAATCAGCTCCTGTTCGGGTTTCTTAAAACCCAGGGGTCTGAAACTACCAGGATAGACTCTTCTGAGGCCTAAGAATACGTGTGTGAAATTTGGTGAATGTGGCACATTCACAAGTCCTTAATTAGATCCAAAACCATGTTCACTTGACGAACCCTCTCAGGGTCAATGCATGACACAGCATCATTTTTTCTAGTTTCAGAGGAGGGCCTTAAATGGACCCCCTGCACTGAGGAGGCTGAAACTTCAGTATGTTGTTCTGCTCATCTTAGGGATCATTTTTGTTGTGGTTTGATCTTCCTGACTGCCTCCTGTCCCATCCACGGACCCCGAACATTTTCAATCCAATGCTAATATATGCTACAGGCAAAGCCTCATAACTCTGTCATCATAGCTTCAAATGAGCTGAAACTTCTGTCATACATGCAGGACTCTGCTAGGAACATGCATGTGTAGTTCCATATCTGTATCTCCTTCAGGAGCTAAATGAGAAGACAAAAGCAAACAGGTATGTGGACTAAGCTTTTAGCATAAATTAGGTCTCAAATAGTTTCAAAAAAGCCTTTCTAAGGTGTTTTAGACCCCAGGCCTGCTCTCAAAGCACTTAGCATGGAGTGAGGAGTGACTCCTGATGATTTTGATGCCTTCAACTGTTCATTTGGTGTTCTAGGGGTCTCATTTGACTGTGTGAGGCCTACTTGTAGTGATGAAGCCTGCCTGTTTTGACCCTGTTGCTTTTTTGGTGTCATTTGGCCTCTGATGCATCTACAGATATAAAAATTGATCTATGACACCTTTGGAAATCATAGAATCATATTCCGGTGGAACCAAGTCTGTGGCTCCTCCCAAACAGGAAGTAGCCAACAAAAGAGCGTAGAGCCATGATATTGCACATTATTTTTTCTTCCCAAAGTCTGAATACCCACAGAAAATTTCAGCTCATTTGAAGTTATTTTGACCTGATTTTTGACATTTAATGTTGCAAAAAAATTGACAGTCTAATCAGCTCCTGTTCAGGTCTCTTAAAACCCAGGGGTCTGAAACTACCAGGATAGACTCTTCTGAGGCCTAAGAATACGTGTGTGAAATTTGGTGAATGTGGCACATTCACAAGTCCTTAATTAGATCCAAAACCATGTTCACTTGACGAACCCTCTCAGGGTCAATGCATGACACAGCATCATTTTTTCTAGTTTCAGAGGAGGGCCTTAAATGGACCCCCTGTACTGAGGAGGCTGAAACTTCAGTATGTTGTTCTGCTCATCTTAGGGATCATTTTTGTTGTGGTTTGATCTTCCTGACTGCCTCCTGTCCCATCCACGGACCCCGAACATTTTCAATCCAATGCTAATATATGCTACAGGCAAAGCCTCATAACTCTGTCATCATAGCTTCAAATGAGCTGAAACTTCTGTCATACATGCAGGACCCTGTTAGGAACATGCATGTGTAGTTCCATATCTGTATCTGCTTCAGGAGCTAAATGAGAAGACAAAAGCAAACAGGTATGTGGACTTAGCTTTTAGCATAAATTAGGTCTCAAATAGTTTCAAAAAAGCCTTTCTAAGGTGTTTTAGACCCCAGGCCTGCTCTCAAAGCACTTAGCATGGAGTGAGGAGTGACTCCTGATGATTTTGATGCCTTCAACTGTTCATTTGGTGTTCTACGGGTCTCATTTGACTGTGTGAGGCCTACTTGTAGTGATGAAGCCTGCCTGTTTTGACCCTGTTGCTTTTTTGGTGTCATTTGGCCTCTGATGCATCTACAGATATAAAAATTGATCTATGACACCTTTGGAAATCATAGAATCATATTCCGGTGGAACCAAGTCTGTGGCCCCTCCCAAACAGGAAGTAGCCAACAAAAGAGCGTAGAGCCATGATATTGCACATTATTTTTTCTTCCCAAAGTCTGAATACCCACAGAAAATTTCAGCTCATTTGAGGTTATTTTGACCTGATTTTTGACATTTAATGTTGCAAAAAAAGTGACAGTCTAATCAGCTCCTGTTCGGGTTTCTTAAAACCCAGGGGTCTGAAACTACCAGGATAGACTCGTCTGAGGCCTAAGAATACGTGTGTGAAATTTGGTGAATGTGGCACATTCACAAGTCCTTAATTAGATCCAAAACCATGTTCACTTGACGAACCCTCTCAGGGTCAATGCATGACACAGCATCATTTTTTCTAGTTTCAGAGGAGGGCCTTAAATGGACCCCCTGCACTGAGGAGGCTGAAACTTTAGTATGTTGTTCTGCTCATCTTAGGGATCATTTTTGTTGTGGTTTGATCTTCCTGACTGCCTCCTGTCCCATCCACAGACCCCGAACATTTTCAATCCAATGCTAATAAATGCTACAGGCAAAGCCTCATAACTCTGTCATCATAGCTTCAAATGAGCTGAAACTTCTGTCATACATGCAGGACCCTGTTAGGAACATGCATGTGTAGTTCCATATCTGTATCTGCTTCAGGAGCTAAATGAGAAGACAAAAGCAAACAGGTATGTGGACTTAGCTTTTAGCATAAATTAGGTCTCAAATAGTTTCAAAAAAGCCTTTCTAAGGTGTTTTAGACCCCAGGCCTGCTCTCAAAGCACTTAGCATGGAGTGAGGAGTGACTCCTGATGATTTTGATGCCTTCAACTGTTCATTTGGTGTTCTACGGGTCTCATTTGACTGTGTGAGGCCTACTTGTAGTGATGAAGCCTGCCTGTTTTGACCCTGTTGCTTTTTTGGTGTCATTTGGCCTCTGATGCATCTACAGATATAAAAATTGATCTATGACACCTTTGGAAGTCATAGAATCATATTCCGGTGGAACCAAGTCTGTGGCCCCTCCCAAACAGGAAGTAGCCAACAAAAGAGCGTAGAGCCATGATATTGCACATAATTTTTTCTTCCCAAAGTCTGAATACCCACAGAAAATTTCAGCTCATTTGAAGTTATTTTGACCTGATTTTTGACATTTAATGTTGCAAAAAAAGTGACAGTCTAATCAGCTCCTGTTCGGGTTTCTTAAAACCCAGGGGTCTGAAACTACCAGGATAGACTCGTCTGAGGCCTAAGAATACGTGTGTGAAATTTGGTGAATGTGGCACATTCACAAGTCCTTAATTAGATCCAAAACCATGTTCACTTGACGAACCCTCTCAGGGTCAATGCATGACACAGCATCATTTTTTCTAGTTTCAGAGGAGGGCCTTAAATGGACCCCCTGCACAGAGGAGGCTGAAACTTTAGTATGTTGTTCTGCTCATCTTAGGGATCATTTTTGTTGTGGTTTGATCTTCCTGACTGCCTCCTGTCCCATCCACGGACCCCGAACATTTTCAATCCAATGCTAATAAATGCTACAGGCAAAGCCTCATAACTCTGTCATCATAGCTTCAAATGAGCTGAAACTTCTGTCATACATGCAGGACCCTGTTAGGAACATGCATGTGTAATTTCATGTCTGTATCTGCTTCAGGAGCTAAATGAGAAGATAAAAGCAAACGGGTGTTGTGTGGACATAGCTTTTAGGATAAATTAGGTCTCAAATAGTTTATTTGGGCTATAAATTAACCCCCAGTTATTTATTCAGGAGTCTAGGTGCCTTATATGACTGTGAGAGGGCTACCTGTAGTTATGAAGCTTACCTGTTTTGACCCTGATGCTTTTTGGTGCTATTTGTATATAAATTGACAGTCTGATTTGCTCCTGTTTGCCCCTATGACCTCCAGAATATTTTTGTGTACTTAAGCATTGAACGGTTGGATTTCTATAAGATTTCCTAATTCACTCGTGTGGCCAAAATTATGCTGTAACATGCTGACCTCTGAAAAGGTTTTTTTTTTCATGTGATTGAAATGACACAGGGTTTAGTTTAATTCACTCTCATTTAATATAAATTATTAACTTAATAATGAAAATTATTAACCCTAATCAATTTTAAAACAAATATTTGCTCTTTATATATTTTTGTGTACATTTTGTATATAATTTTTGTCTACAATTGCAATAAAATAGTATTCTTTGTGATTGTTAATAACAGTAGTTGATGGTAACATACATACACATTAATTTCCCTCTGTGGATAAACAGGAGATCATAAATAAGCTTAAACTTCCAGCTCTGCTCATACAAACTCAAAGTCCTCACTATGACTTTTTTCTACATGGCTTCATGCTCACTCTTCATGTCTGTTCGATACCAGCTCCAGATTTCTGCTCCCCTCCCCCACAACTGTGTAATAACTCAAAGTCCTCACTACGACTTTTTTTCTACACGAGTTCATGCTCACTTTTCATGTCTGTTCGGATACCAGCTGCAGATTTCTTCTCCCCCTCCCCCACCACAGTTTACAGCGCGGCAACCAATTATCCAATCAGAGCGCTCGGTGAGGGGGTGTGTGGCCAAAACATGAAACTTTTTCAGACAGTGACAGTCTGAAGAGGATACGCTGGATTCGAATTAATCACCATAAAAGTGAAAGGATACATCAGGAAAGTCAGGTAAGAAACGATTTTTTTTTATTTAAGTAAAATAAAAATTAAGTAAATGTTTTTAAGGGTAAATTTTTTTAATATATAGATAGTTTAAATAACATGGTTGAGTTGTGGGGTTCTGAGACTGATGAGCTGCTGTTTTACTCTAATTTTTCTTGTTTTAAATAATAAGTCAGATATTTTGAGCTCTGTGGATCTTATTTTGAGCTCGTTATTATAGTGTAGTTAGACAGAGCGAGCTTGGCTGTTGGCATGAACGTTAGCCGTCTGCTGCGGTGTGTGCACACTCATTCTTGTTCACTACTCAGTTCGGCGTTTGCATGGTATGATTAAGAGAGAAGTTGTTTTTTTTTAAATCTTTGTTTCTGTGTGACCAGAGTTTAGATGGGCTGATGACAGACAGACAGACAGTCAGTCGGTCAAACAGACAGTCAGACAGACAGATAGACATTGTTTCCAAAGTGTTCATCTGAGCCTCAGATAAGTGTAAAGTTAAATCAGATATATATCATATTATGAGTTACATTATATGTCTAACGGTTAGAGATAAATTTTTAGTAATTTTTCAGCTACTTAAACAGAGAGAAGATGAGCCCTGGGCTTATCTCCCTGTTTTTAGAGGAATACTCCAGAATTATCTGGTTTGTTGTCAATAAATGATCTAGAATTATCTGGTTTGTTGTCAATAAATGATCTAGAATTATCTGGTTTATTATCAATAAATGATCTAGAATTGTCTGGTTTATTAAGGATAAATCATCAGCAGTTTATTATTGATAATTTATCTGTTTTCTATTTACTGAATCACCCACAATTATCTGGTTTATATCTAATAAATCATTTAAAATTATTTGGTTTATTGATAATAAACGATCTAGAATAGTCTGGTTTGTTTTTAATTAGTTGTCTAGAATTATCTTATTGTTCAATCATTAGGAATTTTCTGGTTTATATCAGGAATGCTACGGTTCATTATTGATGGATTAATATGTTTCTTTAAATGCAGTAAAATAGTATTCTTTGTGATTGTTAGTAATAGTAGTTGATGGTAACATACAAAACACACATTAATTTCCCTCTGTGGATAAACAGTAGATCGTGAATAAGCTTTAACTTCCAGCTCTGATCATACAAACTCACTATGACTTTTTTTCTACATAGGCTCATGCTCATTCTTTATGTCTGGTCAGTTACCAGCTGCAGATTTCTGCTCCCCTCCCCCACCACAGTTCACAGCACATCAACCAGTTATGTAATAGTTAATAATGTTAAAAGTAATTAACATGAAAGGATGAAATAACACGTTTGTATTTAATAAATCATCTTGAGATTATGGTTTGCTTAACATACAGCTTACACAATTTGTATAACACTCCAGACTTGGTAATGTAGTGAGTGCTAAAATGCTTAGATAGCTACAGAAATGTGCACTATTAGACGCTTGAGGTAATTAAACACACTCACAGGATGGTAAGTTGACTGATAAGAATTGGAGATGATCATCATTTTCTCCGATGATTTTCTTTCTTTGATATCTGTGCCAAAACTGACAAAAATGTTCCCTTTGTTAATATTGTATTAAAAACATATCTAATAATTTAAATAAAACCATACACTAGAATTTGTAAACATTTTGACTTATTTCTATATTTTTCTATCTTCAGGATCCACAGCCAACACAACCCTGGGCTCAGTACCACGCCGAGACAGGAGGCGCTCAACTGCCAACGAAAAAATGGGTCAACTTAGAGATATGATGATGAAGCTGATGGCAAGGCTGAGGAAGATGTGGGTAAGTCCATACTCTGGAAACATTTGCCGTGCATTTAACACCTAGGCCTTCAGTGCCGTTCCACTTAGTCCTACCTTAATTAATACACTTACTAATACCATTAATCTGACATCATGGCATGAGAATCCATCAGAATCACGCTTAAACCCTGCATCACCTAAATATGGGCTAGTCAAGCAACACATAATTCCCAGAGTATATAAAACCAATAAACACACATTCACAGCTAAGAGTAGGAAACTAAGATCACAGATACTGTCAAAACTCACAAATAAAAGGCGATTTTAAGATGTAAGTCAACAAAGGGCCACCAAAAGTACACTATGTGAGCTAAAACAAGTTTGTCCAATAAATTGCTCATTGTCACCATTAAAGATATAAAGCTTGCACTCACCAGTACGGATCTCCTCCGCAGGGCCTGCTTATTTGAAAATAAAATCTGTCCTCCTTTCTTTTCTTAAGAGGACTTCACTGGCTGTGTTGTACAGTTTATCTGTGCATTTCAGTTCCATCGATAAGACCTTTTCTGTGGCCACGGAGGCTTATGCTGTCTGTCATGTTTCTATACAGAGAAATACAGCGATAGCTGTTGGTAGCTAACAGATCTCTGGTTTAGTTCGAGGTTTTGCGAAGTACTGCCTTTTAGGTTCTAATGAGTGCTTATCCAATCACAGGATGCGTACATGTCCAGTTCAGACCTTCTAGCTGTATATATATGTATAGATATATATATATGTATATATATGAAACTGTGACAGGTCCATCTAAAGTCACCTTTGCGGTCTCTCTTAGGAGAAGTCCAGGAGTGCAGCAAGACCAGCTTTGAAGAAGAGACAGAAGTTTGCAAAAAGACGAGCAAATGATTGGAGTAAGTCCAGACCTAGAAACACCAGTAAGCCTTTTTTTAGAGTCAGTACTTTTAATTTCAGGTGTCTCCTTTGTTTTCTCATGTGAAGAGGGACATTGGTTGACCGGAACAGGACCATCTAACAAGACACCGAAGTCTGCGGCTAAGCCATGGGATGAAGGTGAGTGTGAGGATGAATGTGGTAGGTCCAAGTTTGTTTTGTAAACGTAGGTTATGAAGTAAAAACCAAACTTGACTTGGGTCAGTTCTCTTCTTATTGTCTATGTTATTGAGCAGGTCTAAAAGAGTTCATTGGATTTGTTTTTTTAAAGTTCTGTGGTGTTGCCCAGCACTGTCAGTCCATCCTGTATTTCTGCAGCCATGGAGCCACGTTTCTAATGTCAAGTTTACTTAAGCTAGTAGCAAGAAGAACAAAAGGAATTTTCCACCAAGATGAGCAGTTATTTCCCTTTCTTCAGACCATTAAATGTTAATTTAATTATAGTGTTAAAGTGAAAGGGAAACATTGAAATAAGTTCATTTTTAACTAAAAAGTGAGCAGTGATGCACTATTACATGTGGACATTAGTGCTATAATTCATATAGAATTGTTGACCAGTAAATTAGTATTTGTCCTCCTCACATTCAGGAAAATGGTCAGCACCCATGTGGAACTACTATACTGCTCTGAGTTTCCACACAGGGCTGCTAAGCGGTTGCAAAAAACACACTCAGCTCAGAACATCAAAGCAGCGATAAATTTAAACATCCATGTACAGGAGAAGCAAGAGTTTAAAGACCCACTGCCTATTTTACTGCCTCCTGTTAGTGAACATCTTAGTTTCACATTTTAAAACAATCTTGGACACAGACGAGGAGACGAGAGACAAATACATAAATGTTCAGACTAACTCTTATTGCAGATATGTCACTCTTTTCTATTCTCTCCTTCATAATAACTTCAGCAGCAGCATCTCTCTGAACAATCACAATAAAACATGGTGGATTATCTCATAATAATAAATTAAATAATAGAGCTATGATCAGAAAAACAAACACACAGTTGCAGGACACAGCAGCAAGGTTTAACTTTCAAACTTTGTAAAACCCTTTAAGTGGATTTACACTGAAAATGCAGTTAAAGTTTGGTGTTCATACTAGATGCATGAAACATTTGAGATCACAAGGTATATGTATTTTGCCATAATCTTTGAAAATAGCTGTAAACTGCTCCACAAACAGGACCCTGCGTGAAGCTGTGAGACTCACTAAAATACCTGTGTCAGCATTATAGTCTGTCTTTATTGTTCATCGGAGCTTCAGGCGAAGCAGAACTACCTGACTCCAAAACGAAGTGTTTCAGACAGAGGCTGAAATAACGATATCTAGATACACAAGAGTGAGAAATTTTAGGCTTTTTGATCTGAAAATCACGTAAAACTATTGAAGAGATATCAGAAAAGGAGTATAGAATCTGAGAAAAACTGCACGACACCCCCCCTTTAAATTTATGCTCCAAATCAAAAAGCTGTTAAATGAATACTTCAGTATTTCCATTAACACAATTATTTTACATTCTATTTATCAAAATGTTTGTGTTTACATGTTTGGATTTCTCTTGATGTATTCACCAGAGCTGTGCATGCTGAAGAGACCATAGTTGGTGTGAGACATTGTCGCTCCTTTTAGACATCGTTTAAATCCATTCAGGATTTTCCCGCAGTCTGAGTGCCAGCCTTCTGTCTAGCTTTGCTCTGTCTCTGTAGTTTATGAATCCAAAATAAAGCCACACCTCTGTTGTAAAGTTTGAGATGTCTAAAGCGCAGCTGCTGGTTCCACCATGTTTATTTGGGGCATAGAAAGCAAATCTTGTTGCGCAGAATTTTGACTTGTGAGAGGAGTAATTGTCAGGAAAAGGAAGATTAAAAGATCACTCTCTGGACTAAATGAATTGAAGAATAAGAATCAATTTAAATAAATCAAATCCAGTCCTAGTTTCTATAAATATGTGAATCTGTACTCAGATCAGCTTCTTTGTTCTCTGTCTTACAGGTGCTTCAAAAGGACGAACTAAAAGACCATGGTCAAAGGAGGAGAAGGCTGCAGTCCTCCGAAGCATGGCTAAACTTGTGGCTTTGAAGAGGGTCCTTGCAAAAGTCAAATTGCAGCAGCACATTGGAAAGAAGTCGCCAACCCTCAGCAATCGGACATGGCAAGACATCAAGTACTCTGTTTACAGTAAAATCAAAACAGCAAAGCGAAATCTGTTTAAGTGTGAAAGGTTCAGGTCCACTTCATGGTTTTGAGGTTGTGGTTTTATGTTATAAGGGAAGAAGTTGACAGATTTATAAAAAAATAAAAGTTCTCAGTTGTTCTACACTTCCTGTCTTTTATTCAGTTTGTGAGCCCTTCTGCTATTTCAGTGTCATAGATGGATCTGTTGGTGTTTCTCAACAAAGTTATCTAATCTTACTATAAACAGCTTCTCCTTCATTTTTTTGAGGGGGAAGTTAAGGAATATTTTCATTTCTGTTACGAGCTCAATTAGATTTTTTTTTCCCCAACATCTTCCTAGAGTTGGGGAGGTAAAAAAAATGGTCTACAAAAGTTTGGATTATTACTTTTTTATATTAAAAACTACAAATCAATCACACTTATCCTTCCTAATCAGAATAAATTCACTGTATTTATTAATTCGTTTGATATGACTGAGACCGAGTTCGGTCCTCACTCTGTCAGCTAAAATCTTTTTTTGAAAAACTTGCTAATTCATGTAAACTCAGTGAATGTATAGGTCAAGGGTGCCCTCCAGTGTCCTAAATGATGTTTTTCATGTTTCTAAGTTAAACAGAACTGGTAGTCCTCGCTTTGTGGGTCTTTTGTCATAGACCTCACAAAGCAGCAAGTACAAGAATGTGTGTGTGTGTGTGTGTGTGTGTGTGTGTGTGTGACGCCCTGTGTTCAGAGGAGTTAAAGGCCTTTCACATGCACAGCAATTACAGCGAGGCAGTCGTCTGTCATTAAATTCCTCATCCCCGAAATCCCTTCAATAAAATTCAGACATGACTGCGGGATAAAAAGAGAGGCGGACGAATAAAACATGAAAAGAAATATTAAAAGTGTAAAAGCCACAGTTTCATACCTGTGTGTGGAGAAGTGGGCGTGGCTACTATGACTTTACTATGCCTCATAGAGCCAGAAGTGACCATATTTGGACATGAGGATGGTAGAAGACTGTGGAACCATGTTGCAAAGGTAGTTTCTGTCAATCATTGGTGGCTCCGCCCTTAATTTCCTTCGACAGATGATCATCAAACTGAATTTCACACTTTGAAAGATTCAGACTCATGAGGAACATGAGAACTGAGGGGACAAATCAGCTGAGAGCTCGGAGAAACGTCCCCCTGCTGGACGGAAGAAAGAATGCAGGTCAATTCCACTAATGCACTGGCTTCACACAGACTGCTTAGACACACTTAAACATTTTTGTCACTGTGTCAACAAGCAGAGGTGTAATGACTGATTCGATAAGATCAGTTTCCATCTCATCCATTAAACTTCTGCTCCTCCAGAGGTGTGAGTTGTAAGTCGCCAACATCATGTTCTGGATCTACCTCTCCCAGTCGGGTATACCCAGCAGATCCCTATATGGTGGCGTCTGTACTTTTCAGCTGACTCCTGTTGGAGCCTTCTTCCCCGAACCGCCACATGAGTGGCAAAATCGCATCAAGCTTGATGAGTATAGTCAGGTGCATCAAAATTCACCTCTGAATATTTCGTAATTTCACGTTGTATATTTGCGTCGTTTCCGTTGTGTAAGGAACTTAAGATTGTTATTACCTCCGCCAAGGAGGTTTTGTTTTCGGTAGCGTTGGTTTGTTAGTTTGTTTGTTTGTCTGTTAGCGACTTTACGGAGAAAGTTACAGACGGAGTGACCTGAAATTTTCACCAGAGGTGCGTCTCAGCCCCAGGAGGATCCCATTACATTTTGGTGGTGATCCGGATCACCTTCTGGATCGAGGAATTTTTTGAAGGATTCTTTATCATTGTGAGAGGGCAAATTTTGGAATTTTTGCATTTAACTCTATAAAAATGTCCAGAGTCTTTAGTAAAAAATGACACAAAAGGATCTCAATGAGTTTTATGAGGTGTCGAAGGTTGATCCTGATCCAGACTAAATTCTGGATACTGTGATCCAGAACACACAAAAATATGTTTCAATGCTGAAAGATAACTAATGAAGATACAAGGAAGTGTACGCTTACAAATATTGCATAATAAATCATGCATTTATGTATCTAATATGAGCTTTGTTGTTTTAGGAACATTATGAACAGTGAACATACCAGTTTAAACACAAATAAAAGTTAATAAAAGACACGTAACAGTAAAAGTTTTTCTGTGAATCACAATATAAGGGGGGACATGAGCTGCTTGGCGGAGGTCTGTGCTCTCAGAGTGCTTTTCTAGTTTTGATTATGATTGATGTACGATAATCTTCCCCAAAATATGCTAATTTTAAGTCTCTTGTCTGATAATTCTATATGTCCCATCAGGCATCATTGATTGTTATATCATTTTCCGTTCCTGCAGCTCACAAAAGGATTCGTCAAAACTAAAAATCTGCATCTCTTTAAATGAGTCTCAGTGAATCTGCAGAGTCGTTCTTAAGTCTGGCTCTCCCTCCATGTTGACTCCCCCCAGCAGACATTTCCACTGGCTGCCTTTACATTATTTCATGGCTCGAGGTCTCGGCCTGTGCTGCTGACATTTTGGTTCCACATGCAGACTGAATGACTGCTGCCGCCAGTGTTCGATTGCTTTGCTCCTCCATGCGTGGCAGGTAAAAGACCGCACAGCCGCCAACGGATGAACGCTCACACTTTCTATACACTGCAAACACAGAAACACACCCGCTCAGACGCTGCTGCTCCCCGCACTGCAGGAGAAAACCACCAAAACAGATAATCAAAAGCCTGTGTCAGCGTTTCAGCCACAAAATAAGACTCCAGTGAAAGCCTGTGTTCAGCTAATGCCCGGCCTGAATAAATAAATAATGTCTGTAGAGGAAAAACCATCAGACATGCACGCTCGCCTTTACTTTGTCTTCTTTGCTTACAGCCAGGTAAGGCCCCGCCGCTGCAAACGGTCACTCCGAGTTTTTTCAGTCTCGGGCTGGAGGGCTTTTAATGTGAAAAATCTCTGCAAAGTGTTGTGTTGGGATTCATCAGCTGTAACCTTTAGAGTCGAGGAGCAAAACAAGGCAGTCAGAGGGACGAGGGAGTGAATAAAAACAGCACTCAGATAAAAGTAGGAACCCTCAATCTGCTGTAAAAATGAACATTAGAGATTCAGGTTTTCACATAATTACATCCAAACAGATTCATAACGTGAGGAGAGGAAGGAATAAAGGTCAGTGTGTGACTGCTTCTCTCTACAGGTGAGATAAATACAGACCAAAACAGTTTAACCTTTACGCTGTCACACCTGCTTTTTTACTCCGCTTTATTTGGCTGTGGAGTAAACTCGACTCTGATTGGCTGAACAGCAGTTATAATAAAACAGGGATTTACAGATTTAACTAAAAAAAAAAACAAGGTTCCTACTCAGCTGGACTTTCCATACTTTTCTGTAACCTACTTTTTAGAATTATTTTTGGAAATACCTACTTTTCTATTTTACAGAACAGTATTTTAAAACTGTTGGTATTAAATTCTAGTAACATAAATATTTTTCCATACTTTATTTTTCATTTTCAGAGTTTCCTCTTTGAAAATAAATGCATCAGTCATTTTTTGCACTTTACACCAATAAAAACACTGAAACGTTTATTTATATCGGTGTGTCGTCGTGTAAACAGACGGATGTGCAGACATGTTCTTGACTCTCCTTCAGCCTCAGTTGTTGTTTGTCATCCTGTTATTATGTGTCACTCTTCTGGGTTTGCACCGGTCACATGATATTAATGTTATCACCCACGCCCACTCCACTCACTGACCGTCTCCTGCTGCATTTTTACACCAGGGTGAAACATTTTGGTCGTTTGGTCGTGTTCATGTGCAGGAAGTTTGTTTCAGGAGTTTGTTTATAAATGCTTGACGTTTGAGATATCCTGCTGCATACAGTGTGTGTGTGTGTGTGTGTGTGTGTGTGTGTGTGTGTGTGTGTTTCCAGTACAGTGGATTAATGAGGTCTGATGTTTTCATTCATGACCGAGAGAGAGAGAGAGAGAGAGAGAGAGAGAGAGAGCGTGGTCTGAGGCTGACAGACGGACGAACACTCCGAGTGTTAGTCATCAGGTTAACACTAACACATGAGTCACACACACATAAACACACACACCAGGATCAGTTCACACTCACCTCCATTATACCTGACACACACACACACACACACACACACACACACACACACACACACACACACACACACACACACAGGTAAATCTCTGACACACAACTAGATAAGCAGCCATCTGAGGTGTCCCAGTGCATTCTGGGAGATATTTTTATTTAGTCTCTCCACTGTTTAAACTTTGTCCTCTTCTTCTTCTTCTTCTCGCTCTCCTCCGTCCTCTTTTCTCTCCTCATCCTCCCTTCCTCCTCTATTCTCTATCCCTCCTCTTCTACTCACACCCGGCTGCAGGAACAAACGAGAGCGAGGACGTTATGTTTTTTTAGGCGGACACACTTATTTAAACCTGTATTTTATCTGCTCCAGGCTGAACATCAGCTCTTTGGCCACTCTTACAGTGTTGAAATGTTATTTTCTCTCAGTCACACGAGGCATTTTCATCTTTAAATATATAGAAATAAAACAAACAAAATAGTGACTGTACTGCTGTGTTTTGGGCTCTTCTGTGACACGGTCACTCGGTGGTCATGGCCTCCTGCTGTTCCTCACAGCTGTAATGTTTCCGTGAAGCTGCGGTGATGTTTTGTTATTCACGACGTCGACGTCATCACTCGTGTTTCCAGGCAGGAGGGTCTCGCTGCTCCTGCTGCTTCCTCCGCTAGCATGAATGTTAACTCTGGTGTGACAGTCCGACAGCTTCGGTGCTGAACTTCCTAAAACTGGAGCTGTGTGGCGCCAGCGCTGCTTCCTGCTCGCTCCCGTCGGTGGTCGTTGTCCTTTTTTGGCGAAACAAAAAAAACCCTTATATCCATTTTTAATAGAACGATGATGCTTCTCCCGCCGCGCTGAGTCCATCTATGAATATTTGACCTTTGACTAGGTAAGCGGTCCGCCCCCCTTTACCTGTAATTGGCTAACACGTTGCCTTCGATCGATTGGATTGGTTCGACTGATTGACATGTCAAGATAGATGGAATTATCAGAAGATGACTACTCTGACGAATCAAATTAATAGAAAATTTTGCTTTTAGTCCATGGTGGGCTCAGCTGACTTGGTGGGCGGGCACGGTCCCCCAATGCCCACCCATGCCGCCGGGCCTGCTTCTACCTCTTCTGTTTTATTTTGCTCAATCCTCCTTCTCCTCCTCCTCTTTTTTATGTATTTTTTCTCTGAAGTCTGAATCGAAGTCTTTGTTTTCTGTAAATACGAGCCGACACTCCTCCTCCTCCTCCTCCCTCCTGAGTTTGAAACCACCTGATGGACCTTTACTGTGAGAGTTCAGACCTGCTGGAGCAAAAATAAAATCTTATTTCCACTCCGGCGTTTGTGCATTAGAGACACATGACTCCAGGTTTTAATGAGAATTCGGGTGCGAGTCGCTCCGCTCTTTGTGCATCAACCTGCAGCTTCAGTCTGTGCAGCAGCATGTGGGAAACGCTCTCATGTAAAGGTGGAGAAAAGGGCGGTGCAGGATCACATAAAGGCCGGTGCACCAGTTTCAGAGAGGTTTGTGTTCCGCTGCAGATGTTTCGCTGCAGGTCAGGCTGCTCTCAGTATTAATGTCAGCTGTGTTTTTTATGTGTCCTGCTGCAGAGACCGAAACTTTTTAATTGGTCAATAAAGGTTTGTTCAAACTCTGCTCCAAACTTCACCTGTCCCCCCGTCTTTGTTTCTCCACCTGGGGACTGATTAGCTGACTGTTTGGCCTGCAGACATCATGCAGAGATAACCCCTAACAGGCTGCAGCTATCACACACACACACACACACATTCACACACTGGCGCTCATGTGTGCTCACATGTTTGTTTCACACAGACACTCGGCATCCATCTCTGTCGTCTGCGATGTGGAAATGAGGCGTCAGAAACTCGCTGCAGCAGAACTGATGGTGTGATTAAAACTCCAGATGAAGATCAGAGAGAGGAAGACAAATGTTCTGTTTCCTCCTCTCTGCACGTCTGCGTCACGTCAGAGTCCGGCTCCTCTGTTTGCATAGAGATGATGATCGGTGGTGTTTACCGCGCCGAGTGTGGAGATGAACCTGTGATCGCTCTGTAGGACCGTTTCACACACGAGCTTTTGCATCGTTTGTGGCGGCACAGTGGTGTAGTGGTTAGCACTGTCGCCTCACAGCAAGAAGGTCCTGGGTTCGAATCTGGGTCAGGCGTTTCTGTGTGGAGTTTGCATGTTCTCCCTGTGTCTGTGTGGGTTTACTCCGGTTTCCTCCCACATCTCAAAAACATGCAGAAGTGGGGTTAGGTTAGGTTGGTGAATTTTTATTGTTATGAATCATTAATATCTTCCAATATCAATCAATAGCTCCACTGTCATATAGTCAGCCTTCACCCGAAGATGCTGGGATAGGCTCCAGTCCCCCTACAACCCCCAACAGGAATAAGCGGTAGAAAACTGATGGATGGATGGATTCGCCGTTTGGATGTTTGTTTGTTGTTTCCAGTAATTACTTTCTGATCAGTATCGCTGATCCATGTCAGATGTTTGCTCTGGAGGTGTCTTATCCTTCATCGCCCTCGTTCTTGAAGCTCCACTGAGGGTTTTTAGCTTCATGTGAAATTAATACAACTGTCTCTGGATGAGAGGGCCGCTGATGGGTGATCCAAACTGGAGAGAGAGCGGTAGCCATGTTTACGTGGGAACAAATAATCTGAATAAATGTCTGATCGGAATAAAAATCCGTCATGTGAACATGTCGATTGGTAGATTCTGATCCAATTCAGCTCGATCGGAAAGAAATTGTAATCTGATCAAGAGGGGTGGTTTATGCCGATCGTTATTTCGAAACGCATCCATGTAAACACTTATTCTGATCGTGACTCTCTAACATGACAATTTTCACTCTTTAGCCTTTAGCTTATTTACTCGGGCCAGTTCAGAAGGTTTTATTATTAACACTCGGGCATAAAACACAAGACATTTTGCACCTGTCAATACGGCTCTTAACAAATTAATGAGCAGGGGCGTGTCCAAACCATTCAGACTGGGGGGGGCCCAACCCAAACACTAATGCTGCATGGGGGGGCATGATGCATAAACTTATCCACCAAAAATAAATATAATTATTGCACTGACATTTTGTTTATATAATTAATCTTCAACATTAGTGTTGATTCTTAAAGACGAAGAGCTGAGTAAGATGATGTTTCTGAGTTTTTTAGGGGATATCCATGTTACAAAAAACTAGAACTAAAAGTAAAAATTTTCAGAAAATAAAAACCAAACTAAACTGAAAGTCCAGCAAACAAAAATGTCAAAACTAAAAAACTAAAAACTACTTTTAAAAACAGAGATAACAAAGTTTGAACGAAGCTCCACTATCAACCTGCTTTAGTATTTTTACACTAAACGGAGCAGCAGGACCAGATCGGTGTCCCAGTGAGTGATTTTACACCGCCGCTGTGGACGCACGAGAGTCCCGACATGAACAAACAGCATGAGCCTCACACACACACACACACACACACACACACACACACACACCTGCAGACTCTGACGTTTACAGTGACGCACTTTTTCCTGTTTCACCTCTGATCTCAGCTCAGCGGAGTGACTTCACACCCTCAGTACACCTCCGAGAAATTCGAGAAGGAGGCGCGACCCTCAGTGGGATGGCTCGGTTTGATTTCAGATCCTGTGTGTGTTCACAGATCAGAGTTAGTCTCAGATCGGACAAAAGTGAAGAGGATTTGTCTTCTGTAGGCTCGATAATACTTGGACAAAATAGGACGACACTTCTGTTTTTCAGAGTAAAAGCCTGACCTGGTTACTCAAGAGAGACTCCTCTCATATAAGGCTTTTATTTTGAAAGGTTATCCTCTGAATGAAGTCACTCTTTACATGTAGACTGTAGGTACCCATCAGGCTTCTCTCTCACGGTTGTTTTTGCACCTGAATATAAATTAAGAATCTGTTTTAAATGTTAAAAAAAACTAAAAGGTCATCCTCTAAAAGCTCGATCACAGCCGCCCTCTAAGTACAGACAAAATCCCGCTGAGTGAAGACTGATAAGTATGGATTTATGTTTATCGGTGTTAGTCATACTTCGTCTTTGCCTGCAGAGATCTTCCTGATCAGTGTGAAGCCGAGAAAGTTAAACTTTAGTATGTAGAAGAGGTCTTAATCCGGATCAAACTTCCTAACCTGTGTTTTCAAGCGGAACAGAATCATCTTGCTTGGTCCACACAGGAGCCTGTTGCTACACGATCCGTCTTGGAAACCTGTGCGAAATGTACGTCACTTCCTCTCTTCATATTTTTTTAATGCGTTTAACGGTAGTTAGTCGTTACTATTGCTACCTACCTGATCCGTACTGCACAAGTGCAAATTAACTTTACCTTAATAACTTTATTTAATCTACCAACCAATTTCAGACACCAGTTAGCAAACTGGTTCTCTGACTTTCGTAAGTATCAAGGGGGGATTTATTTCAGCGTTTTTATACAGCGTTTTAATTTCAACAGTGAAATATTCACATTCATTCAAGCCTTTTATAACTACATTGCAGTTTTACAATTTAGCTTTAGTAGGAACCTTTAATTGTGAAACTGGGCGCCATTCTCTTGAATTTCCGGCGCTCTGCTTTAGTCGAGGGACGCACTCCATTCAGGAGAAAAGTGTGTGTGAGAAAAGGAAGTGATGTTTGTTTCGCACATGCGCAGTACAAATCAGGTTTCCGGGACGGATCAGGTACCGACGGAGCCTCCAAACAAACCAGACTATCCAGGAAGTTGCTCAAGGGTTTGTTTAAAGCTCAGGTGTGAATGCACCTTCAGGGTAACACTGAGATGCTCCCTCACTCACCCCTTCAGTGACATTAACCCTCCAGTTTAAGATGCATAGAAATAATCCTCCGAATTTGACCATCAAGACCATTTTTTTTAGGGACCACTGCGAAAATTTAAATGCTGCTTAAAACTACGTACTGCACCTTTAAGAGAAGTACACGCTCAGCTGTATTTTCCACATAACTGCATCTCCCCCTGTCTTCTTCTTCTTCTTCTTCTTCTTCTTTAATTATTTCAAAGTAAGCCCCGCTGCATTAGTCATGAAATATAAAAACATGTCCTGCTGAAGGTGTCCGACTCAGAGTGAGAGTTACGTGACTCAAACAAACTTCACCTCCGAGTTTATTTACAGAAATCACAAAGTCTTCCTCGAATAAAAACGTCGAATCCAGCGAAGGCAGAAACAAAAGTTTTATTTCAGGAATGAAACGAGGTTTGAAGAAGCGTCAAAAGTCTGAATGATTCAGCAGAAACATCCTTCCTCCTCTCCTCTCCTCTCCTCTCCTCTCCTCCATCTGATGTATTTCAGGTTATCGATGGTGCAGTCTTGTACCTGTAACGCAGAGTGAGACATAAAGTCAGACACTCACACACACGTCTGAGCCTGAGGGGGGACAGGAAGTTCACCAAAAAATCATGAGAAATGTTCACCGGCACTTTTGCATAATACATCGTAATTACATAACAGAGTGAGTCACTGACTCGGGGCCCAAAGAGCATCCACGCTGTTATGGCACGGTCTGCTGGCTGCGGCACTCTGCGACTGCTGAGAGAGAGAGAGAGAGAGAGAGGGAGGATGTGTGTGTGTGTGTGTGTGAGAGAGAGAGGGAGTGTGTTACATTTGGCAATAAAAGCTGCAACCAGACTGATGATATAGAATAAATGCAAACACTCGTGGGCTTTAGAGGAGCTGCAGAGGAAAGCAGGGCGAGTCTCCAAACAGAGAGAGAGAGAGAGAGAGAGAGAGAGACTCCAGCTCCGGCCGACCCGAGGAGTGGAGTTTAAAACATGAAAGCTAATGAGATAATAATTAGGGAGAGCTCAGGCAGAAGCAGAAAACTCGGGGGACATCTCGTGGACTGAAGGAGGAAGTCAGAGAGTGTGTGTGTGAGTGTGTGTGTGTGTGTGTGTGTGTGTGTGTGTGTGTGTGTGTGTGTGTGTGTGTGTGTGTGTGTGTGTGTGTGTGACGTCACAGTGAGGATTCTGGGGGGACCTTATGAAACAGCATCTTGGGTTTACCAGCAGCTATTTCTGTCAGGAAGAGAGAAACCAGAAAATCCAAATATGGGCAGAGAGGAGCGGGAGGCAGAGGAGATGAATAGTGATGAGGAAGAAGAGGAGTACACCACAGCCTGTAAGACACGCCGCTGAATGAGAGCTGAGATCTCCCTTTAACCCTTTAAACGCCCCCTCACCAAACTCAGGCTCCGTCTCCTCTTCTTCAGGATCTTCCTCTTATGTAATTACAGCAGGTACACGCTGCTCAGTCCTCCTCAAATCAACTGTAACTTTATGTTTTTACAGACCGTCATGATGCATGATCAGAGTGATGAAATAATGTCTCGATCAAAGATGGACGATACTCCTTTTTACACCAAGTCGGTTCAAGTCCTAGTCCAGACTCAGGTCTTTGGTTTTCCACCGCCAAAGAACTGGTTCTCAGAAAAACCGGTTCCACAGTAGCTCGAGAAAGAAGGTCTGAAGACGGGGCAATTCGTCCAAAATTCGACTCTTAAGAAATGAGGTTATAAACTTTCAGATGTAGAGTTCAGAGTTTTTTTGGTTGGAGATAAAAATACAAACAGTGACTGGTGATCTGACAGGTCTTTAGGGATCTGACAGTCTCTTATTAAGGTCTGAGACCGGGATCCAGGTCTCTGCGAGCTCGTTTTCAGGAACAATCTAAAACTGGACACTGTAACGCTGAAATATATTTACTTAAAATATAATATACTTTTCTCTTCTTGCAGCAAAATCCACATTTAGTGGTTTTAGTCTCGCTCTGTCTGACTGAGTGTATGTGGAGATTATGTTCACAGGCCTGCCGTGCATTTTAGTAACAATTTTGAAGCCTCTGTGTGTTTCGCAGCCATGAAATCCATCAGTTATATCCCGTAAACATCGCTGTTAGAAATGTATAATTTAGAGAAAAACAGACGGATGTCAGTCAGCTGAAGAACCAGAATGAAAACACGACTTTAAATCCTGATAGATCATGTAGTTTAGATGATTTTAAGTTAGTTTGAAACAGTTTTCAGTGTCAGAAAGATTATTTGTTTTTGCAGATGCAACACGAAAAGAGTTAACCCGACTGTGGCGGCCAGTAGTTGAGCTCGCACCATCCCAAAAGCCAAACCAGGGACAAGGACTGTGAAATAGACTCTGTAAAATCAGGTGTAACAATATCAAACAAAGTTAAAAATGACTAAATACAGAAAAAAAGAAAGTTTTACACCTGGTTTCAACTTTTGCATGTGTACTGCATGGTGCAACTCAAATCCAGTCCTTCCTATGAAACCCTATCAGACCTCTGGAGCTGCTGTGACTCCCATCCATCTGTAAACAAACGCTCCTTCTTGTTTTGGACTCTTGAAGTTTCATCTGTTCATACACAGACCTGCAGACCCTCCATGATCACATGTAAGTCAAACCAGACTGGACTCTTGTGGTGCAGTTTGCATCATTTTTTTTTAGGGGTGTCCCGAACTTGTACATGACAAGTTTTTCACTCAGCTGTGACGTCTTTTTCGGACTTTAACGAAAAATGCTGCCACACAGCCGACATCACTCCTACTCCTCTCTACTTTGTTAGTAACTCAGTCCACACTGGTGTTGTGATCATGTGGACTCTGTAAACTGGATCAGCTAGTTAGAGGTGCTGGATCAGAGTCTGGAATGGACTGCTTGTATCGGAGTGCTGATATGGGAGGTTTTTGATGCAGGCCGATGTAAACCTATATTGATTTTTTTTGTTGATATCGGACCGATAGTCGATATCAATATCGTGTCAGGACAGCCCTAGTTTAAACAACAGTTTTGCAGAGAGTGCGTGAAATAATCAGTCCTTTCCTGCATCTGTGTCTCTAAAGAGTCATGCAATATGGCCGCTGGTGTGTATATTCAGTGAACATGTGCACCTTTGACAACATGCAGAATCAGGGTCTGTTATTGTGGAGCTGAAAATCATAAAGAGGATGAATGAATTCACAGAGGTGTAAGTCTGACATGATAGAGTTTTATTAAAGCGCTCTGTTGTTAGAGAGTAAATGAAGTTTATAGAGAAGCAGCAGAAACTCAGAGACAAATTCACTCATAAAAAGGTCTGATTCTTCTGTTTGCTGTTTGTGCACGAGTCCGAAAGTTTCACCTGCAAATTAGAGAGAAAATGGAGAGAGAGAGAGAGAGGGAGGGAGAGAGAGGGAGAGAGAGAGAGAGAGAGAGAGGGAGAGGGAGGGAGGACAGAGACAGAGAGAGGGATAAAGAAAGAGACTGGAAGAGACAGAAAAGGAAAGAGAGACGGGGTTTTATTGAGGCTGCAGTCAGCATCCTCGATCGCCCCGAGAAACACATGTCAGAGAACTTCAATTCATCACAAGAATGAGAGAGAGAGAGAGAGAGAGAGAGAGAGAGAGAGAGAGATCAGCATTTTCTGCAAGGAAACAACACACACAGAGAGAGACACACACACCACATTAGAAACACACACAGACAATTTTCTGCCTTCCTCACGCTCCAGTGATCGCAGTCACACTGACTGCTGGCTGCCTACACACACACACACACACACACACACACACACACACACACACACACACACACACACACACACACGGGCGCGCGCACACACGCACTGAGTCAGACTCACACTGACTCTGAGTCACACACACTGCAGCAGCCTCTCTCTCTCTCTCTCTCTCTCTCTCTCTCTCGCTCTCCCTCTCTCTCCCTCGCTCTCTCTCTCTCTCTCCCTCTCTCTCTCTCTCTCTCTCTCTCTCTCTCTCTCTCTCCCTCTCTCTCCCTCGCTCTCTCTCTCTCTCTCCCTCTCTCTCCCTCTCTCTCTCTCTCTCTCTCTCTCCCTCTCTCTCTCGTCCCGCCTTCTTGTGAGCAGAAACACTCGGGTCTCGATCGCTCGGGACCGGCTGCTGCTGCTGCTGCTGCTGCTGCTGCTGCCTCCTCCTTCAAGCTCCGTCTCTCTGCTCCTCTCTCTCTCTCCCTCTCTCTCTCCCTCTCTCTACATCCCTCTTTCTTTTCTCCCTCTTTCTCTCTCTCTGCTGATTCTCTCGTCCGCTCGCTCAGATCAGATCAGGTTGTGTGTTGCCCGGGTTGTGGGGGTTCGTGTGTGTGTGTGTGTTGTCAGAGAGAGGAGGAACATGCAGCATCCTGGTGGAACATGCGTGGCGTTACCCAACGTGGACGCCTGTCCTCAGCTGTCCTGCGCTGCCCTCACCTTCATGTATTTACAGCAGGTGAGTGAGTGTGTGTGTGTGTGTGTTCATGTGTGTGTGATCTATAGTGATTTATGGGTCTTGTGCTCGTGTCGTTGTGCTGCTGCTGCTGCTGGACAGGAGAAGTGGAGTGAGCAGGATGAATGTGTGCTCAGATACTTGGAGGAGAATACAGGGAAACACGGAGAGTGTGTGGGAATCCAGCAGGAGTGTGTGTTGGAGTGTGTGTGAGCGCTGCTGATGCTGGAGCTTCCTCCACTTCTTTAAGGATGAAGGATTCACAGATTTATGTTTGTTTAGTGTTTTAATTCTGGGAAAAGTTTCTCTGTTTGGATTTTTATCTCTGTCTGCGGTGTGTGAGGAAAACTGGAGCTTTGATTTACGTTGGAGTGTGGATTCAGAGGTCTGAGTTTGGGCTGTGTGAGATAAAATAAGACAATTTTACAGGTTATTTGTCAGTTTGTGGTTTTATTTGTTTCTTATATTTCACAGACAAGCGACATCCTCAAAGCAGAATTATGTAACGGATATATTTCCTCCTTAAAAGCATCGTTAAACCATCTGTACATTATTCTTTTGTTTTTAGAGATGTCCGTCTCTGAACGCTGAGCAGGTCCAACCTCATGTAGAAGCTTAATATGGCAGCATTATTAAAGAGGAAGCTTTAAATCCAGAATTATTCTGTCACTGTTAGTAATGAGATCATTACAGAGGCGAAGGAAGACGTGGAAATACAGGGACGTGATGACACTCCACTGCTGTAGGGGGCGCCAACTGCAAAAGCATTAGTTCCTACAGGCTAAAACCTTTAAGACTCGATGACTTCACCTTGAAAATGACCAAGTGTATGAGGCATGAGGGTTCGAAACATCCTTTTGCTCTCTGAACATTTCATAATTACACCAACCGTCTCCATCGCTGCGGCGCAACACGAGAGAAATCGATGATCGTGCCGAGATAGAAACAGATGTAGAAATATCGTTGATATCTTTCATTTCTACCTGCAGGGAAACGTATTTTTTTGTGTAGTGATGCTTCTGTGTTTCGGCATTCGTCTGTCCATTCATGTTTCCCCTGGGAATGTCGCGTTTCATGTCATTACGCTATGAATTGTGGGTAATTCCTTAATGCGAGGTCTGCAGACAGGATGCATGAAGGGCTCAGTGAGTGTGGACCAAACTTGATTAAGCTGCATGAAACTGCAGTTCCTCGAGTGTCCACTGGGGGCCGGTTCAAAAGTAGAGGGAGTCCTATTGAAGCTCATTTAAAAATGTCATTTTTTAAATCTCACTTCTTTAGTCCTGAACTTCTCTTCACATGAAGTCACCTGACACATCCAGGTGTAGCTGTAGCTCCGCCTCTCTGCCTGTTCCCCGGTCAGCTGGAGGTGAGCTGTGATTGGCTCTCCACCTTCAGCTCCATGAGGCGTCTTTACATGGCAGTGGGTGACGTCACTGAGAAAAACCTCCATGTTTTATACGATTTATGAGTTTGACGAGGAGGCTGTGTCTCTTCTAACACAGTGTCTGCAGCTCTCGACCCTTTCCTCTCGCCTCCCTGATGTTCAGCTGTTCTGTCAAGAAATATTTGATAATGGGAGAGTATTCAGCTTAGTTTCATTAATCAGAAATGAGCTTCAATGAGAACACGTTTAGTCTAGTGCCAAAAGTCATGGGTGAGTTCAGTTGCAGGGAAAGGTTTGCAGTAGATTTTTATATTTTTGCAGATATTCAACCAGCAAAAAAAGGATCCGAAGTTTGTCTTTTAATTACATTCACAGACAACTAACATCTTTCCTTTAATGCTGATCAACCCTCACACAGGATGAAATCACTTTTTGTAGATTTGTTGGCAAAAAAAAAAACATTTTTAATCTGCAGTTTAAATGTTGAAAATGTCACACTTCTTTCTTTTGCGAAGATTTTATTGAAAATTTTTTAATGCAAATCCTATTTCTTGTAGGATTTGCTGTTTTTTGCTCATGAAACACACGTTAATAATTGAATGTGTATCAGTTATATTAATTAGATGTTGTTTTCTTGATCGATCAGATTGTTTCCTGCTGATTAGAGATGTTTTTGCTCACACCAGCTTCATGTGTGTGAAGAAATGAGTCTCGAGTGCATAAAGAGGCGGCGCAGCAGGAGCGTCCTGCTGCTGGGGTTACAATGTTTACATCCTGCAGGCCTCACCCCCTCCCACACACACACCCACACAGACACACACAGGGATCAATCATGAGCTGATCAGTCCCAGTAGATGGCGCTACACTGTCACACATCCATCACTCTGAGCTTTAAGGTGTCAGATGTAAAGCTGGAACACTTCCTCAGACTTGGCTCAATGCAGTCTGCAGAGGTGATCGCTTCATTTGTCCTGAGAGGTGATTGGTCGATCTGCAGACGACATAAGGAACAGAAAAATTCAAATATAAAAAATAAAATAAGAGATATTTCTTTTCTTTTTGCAGAGGATTGGAAAACAAACAAACGACCAGAAAAGAAATCAAGTCTCAGTCAAAGTGATGGAAAAAAAAAAAACCTGCATCCCAAAGTTTATTCAGAGAAAAGCAGAAAAGTGATTTTGTGTGACTGTGATGGAGCGCGGACGTGATGGACTCATGAATGAGAGTTTCTCCAACAGGCAGTGACAGTTCGGAGTTGGAGGCCATGTCTCTGAGATGGAAGAAGGATGTTTGGGATGATTTATTTAGAGGGTCTGGGGAAGCTGAAATCACTCGAAGTTTTTCACCGAAATGAACTCGAGTTTGAAAATATGACCAGAGCTTTTTTTAACTCCCTGGTTTCTGCATCTTCTCCTTCGTTCTCTCCACACTCTGTTGTTTCTTATTCTTCTCATGCAGGCCTGTAGGAGTTGACAAACACATGCATATGCCTGAGTAGGTGTGTTTTTCGAATAATGCATGTGTACAGAGACGATTAGCTGCGTGTTGCATATGTAGATAGTGTAGATTAACGTTTCCCCCATTCAGCTTTCTGTCACTGTGGGTGTTTTCGTGCGCGCGTGTGGGTGTGTTGTTGCAAAACAGGATTTAGTGTGGGTTAAGCTTCTTATTGTTTTATTCTCTGCGCTTTTGTGACATCAGGTAAAATCAATTAAATAGGAACTGATGTGCACACAGATGGATATATTCATGCAGCAAACATACGAGGAAGGTGGAGCTCACACTGGATCTTTCTTCTTCAATCTCCAAGTTTTAATGTTGTTGTATTTTCACCTCTCCAAATTGCAGATTTCCACTAAAGTAAGAGTCAGTTTTTTAATTCGAACACCTCTGTAGGAGGGCAGAGCAGACATTTAACATCCTTTTGCACAAACAGGCGTCATGAAAATGTGGATAAACGGTCACGTAAGGACAGAAACAGATCAGAAAATGATGCATGAAAAAAATCACACAGCTGTGAGGATGCTTTCTGCGTTTTCTGCTTGTTTTCCGCACGTTTCAGTGCATCTCAAAAAACAGAGGAAGAGGAAGCCTGTGAGGCGAGGATGCAGACATGCTCATGGACGATACGGTGCAGATTTATTAACAAAAAAAAAGGACGAGTCGATATGATATCGTCTTTTTTTCTACATTTGCAGCTTTGCAATTTGTGCAAACTAATCAGGTTGTGTTGTCGTTAAAAATCAGGATATCAGGACCAGGATCGGGTTCATTGGAAGTAGATTTGGAGCTAAAATCACAAACGCAGAATAGATGTGATAAAAATCCAGAGTTAGAGTGGAAGAAGAAGAAGATATAAAACAAAAAAAGACGCAAAATTTGCAAAAGAGAGCAGAGAGGTGCAGCACAGACATCTCGTGGTGCATAAAGACAGAGGAGGACGATGAATTCATCTTTTTATTCCAGTAAGAGAGTTTTTCTCCAGAGTGAGGGGAGTCAGAGGGTGAGCTGTGTGTTTATGACCCAGTTCTGAGAAAACCCTGGTATTGTGGGCCTTCAGCCTCTTCTGCACAGAAGAGAAAGAAAGAAAAGAAAGAAAGAAAAGAGCGGGGAAGAAAATGCAGAGGAATCTAAAGTGTGACCGAGTTAAAGCCCGCAGCCAAAGAATATTTTACCGACGCTGCGGGATGAAAGAGCGAGAAGAGGAGCGGAGAAAATGGCTTCTGCAATCTGACAATTTGTCATTAAGCAACTTTCCTCCATTAGTCTCATTCCTCCATCACGCTCTTTCTTCATCCCCTGCTGCACGCTGGTATGTGTGTGTCTGTGTGTGTGTGTGTGTGTGTGTGTGTGTGTGTGTGTGTTAATGTGGGGTGTGTGTGTGTGTGTGAAGAGAGAGAGCTTTTGTTTTCAGATTACACCGAGAGTATTTCAGATTCTGCTGATGTGTTGGCGTGTTATGCCAGAACATTGTGCTCGTGTATTTGTATGTGTGTGTGTGTGTGTGCGTGTGTGTGTATGTATGTGTGTGTGTGCATGTGCATGGGTGTGTGTGAGCGTAGCTTGCCTACATAGGGAATCTGGGTCTTTGAAGCTATATATAGTCGAGCCATGTAAGACATTTTGAATACATCTGAAGGCCTTCGGGGATTCTGCGTGTGTGTGTGTGTGTGTGTGTGTGTGTGTGTGTGTGTTTCAGACAGCGGCACGCAGTAATTATTTTTTGATGCAATGATTTTTTTTGAACTCATGCCTCTCATGTTCCTGTTGTTTCTGAAAAGCTCAATAATCTGTCATGTAAATGTGTGAAAAAGTGGAGCCATCTTTCTCCACCCCTCACACACACACACACACACACACACTCACACACACACACACACACGCAGAGTCGATGCAGTCGATCTTTAATCATGTACACACATGTTCTCCCGCTCATGAATGTTGCTGCAGGAAATCAATTCTTCGATATTCTCGGAGAAAAGACAAAACCGCCTCGATGAGAGGAACGCTGACGTCTCTGAAATATTGACGCCGGCGCAGGAGAGAGAAATTGAGTTTCAGCTTCTTTTGGTTCGAACCGTTTTCATTAATCTGAGAGGCGAGATGATGCAGAATTTTACTGTTTTAATAACGAGGGATATTCAAATAACTGAAGAGTGAAACAGAAAGACTCATGGAGGGTTAGTCCTCACAAACAGACATCTGACACATAAACTTGATTAATTTAGTCAAAGTATTTCAGGTTAAACGTTCTTCAGGTTTTAGTGGAAGTTGCTGAGTCATGTTATTACCTGTCTGCAGTGAAAAACACGTGAAATGACGGCAGATCAGATTTAACAGTAACTTATCATTTAGATTGTAAAATAATAGAGTTTAATGTTCCTTCAATGCCGATATTGAGACAGCATTTTGGCTAATTGCCGATTTATAATACTGATATCACATTGTTGTTTTTTTATCAATATAATAAAGTCAACAAATGAGGAATAATATCGCTGAACTTGAGTGAATATTTAATTAAATAAATAAGGATGAAAAAAAAACATCGAGTTTAGTAAAATATCGTCTCAAAGGACTTTCAGATTTCTGCTCCAGAATATATCAGATCAATATTTTTATTGTTATTAAACTGCGTTTTTCTGTCCATCAAAATCATCAGAATTTATATGCAACACGAGTCAGTCTCAGATTTGATGTTGGCGTTGTGAGGGCCGACGCCAATTACGGCAAAATATCGTTAATCGTCCAAATTAACTGGAACATCTGTAGAACTTATGATTCCGACTAAGAGTTTAAGGTTTTTATTTCATGATCATGTTGTACGTATGTATTTATATATATATATGCCCCGCCCACATGGGTTTATGTGACACCATGAGTTCACACAGTAGGGTGACCATACGTCTTCTTTTACCCGGACATGTCCTCCTTTTTTGGGGCTGGAAGTTTTGAGTTTGTGTTGCGTGGACTTAGCGTAAAAAACACTCGACCCGAAAACCCCCAAAATTGATTGGGCGCAACTTCGTGACTCCGCCCCCTGTAGTCATGTCCTCTTTTTAGGGATTCAGAATATGGTCACCCTATCAGTCCAGGGTCAGAGACAAAAGACGAAAACTAAAGAAAATACGCACTGATACGTCAACACTCACTTGTTTAAGAGACAAAATGAGAAGCTTTGAACTCACCAAATTGAAACAGCTTCTGTTTGAGGTTAAATTCCTGTTTTTGTGAATGGAGTCTGGTGTCTTATTTTTGCGGGTTAAGGTGTGGACCTCACGTACAGAAGCTGCAGTCCTCCTCCTTCTGTCTTTCTGGAGCCGTCAACAAAAATAGTTGAAAAAAGTCGTTTCCCTCGGAGACGAAGCGCCCGCTCTCCACTGGGATCTTTTTGTCTAATGTTGTCAGACACGCGGAGTAACAATCTGAGCCTGTCAGGGACACAAACAGACACTTGTCGTTGTCACACATGTTGGTTCATGCTCGGCGTGTTCTGACTCTTCCAGCAGATCTTCCTAAATGTCACATCGATGCAGAGCTCCCTCCCTCTGTTGTGGATTACACAGTTTGGCATGTGTTACAACAATGGGTTCAGAGGCTGCTGTTCTGTTTGATTGTTTCTGATCATGGACTGACCCCTCCTCTGCTCTGTCCGCTCTCCTTCTGCTCATCCGTCTGAAAATAGATTTGGACGAACATGCAGGTCTATAAACGCAGATTTAGAGGGAAGTTCTGATGGTGGACATGACTGACAGTTTCCTGTTTTTAGGGAAGGTTTGTGAGCGTAAACGTTAATGATGAAACATCATTTAGTAGCTGGATGATGCACAAGTGTCAGACATGAATGTAGGGCTGGGCGATAAGGCCTTAAATCAATATTTGGATATATTGAACAGTTCGGTAACGTTTAAGTTGTGCTGGTTTGCTCTTCTTTGCATCACATCTGCTTTAACAGTTCGGCAAATGGCGATTTTATTGTCTGTTTGATATGTTGTTGATGTTGTTGTTGTTGTTTTTTGGGGGTAAAAATTGTGTTTGCATAGTCAACGCTTTACTAAATCAGCTTTAAATGATCATATTTTCTAGGGCTGGGCGACATGGCCTCAAATCAATATGGCGATATATTGATCAATGAATGGACAATAACTTCCCCACATGCTGCTCACCCCCTCCCACATTAACTTCGTCTACTTATCGTCGTAAATTTCGGTATCGGTACATTTTCGGTTTAGCGCGCAGCCCTCAGCCCTTTTAGATTTAATTGTATTATTTATTTTGAATGATTCAAGAGGGAAGTGTAAAAACACACCAGTTTTAGGCGGTAAAAATCCCAGTAAAAGGTCGACCTGATGGTCTTGTTTGTTTTTGTATATCCACATGAGTCTCAGTCCGTTTCATAAACTTAAAAAACTCCTTACAGGAGCTTTAATTCACTCTCACCTGGTTAACCGTTTCTTTCTCTCATAGTCTACCTATTTATTTATGTATTTGACACCAAATATAACGATAAAATGACGTTGGTTATCGTCGTAAATTTCCGTATCGGAATATTTCAGGTTTATCGCCCAGCCCTACATGAATGCATCTCTTAGACAAGGAGAGTTTAATTGAAATGGCACAAACAGATCATGCTAATAGATGATAAAATAACTCAAAAGCTACTCAACCCAAAGACGGTTTGTGATCCTTTAAAGGTGAATTTAGTTTGACCAGTTTAAGGTCTTTTATTTTCAGAGCTCACCTGCAAAAACAGGAAACAGAAATGGAGGATCTGAGCGCAGCAGCACTTTCATTATTGAACGTTTTAAGACTCCCTGCACCGTATTGTCCCCTCGCTCGTCACTCCCTCCATGACTGAGACTCCAGGCTGCGTCTTTATTGTGTTTTCCACCTCCAGCTGCAGCCGGTTGCTTTTTAAACAAGTGGCTTTTCCACCGCCGGTCTCTGCAGTGTGTTTTCTGAGTGTGTTTTTGTGAGTGCCGTGTGTTGTTGCAGGATAAAGTGAGTCCTGGTTGAGAGGCAGCTCTTGTTCAAAGAGCGGATTAAAAGTCCCGTCTTCAGACCTGCAGAGAAACAGAGCGAGGTAAAAGGACAGGAGATAGTGTCTGTTACAATCTGCGGCGACTCGGCAGAGAGGCTGTTTTACTTTCTTTTTAGGATTCCTCTTCAAACCCAGACGCGGCCGTACAAAGGCCCGTGTGCTTCTTTGTCATCTTGGGGAGCTTTACTCTGCAAATATCCAAGGGTGGTTCTGTTCCGACAATGTCCTCGGCCTTAACAATTCAGATAAACACTTTGAATCATGTTTCATTTGTGGCCTGAAGGAGGAGGAGGAGGAGGAGAAGGAGGAGGAGAGGGAAAATGAAAACAGAGATTCACAGACTCAGATGGAAATGTTTCTGATTTACACGTCAGCGTTGTGAATATCTGCTTTAAAACGACTCCACCGATCAAACTCTGCAGTAAAGTCAGCTTTTGTTGGTTTTTCTCCTCGTGTCGGACTAATAAAGAAATGACTGCATGTGTGCATGTTTCACTGACACGGCTGACTGAGTGTGTACGTCCTGTTCTGCACACGCCCAGTCCATCTCTCTCTTTCTCACACACTCACGACCAGTCAGTCAGTCAGTCAGTCCATGGTTGTGTTCATGTAACGACACGCAAGAGCTGCACGGATGGCTGGAGAGGAAGATGGAAAGAGAGAGAGAGAGAGAGAGGATGAAGAAGTAGCCTGAGTGAAAAAAAAAACCCAGTCTGCTCTGTTACAAAAAAAAAAAAGAAAACATCCTCACGTAGGTTTGTAAAAATGAAGACAGAGAAGAGACGGGATGTTTACTCTCCTGTCAGCAGGTTGTTGGTGTCGATTCGCTCCTCTATAGGTTCAAAAGTCTTTACATCTCCTCGTTGCAGATACAGACACTGCAGCTCTTTGAGTCAGATAATAAAACCTGTAAGATTTAAGAGGCTTCAGCATCCGTGACATATTTAAGAAACTACGATTGGGAAATAAAGTCGAAACTTGATTCAAAACTGACTTTACTTAAAGGGTTTGCAGGAGAATCATCTGTGGAAAAAAGAAAAAATCAATAGTAGTTATTATTTTCTGGATGTTGATCTGAGGACACCAGGACACAAGAAAATGTCAATACTGAGAAATAGAATCTTAAAAGCAGCTCTGATTCAAAAACTAGAACTAGGATTTAAATTCAACAACAAAAAAAACATTTGCATATTTTTAATCTTATTGTTGTGTGACAGTGCAGGTAGCTGCAGAAATGCTGTAGATTAAATGAATTTATAGTCATATATTCATTTGCACTGGCACTAGAAAAAAAGCAGGTTCACTGGAATTTTTGTGCAATACAAAAACATATATTTTTGTCCACAGGGGGCGCCAAATTTGACACAAACCGAAAGTTCCTCCCTGAGCTTTAAAAACGACACTTTATAATTCGACCTTTTAAGCTTCTTAATGTTTTAATTACTAGTTTTCAGCCTCTTTATTAAAAATGCATCAACTTTCATCAACTCTCATCTCTATTTTAATAGAAAATGGTTCATTAAAACTGAAAATGATTATAATGCATCAATAAAACTAGTCTAGTGAGTGAAATGAGGAGTTAAAGAACACCTTAAAGCATCACTCTGGACCTGGACCTCCTTTTTTATGTCTCTTCTCAGTCTTAAGCTCAACACAGATTTATTTTGGCTTTTTTTGAAAGAGTCCAGAAGGTTTTAGTTTGTTTTTTTTACACATCTCATTTAAAAGTCTAAATCCAGAGAACTCTACGGCTGAAAGTTAGGTGTAAATAAACTCCCACCATGAGCAGCAGCTTCTTCTCCCTAAACTCAATCTGGAATCTGTCGTAGTTTTGGCTCCACGGACCTGTTTTCTGTTTTTTTACATTTTTGGAAAGATTCATTAAAAAAATCTCTCAGTTTTCAACCATAAGAATTAAACAGAGTGACTCTAAATTATGGAAACGCTCAACAAGAGAAGCCAACATCTCACTGGCAGCAGAAGTCGATAAAACTGCTCTGAACATTTTGTTACTTCGTCATTGCCAAGACTCACTTTGAATTTACATATTTATAATTACGACACGTTTGCAACGGTGTTTAAATAAAAGCAAATATGAAGTTTGGCTGAATACGAGTATCACATTAAAACAGATTAACAGCCCTGCAAACTAACGCTGAGAGCCGTCGTTAAGTGAGGAGGACACTTTGCAGGACGGTTGCGTCAGGCGAGGGTGAGGAGGGGGTTAGTTTTAGCGAGGTCAAATCAACTGCCAGCTGAGAGGAGTCTGCAGAACCCCGTCCCGCCCTGAGCTGCTCTAATAGACTCATATACGGCTGTCAGATTTAGTTAGACTTGTTTACTTTGTTGTTGATGTTTTTTTCTGAGAACTCAGACCAGCTCCGGGTCAGTGTCGGCTCATGCACGGATCATTTACACCTGGACCGGGTAACACCGGTAACACGGTTAGCTGAATCGACTCTGAGTAAACACAAACAAACAGAAATTATCGTTTGGTTATTTGGATTTCAGGTTTCCTGAGCACACGCATGCACAGATATTTTTAATTTCATTCAGACAATCCATAACTATAACTTAATAACACACACCAACATTACTGCAATATTATATAATACAAAACTATACAAGACAAGATGCAAAACTATTAATTATTTATCAGTATATTACAACAAGTAACAAGAAGTTGCAACAGAATGTGATAACTTATGAAAACCAAACAGCCTGATATTATTTGATACATTTGAGAAACTATGATATGATATAATATTAAAATAAAAACAGGATTATGGAACATGGCAGTGTAGCGTTGTACTGCAACCAATAATGATGTACCTCAACATGCTATAATATACTGCACTGTACTATAATATACCTCATATATATTACAAAAAGAAAATACTGTGCTTTACTATACTATTTTAAACTAAACTATACGATAGTATACTATACGATACTATGATATATTAAACTAAACCAGGCTATAGAATACAATTTGAAACGTAACTATACTATACTGTACATTAATATATTTAACTAAACTGTGCTATACTTTACTATACCAAAATATACTATATTATACTACACTATACTTTACAATACTATATTTAACTTAACTATATTATGTAACACTATACCATACTGTACTATATTAAACTAAGTAATGTAATACTATTTAATACTATAGGGTACTATATATGAAACAAAACTACACTATACTAAACTACACTATACTATACTATACTATACTATACCTCTATAATATATTATACTATACTACACATAGTATACATACTATGCTACACTACACTACACTACACTACACTATACTATACTACACTTTACCTCTATACTATACTATACTATACTACACTTTACCTCTGTACTATACTATACTCCTCCATACTTTACTATACTATACTATACCATACTGTACTGTACTTTTCCATTCTATACTCCTCTATACTATACTGTACTATACCCTACTCTTTTAGACTATACTATACTATACTAAGCTATACAATACTCTTCTATACTACACTAAACTATACTCCTCTTTAGCATACTGTACTTATTTATTCCATACAATACTTAACTTTACTCTGTTCTTCACTACTTCAGTATGTTTACTCAATACTCTCTGCAACTCTACTAAAGTTTTCTTAACTATTCTTTACTAAATTATACTTTACTAAACTGAACTATTAATACTTTTCTTTTATACACTTTTCTCATCTAAACTGAACTTTCCTACGCTACACTACACTACACTGACTTCCTGTTGAGTTTGAGTTTGTTACCTGGTCAGAGAAGGTAAAAGTTTCCCGCTCACTTATTTCAAAGTTGTTGTTTTTTTTTTTACTTTCCTACTCTCTATTTTAATCGTTATACTTTTTTACAAACCCAGACTCTGAGCAGAGAGGTTGTCGGGTCAGACGTCGTAAAGCTGTTAAGTCTTTGTATAAATAAAACTGACCTGTCTGGATTCGCACATGTCTGGAAACCACAAAGAGCAGCTCTGAGTTTCTGCAGCAGGAGCAGAATATAAAAAACTTGATGTTGTTGGAAAAGCTTCAAAGTGTTTGTTTGAGTCACATCACGACATGAATCATGAACCGAAGCTCTTTGAAGGAGAAAAATCAGTAAAATCATGTGTTAGATGTTACGCTGTAATAGTCCCGCTGCGTGTGTGAGTGAGTGTGTAAGTGTGTGTGAGTGTGTGTGTGTTGTGGTGCTGAATGAACAGCTCCTGACCTCCAGTTTTTTTACATCTGCTGCTGCAGTGATTCAGTGATTCAGTCCTGCTGATGTTTCTGTTTCTGGGCCGGACGAACTGACCGAAGACTTGAACCCAGAGTCTAATATCTGTTGATGAATCCCTCCTCTCTCTCTCTCTCTCTCTCTCTCTCTCTTTATTACCCCACTAAAGTCACTCACTTCAAACTCTGCTGTTTATTTTGGTTCTGAGTCAGTTTACACTTGATGCTGCTGCAGATTTTATGCATGGAAAATATGAGCTGCACACTTTTACTCTGCACTGCACTGGAGACCTTGTACCTGTGGTTGCATTATGGGAAATGTAGGATCAACCTCTGCTGAGCGCCCTGAACTGTATGTGGTGTAGATATTCAGAGGGTGAGTTTTAGGTGTCTAAATAACAAAGACACGTCCTCTTTATCGCTCTGATAAACACTTACAGGAGCAGGAACTTTTTCATGTGACGCAAAGTCAACGTTTTTTTCTGGTGTCTTTGCAGAGAGCGATGAAACGGCTATTTCTGATTAAAATGACATTTTCCTCTTCAATAAGAAACAGAATATCTCTTCCTCTTTGCAATATTGTCAGAAACTCAAAATATGAGCATTTGCATGAAACGCATTGTAAAATTATTTTCTGTTGCACAAAATGAGGATATTTACAGTCTATAATTGTTATATTTTCCTATTAGATGGTAGTCAGACCATCATAATCATGCATTCATGTTATTTTTGGTGCAGCTGATTGAATCATCAGCTAACCCCAGATAAATTTATTGTAAGTTAGAGGTTTAAAAAGCTGAATTTTGGTGCATCAGGTGAGAACTAAATTGCAAAGACAGCTTATTTGTAGATCCTGAGATTTTCAGCCATTATGCACTCTTCAGTATATTTTTATTTAGTCAAACACAGTGTATATTTTTCATACTTCATATTGAGCAAACCTGGAGTCAAATTCGCACAAAGAGACAAATTCGATCGAATATATGGACATAAAAACATCACATTCATGATTCCCTGATATTTTTTCACATTATAGTAAATATTGCATAAATAAACATACAGTAATGTCAGTTATTTTCAGTATCCTCCAGCCCGTCATCGACCGAAACATCAGAGACAGAAACATGTCGGCACTTGTGCAGTTTTTGAGATCTGTAGCCGGTTCTGATCAGCTGAGCTAATCTGCCTCATGGTTAGGAGTAATGTTTCTGCAGTCAGGAGAGGACTTCAAAACACGTACAACACATCGCCATGATTCTGAGCCTCATTTTACTCATTAAAGGATCATGCTGCAGCCTGTTGTGTGGCTGAACGATGAAGAGATCTACAGGAGCATTTCCAACATCTCAGTGTACCTGATAGTATCTTTAAAAACACACAGGGTCCTCAAACTTCACCACTGAGCTTAACTTTAAATACTTTCAGGACCACAGAGGAGCTGAGGGAGGAAACAGAGAAATAGATCATGATGCAGACAATCGAAATGAAAAGATCTGTTTATTTTTAGAGAGTTTAAAAATGATAAATATGTGAGAAATCATCCGATTTATCCTGAAACGGCAGCTGCTCTCACAAAGAGAGCGAACGGAGGTCTGCTGCTGCAGCGGCGGTGGTGGTGGTGGTGGTGGTGGTGGTGGGATGAAGATGGAGAAAAGGGGGAGAGGTGGGGAAGACTCCACAACCTCATTATGTCTGTTGGCATTTTAACTCCTTTTGATGATTTAGTAAGAAGAGAGGATGGAGGAGGAGGAGGAGGAGGAGGAGATGTGTTCTCTCCTCCGTCCATGACACCATTTTAATCCCCCCCCCACCCACCACCGCACCACCACACCACCACACCACCACACCAGCACCATGACGAGGGGGAGAGAGAAGAAAGAGAAGTGAGTGTCTTTAATTTAGAGGGATCCTGAATGCGTGAAATCCTTTATGCTATCTGGGTCACAGTGTGCCTTACAGGCTGAGGAAACACACACACACACACTCACACACACACACACACACATAAAACTGAAGCCTACTGATTTGTTCGTTTATTCATTTTGTGTGTCTCTGTAGCAGCATTGTGTAGGAGCAGCAGCATTGTGTTTTCTGCAAGTCCTCCAATCGTCGAGTTCAAACCGGTCCTCATCGTCACCCGGTCCACCTTCGGTTCTCCGGGTTCTTCACCTCTCTGACAGACTCATAAAACCTCCTTTAGATAAGAGCGGAGGATTCCTGCCGACGATACGTTTCAGATGCTGACGTCTGAGAGGTCGCCGCATTAGTGAAAATGCAGAAATCATGAAGTCTGAATGAATTTTTCTGCACCGGTGGAAAAAAACAAGAGCTAAAATGACAAAACCACCAAACTGGAGGGTGAAACTCCTCTGAGATTTCTCTGTTTTTAGAAGTTTAAAGGAACAATAAGGAGTTTTCTGGTCGTGTTGACGAAATGCAAAACAACTTCTTTTTCATCCTGTTTTTTTCATCACTCTGCATCCTGAAAAAAGTGACCACGGTCATGATGTGTGCACTAGTGTCCCTACAGATGTCTTAATAATGCAAATATGCACATGGTTTGACTCTTGAGTCCTCAAAGAGCAGGGAGACATGCAAACAGGACAGATGCCAGTCCTGCTACAGAGTCAGCCAAAACTCAACCCCAAAAACAGGCGCTAAAATCCAGTTTTGAGGAATAACGATCATGTTACTGATTCTGTTGTTTTACTTTGAAAGTCACGAAGAGTCAGACTGTTTCTAAAACAAAATATTAAGGTTTTCAGAAACAGACGTGGAGAGAAAACACTGAAGGGTGAATAGTCGTCTCTTTGCCAGAGAGGCTTTTATTTTGAAATTCCAGCCGTCTGAAGGGCGCAACATACACATGTTAGGAAAGGGGTGATTCATGGGTAGGCAGGACCTGAGGAGAGGAATCTTGAATGTAAACTCTAACCCTCCCAACCAGTTTTCCCCTCAGCTCCTCCTCTCCCCTCAAGCCCCGCCCACAAACAGACGCTCCTGCTCGTTCGTATCGTTCCAATTAAATTCAGATATAATGCAGATAAATACTTCAGATCATTACAAATGGGGCCCAGTCAAGGTTAAAGTCAAAAGCATTGGTGCTACTGTAGATGCCAACAGACTACCAGCAAACACAATGTTTGCAGGACTTCTACAACGAGGATAAAGTGACATAGACCAGGACCCGAGGTCAACAGTTTAGCGATGGCGCTACAACACGCTACAGCAGGTCCGTTTGACAAGAAACACTTCTGTTACAGACACTTGTCTTACTTTGTTAAAGCGGTTTACCTGTCCAGCAGAAAGGTTACAGGGTCACCAAGATCCCCAAGCGTCCCCCATCGTTTATGTTGACCCGGCTTTTTAGCTCTTGTCCGGTCTACCTCCGTTTTCAGCGCCCGTTATCTAAGTCATGTGCATGAACTAAACCGGTGCAGACTTCATTTTTATTTTAAGATATAATCAACTGAAACTCCCCAAAAGATAATGAATCATCAAAGAAACCGGCGTTGGATTTAAGAAAATATCATATTTTTGGTAGTTCTCGAGTCAAACTGTGTTTTCTTTGTCTTTGGATGAGTTGTTGCTATGTTTGTCCCTCTAGGCCTCCGTAGATCGAGTTGCTGCCCAAACAAGAAGCAAATTCAAGACTCCAGACCCTTCAGTTTTTTATTGATCCTAATCAAAGAAAACTCGACTCTGAGTTCATCTGAAATAACTTCAGACGTTTTTATCTAAATGTTAAAACCTTTTAAGTGCGGTTAATTGATGTGATTTTACACGCACCACAGCTGGTCGTCTGTGTTTATAAACATGCACCAGAAAACAAGATGGCGGTTTGTTTGTCTGCGCAGCCGGAGCACCTGAAGTTCGTGGAGCTCTCTCATGTAAATCGAAGGCGGCGGCGGTGGCGCTCAGACGTCATCGCAGGGGTCCGTGTGGACTCCTGTAAAATTTAGGTCATGCAGACCCTGGTGGCGTGTGAGAATCGGGTTATTTTCGTCTCCCACCAAAACAAAAACAACAACAACAGAAAAATCTGTGACTCCGCTTTGTAGTCCATGCCCCCGAAGAACGGCGTGACGCTGCGACTCCCGAGAACCAAAACATAATTAAAATCTGAAGAGGAGAACTGGGCTCTATTCTTCTTCTGCTGCTGCAGACTCCGACTCAGAGAGGGATCAGCTTTTATTAGTCCGTGACACTCGGTTTAAGTGTTCTTCTCTGTTTGAGTTCATTTAATGGTCACTCTGAAAACTTTCATTAGAGAATTATCATTTAAATGTCACATTTTCTCTCATTTCAGCAACACACGACTCCCTGATCATGTCCCACAAACCCTCGGCGTTCCAGAGAGGAGTAAAACAGACGTCTTCCAGCTCCGCTAATGGAAGTAAAATTCAATTAGTCATGCTCTCTCTTTCTCTGACTCGTCGTTTTTCTCTCTCGCTCACACAGACGGGCACCAGCGTGTTCATCTCCATCCTCTCTGATCAGATTACTCCGGCAGCTCGTGGTCACATCAGTTAAATCTGCGTCACTCTTTGATGAACTCGCGCCGTTTTAAAATCGAACGCTGATACTTTTTCATCGTTAAGGCCGGTTTAACGGGAAGCTCTTTACTTTAGTTTGCAGAGTAGTTTTATGTTTGCATCTTCATGATCCGATTGTGAGTTTATTTTTTCCACGCCGCAAAGGTGTGAATATATTCCACTTAAATTTAGACGCAGAGAAGAAAACGTACATCTATTTAAAAATAGTTTATTTTACTGCGTTTGTGAAAATAAAAACTGTACTTCAGCTGACAAACAGGAAACTCTGTTTAAATCCATCTACAGGTTTTTGTTTATAACTTTTGAACTTTTGGACCTTCTGGAGTCACAGCGGTGTGAGAACATTATTACGTTTGTTTGTTTTTACTGTTTTTAGAGGCTTTTTTAACAGCAGCCGCCTCTTTTTGCTGAAACACTTAAAATCTTTGATTTGCTGTTTAGATAATGTTGGAGGTGATGCTGATTATGCTAAAATTGACCGATTAGTGAGTCGATAAAACGTTTGGTCTATTGATTTGATATGGTGGTGAAAGTTACTGATTAGTTAAATCAGCTCTGTGAATATGAAACTTCAGAGTATCTAAACTTTGGGGACTTTCACACTTACATCGTTTGGTACGGACTTTCAGACTTTTCTGTTTGTCTGAACCAAAATGACCTCCCCAGGACCTTGGTCCGACCAAAACTGAACCACGGTCTGGTTCATGCCCAGTGTGAAAGCATTATTTTGAAATGTTGGCAGGTAGAGTAGAAGTATCTGTAATCATGTTGAATGGAGATTGTCCAAAAACAGGAAATGTTATAATATTGTAGATGAAGTTATTCCTCACTACTGACAGATTATCTTTTCAAGAGTTTTACTTCACAGACTTTCCTCTCGATGACTCTTGCAATGACTCGCAGGATCGTTTACTTTCTGTTTCTTTCCTGTGGATGTCGATAAAGTTTTCCTTTAATGATCAAATTCATGAGACTTCATGAATTGTCGCTGTTGGAGGTAGAAAATCAAAAATAGTGCGATAGTGGGAATGACGATTCCATCCGTGTTTACACCGTTCAAGACCTGACCTCCAACGTGTTGACGTCAGACGCCCGCCGGCCAAATGACCAATCAATGTAAACTAAAGAGAGACGCAAAGCAGATAGCTGATGACGATATCATGTTGGTTTGTCATGTGACAGTGTGAAACCTAAACAGACCAAACCAAACGTAGACAATATGACAAACCTCTTACACCGGACTTTCAGGTGAGAAGACGTCCTAAAGTACTTTTTATTTTACATTTATCCTGAAAGTCAATCCTATCTGAAAATAAAGGTACAGTCGTGTCGGTCTGCTCAGGTTCAGGTGTGAAGGGAAATAAAACAGTTCATGTCCTGACGGCATCAGAGTTAAAACTTATCGGTTTATCTCTTCAGATTTTTGTAATTAAAGTATTTTTTCTTACCTGAAAACTGAGAAAATCCCTCTGAGGCTGAAATCACCTGTAACCCACAACTGCATCACCTACCTTGTAATGAAATCAATATTTCCTTTTATTAATTTGTCAGATTTTCTTTTTTTCTGACTATTTTTTAGACGTAATTCTCCTTTTCATGTTCATAATTACACTAAAACACTTAAAAACCTTCAAATTAGAGCTCAGCAGGGATTTAGTTTGATGTTTCTGAGGTTTCTGAGCATGCTCGATAAGGTGAAGTTATGTTATCCCATCATTGGTCCTTTTAGCTGATTTGGACAGTAGGAAGAGTGTTAATAAGAATAAAGGTTTTACAGAGAAGCAGGTAACGTTCAGAATAAACTCTCGATCTTCCAGGAAACCGTGTCAGAGAGACAAAAACAAACACTTCCTCTCAAATTGAAGGCGGTTTGCCTCGTGGCCGAGCATCATCTCATCAAACAGAACATTACTCTGAATCACGTCTTTAGCGAGAGTCCTCTGTTATGATGGCTCCGGGCTGCTGTTTTGAAGCTCGGCGTGACCTCTGACCTCCCCGCGAAGAGGGAGAAAAATCGATGCGGCATCACATCATTTCTTGATATTATTTAAAGGAATTCAGAGCTCTGAAGCACGAGCGCAATTGAATTACTGTGTTCAAAAATCGATCAGAGATTCACTCATCCCTCCTCACGCACACACACACACACACACGTCGACTGAGCGTGTGTGTGCATGTGTGTGTGTGTGCGGTGACACTCGATACTTGACATTCAGTGATGGAGGAGCACTTACAGCAATAATTGGAAATGTTCTTAGAGACAGAGCGGAGTAGTTTTAATGTGATTTGAGGTCATGCTGTATAGTTGTGAGTGTGAGTGTGTGTGTGTGTGTGTGTATGATACAGAGTGACACACACACACTCACACACACACACATGCGGGGAAATCACAGAGACGGATGACCCTCATGGGTGTATTGACATCTCTCACGGCTGAACAAATGGTGCAGTTGAGTTGCGTTCACTGACATCGATCTGAAAAACTGTTTAACATTCGTGCTGCAGCCTCACCTGGGCCAGCCGGAGAGCATGGGGATATTCTCACACACACACACACACACACACACACACACACTCTCTCGCTGTGGTGTATCACATTTCAGCTGTTGAGCTATCGTCTGATAGCGCTGACGTTTTTGTTAACAGTCTTTGTGCGCAGAGATCAGATTACAGATCTTTAAGAGAGGATGATGATGATGATGAAGATCCATATGTCCTCTTTTACCCGGACATGTCCTCGCACACGTCCTCGAAGTTTATAAAATCCTTTAAATGTCCACACTTTTGTACGTAAGTTTTGATTTTGTGTGACTTACTAAGTTCGAAGCTCGTAAAGGACGCTCGATCCGCCCCAAAAACTCTCAAAATTAACTTTGTGCGACTCCATGACTCCGCCCCCGCGTAGTTGTCTCCTCTTTTTAGGAAATCAGAATATGGTCGTCCTACCGTAGGTCTCCGGGAGGCAAAGTAAAAACAGAAACAGAGTTTTGTGTGTTTGTTCTGATTCTGGTTTTTGCTGGTTTTGATTCTGAGAATGATTTTGGCGCCACAGGGTCGTAAAAATACGATAATCAAGACAATCACAATGATTATTGAATTAGCAACAGAGCGCCGGTGAGGCCCCTACCCCTCAAACAACTTTATCGTAATTTAAGGAAAAGCAGGCCGGTGTGTGTTTTTAAGTGCGCGCCTGAAAAGCCAAGGGACAGAATGATTGAGAAAGAGACATCATGATAAAATTCAAGCCTGATTCTGATCTTCTAGCCTTCACACCCGAGTTGGATCGGAAACAAGATGGTTACATCTATGAAAGTTGTTGTATGGCGACAATCCCAAACAACTTAGTCGCCTTGGGGCTGAGTAGTGGAAGCGCCCGTTATTCCTCCAGAGTCTCCGGTATTTACTTTGTTTTCTTGCTTGTGTCGGCAGTCGTGGCCAAAGGAGGATTCAGACAATTTTCCGAACTTTCTGGTTGGTTTCTACTGTCCGATATTGTAGCACGCTAACTTTGTTTGGGCTCCTGAACGACACGGGGGAGCAGCGTCTGCCTCACAACCAATCAGGTTAGAGGAGGTGGAGAACGTTTGTTTACAGTCAGAAAGAGCGGGTCGTAGAAACCGGGTTAGTTCAGACGAGGAGTTTCTCGCTCTTTTACTCTGAAGATGAAATTCTGCAGCTTCAAGGTCACCAAATATATTTCACACTCATCCATCAGCTTTTGTCTTTCTCTACCTCTCTCTCACACTCACACACACACACAGTGTGTACGCACACCAATTCATACACACCAGCAGGCAATTACCAATATCTCCCAAATCTGCTGACGTGACAGAATGTAAATGTAATGTTGTTGTGCTCTTTGAATAATCGCTGTGAGGCGGCCATACATCCTTCTCTCTCTCTCTCTCTCTCTCTCTCTCTCTGCTCTCCTGCAGCTTCTTTTCATTTTTATTCATTTCTTTCTTTTTTCTTTGTTTATTTTCATCTCTCTCTTTTTCTCTCCCTCTTTGTTTCTCATAATTGTGTTAACTTTGTTTTTCTGTTGTAGAAACAGAGGATATGTGGTCTGTTAGTAACACTGACTGTGAAGCTTGAACATGCAGACCTTTATTACCTGCAGTGGAAATCACTCTGTTTCAGTCAGAGGTGGATTCAAAGAGAAGTGTGTTCAAACTGGACAAAATACAAGAGCCAACACATGAAGTTTACGGCGATGTTTCATCTGCATGACGTCGTCTTTTTAGCAGTTTTTGTGCAACTTTCCGGATATCAGTCTTTGAGTTTTCTGCCCCTTTGAGCACAAAATTTTGAAACTTTCACCTAAAAATAAATCAGTTATTCGCTATTTTATTGCAAATTAATCTTCTTACCACTATAATGATGCAAATGAATAATTATCTTACACACTAGTGATGTTGTGCACCATGATCCATTTGTGGGGGATGCAGGAATAGTAAAAGATAAAAAGTTAACAAACCAACGTGATTAACAATTGACTTTAAATCATAATCAGATTATTTGATTATGACGATGTACAAAAAAATTAAAACCCTCAAATCGATTTTCCTCTCTATCATGTCTCGCGCCTCCAGGCCACCGTAGGCTCCTCCTTCCTCCACTTCCCACACACACCAGTGTAAACAAACATGGCGTTTGCGAAAGAAGGCGATAACTTCGTGGTTAAATAGGACAAGAGCGAGTCAGTCGTGTTGAATTGGTACGACTTTACAGTTTCAGATGAAGAGTAAATCACTCCCCGCTGCAAAGTCTGTCTGAAGGCGGTATCAACCCGTCACCATGGAAACGAATTCAGGAGTAAACACTTAAGTTTTTTGTCGTATCGGCGTTTCAGGTGACTGTAAACGGTATTTTTTAAAAACAGGTCAGAGAGTGAATAAATCTGTAAACGACGACCATTTCATCTCCGTGTGGATGTCTATCTGCATCTCTGGAAACGATCATGTGACACACAGAGTAACTCTTTTATGGCGCCGAAACAACCTTTACACACATGCTCTGTTCTCTTCTTCTGTCTTTGGTGCACTTCCAATGCAGCGTTACAGCGCCACTTAATGGCTTGGCATATACACTACATCGTTTTGAGAGATGATAGAAAGACTTTTTATTAAAGTGAAGTTTGGTGAAGTTGACATCAGAATCGAAAATCGAGTTTAAGAGAAAAAAATCAGGATTTCATTTTCGTCCAGGATCGTACAGCCCTATCTTCCATGCCTGCAGTCAGTGATGTTCTTCACCATGATCTGTTTGTGGAGGGTCCAGAAATAGTTAATAAACAGTCCACTAACCGACCTGAGTTGACTGACTCACTGGGTGATCCCCGAGCCTGAATGAGTGTGGAGGAAAACCCTCGTCTCTCCTCCTCTGGAAACAGTTGACAGCGTGTTGACACCTTCTCTGTGACACTCTGCTGGAGGAGCTGCGGGGAATAAAAGCCTGGACGGAAACACTCTGAGCTTCACTTACTCTCCGTGTTCCTGGAAGAGTCGTGTCGTCGGGGAGAGCGGACTGAAGGTTTTATTTTCTCACTTCAGATTTCCCGACAGGTCAGAGGTTTTCTGATGTAATCAACGCCGAGCCGAGCTGGACGGGAAAGTTTTCTTCTGGGGAACATCAGCGAGCGCGAGTGTGTGAGCGGGGACTGGAGGGATTTAGAGTCAGAGTGACGTTTTTCTGCTGAATTATGGCTTCACCTCAGAAACATCATTATCTTTATTTTAGTTTAAAGCTGCTGAGAGGAACTTTTGGTTTGTGTTGATTCTGGCGCCCCCTGTGGACAAAGTTATACCTGGTATTTTCTGCAAGAAAAGACTAACCCTGAATTTACATCACATCCGGAACAGCTCAGAGTCGAAACGGTCCACGGGATCCATTTGTGAGGCGAATTTCATGGCGGATTTCGGACAGCGGAATCACAAGAACTCACAAGAACCTGCAGATTCACATGCAATTACAAGTTGTCTCAATAAGGACACATAGACATATAAGCAGTAGACTGTGTCCTTCCAGAGGAGGAAATCTACTTCTAGACGTCTAGAATCAGTATCTCCTCATCCATGGTGTCATTGGGGTGAAATGACGTCTAAAAACCTTTCACTTTTTTCACGCAGAGGAACGGAAAGAAGCCGGTGGAAATTGACACGTTAACTTGAATGGTTACGATCAGCTACGATCGGAGGATACGACCTTCTTATAGACGTTCCGGAAGTGGTGGAAACTCAGGGTCAGAGAGCTACAGGTAGATTCTTTGGTTTCTATCCTCCGCTTGTTGGAAAGATTACAGGCAGCCGCCAACTACCTGAGCAGGTGCAGCAGAATCAGTGACAAATCTGCAAAATAAACATGGCGGCAGCAATGAAGCCGTCTAAATATGGCGTGATATATAACCTCTGCAAATCAAAAGGACTTCTGCAAGAAAAAGACAAAAACACCGAGTTAAAGTGGCCTACATGCAAAAAACTGCAGCTGTTAATCACGCCTTTTGTACGGTTTATATTTAGACATGTTAAAATGATCCGTCGTCCATCTTTGCACGTGCATATATATGTAATTTCCCAGGTGTGTGTGTGTGTGTGTGTGTGTGTCTAAGTGTCGTTTCCAACACCCTCCTGTGTTTTATGTGTGCGAACATTAAACTTTCCTCATTTGTCTGAAATTCTCACCTCTCACCGGACACAGACGCCCTCTCTGAACCTCTATGTGTGTGTGTGTAGGTGTGTGTGTATTTAAGAAAGTGTGTGTGTGTGTGTGTGTGTGTGTGTGTGTGTGTGTGTGTGTGTGTGTGTGTGTGTGTGTGTGTGTTCAAAGGCGACTGAGGTGAAGACAGATGGGGAGCACAGCCGAGCCACTCCAGTTCTTTCATCCCTCATCAAACTATTAATTCATCCTCACTCCGTCCACAGCTACACACACACACACACACACACACACACACACACACACACACACACACACACACACACACACACACACACACACACACACGGAGCTCCAGATGAATATTAATTGGGATTGTGCTCGATCTACACATTCTCCTTCCCCGCTAACTTGCTACATGGCTGAGCCTGATTAAAGCCAATCATTTACATAATTAACATATGGTTCTGGCCCTTCCTTTAATGTGCTGATGGTCCTCACACACACTCACACACACACACACACACACGTAAATACAATACAATACAACACGTGCTTTAAAACAACGTCTCCCTCTCGACAGCTCGAGTGTGGGTGTGTGTTTTTGCTATTTCTGAAGTTTTCTGGAGTAGCTCCTCTGCTGCAGTAAAAACAGAAATAACCGCCTCTGTTCGGACTCTCTGAGTGTCTCTCTGCCGTGATTCTGTTGCCAGGAATTGTTCTGACTTCTTATGTTATGAAACACAAAGTCTCTGAACTGTAAGAGTTTTCAGTGTTTATGCAGATTAGTTTACACTCAGTAACACTCAAGTTTCAGTCGACCCTCGTCAGCTGACCTGAGTTCAGATTAAATTGAACATTTTAATCCCGCTCAGGTTTGACATTAACTCTTTGATTTGTTAAAACTTGTATTAAATTAACATTTCCATTGAAATATCTGCATCAATGTTCAGCTCACACACTTTCAAACTCACAGGAATAAACAGGGAGTACCAGCCACCAAACATCTTTTTAACTTTGACTCATTTCTTATCAAAGAGACTAAACACAACTCACCTACTCTCTTCCAGCAGCCGCTTGTTTGTGGGGGGAGCCCTGACGAGTCGATCACCGAGTGCAGCGGAGACATGGTAGTTCCTCCACATAAGCGTCTCGGTCTGATTGAATTTCCAGTAATGATCATAAATGTTCTTTCTTGAGCTGTGAAACTCTGCTGCACTCTGTGATCGACACGTCAGGTCTCCCCCACAAATAAACGGGTGCTGGAAGAGAGTAGGTGAGTTGTGTTTAGTCTCTTTGCTAAAGAAATTAGGCAAAGCTAAAGAGATGTTTGATGGCTAGTGATAGGGCTGGGCAATAAAATTTACCAATACTGAAATTAACTGATGTCATTTTGCCGATATCAGTATATTCGATGTTAAAAAAATAAATCAATCAAAGTTGTTTATGGATGTGTGTAGGTAGGCTATGGTCTCATGTCCCTTTAAGACGCTGTCCTACATCAGAGACGTGACTCCACCCCATCCAGATGGGGATGGGTTCAAAAGTTGGAGCATCTGAAGTAGACGAAGTTAATGTGAAGTATATATCGTCCATTTATCGTTATCGAGGTGAACTGATCAATATATCCTGATATTGATTTGAGAGCATATCGCCCCGCTTTAACTAGTACTACGGCTGTGACCCTATATGTCCTGTTGATGAAGTTAGGTGCTGTTCTGAATGTTATTTGTGTCCATAGAGTGAAATTTTGGTTGAGGTGTATTTATGGCTCCTCGGACCGCTGTGTATTGCTAGCGTTCGGTCGTTACTAAAGTTGGTATAACTAGAGAAGAAAGCGGTCGGAAACAGTCTAACTCTGTTTGACCCTCACTTAATTTTATGCCAGAATATCCCTTTAAATGAGGCAAACATCACATGACTTTATGGAGATCAGCTCCCTTTAGCTCTGCACGGATTGCAGGACAGCATGTTGCTCAGACCTTGTGGTTCAGAAGCTCCTCACACTTCTCTCACATCTGTTCCTCCTTTATTTCTATCTTCTTTTTCCCACAGTGTCAACAGGCTCAGATCGATCCCTCTTATCACAGCGTTTCCACCAATCAGGATCGAGTCGGGATCCTGAACTCACCTCGCTAATAAA